TATATATGTAATAAGCTGCAATGCGTACTGCTTATACGTATTCCGAGACTCCCGACAGGATGCCAATGGGATTGTTATCCGTGTAGCACTAAGACGTGGTCAACATATAGTTAGAATAAAGGAAAATGCACCAGCAAAGTCAAAAGGATGAGGATAGGACATGGTGTGGTAACTTGTGAGGTTTGGACGGATCTTGGAACACGAGAACTGCCTGCGGAAGGTTCGGACAAGTGTGCGCGGCCTTTGGAAGGTCAAGGGAGGTCGGGGAATGGTATGAACATAGGTATTGGATTGCCTGGTTTCGAGCCCAGCGCTGCGACCATCGTTACAATGGGTAGGGCAGGCAGCCTCCTTTGATTGATTGCGCGGAGAGGGAGAGATGGAGGTGTGGTCATGTGCAGTGGGTTTGGATTGGTGTGGACATGGGGAGAGATTGAGTGAGTTCAAGCTGCCTTGGTCAGGTAATAGGGCATGCAGTTTTCTGGAAACTTGTCATCAAGAAGTTCACATCTGTGGATGAATTCTGGGCACTTCCTGCTCCAGCTGGTGTGTTTGTCAGAGTGGCAGTTGATGCAATGGGAGGTGTGATAGGCATTGCATTGGGTGGTGGAGTGTTGGCCTGCACAAGTACCACATATGTCTGCTGGCGCAGTACAGTTCCGGGCGATGTGTCCATATTTCTGACATTTGGCACATCGGATGGGCTCTTTCTTGTCCTTGTGGACAACAAACCGTTCGTTTGATGCAGATGCTATCCCAAAGGAGATCATTGGTGGTGTGTGCATTTGACATATGGAGGAGGGCAAAGACCTTGCGTTGTCCAGGGGAGCGGCATGCAGGAGGCTTAATCCAGCAGATTGAAATGAGGGATTCATCAGGGAGCATGTTTTCAGCTTCAATAAGTCAGAGGAAATTGGCATCCTCAAGCTGCAGACCTAATGGTAAGTATTCTAGTACTAATGCAAATGTGCGAGAACAGAACAATACTGTGGATTTGAATTGGGCTTCAAGGAGTGAGCGTCCCATAGTGCTGCGTAGCCAAGTAGCTAATTCCTCAGGGTTTATTTCAGCAATGATCCTATCATTGCGGAGTACTGTAACTGCATGGACAAATCCAGGAGGGATGTTATTGTCCTAAATGTTTCCAATGGCCTCCTTGAGTCGGTTGGAAATGTCTTTGTTTGGAGTTCCTGGTGGGAAGAGCGAGGTGCCTGGTTTGAGATTCAGGATGATCTGGCAGGCGCAGATGGCTGCTCTGCTAACAGCATGTTCAACTTGTGGTGGGAGGTGCGTGGCGGTGACAACTGCGCTATATGACATTTGAGTATGTATTTGAGAGGGGGATGGAGTGTCGATCATTTGTTTGGAGAGATGGTTGATGTATTCTTGGGTGGAATTGAGTGAGGGGGTGAGGAGTTTGATGGCATTCTGACAGTCAGTAGCAGTAGCGTAGAGAGCATCTGCTGCTTCCTCAAGTCATTCGATACTCCTCTTTCATGTTCTGACCTTTCATTGGAGGCGAGTCTGTGGAGGTGTTCGGCCTTGTCCAACGTGGTGGTTAGGGTTTCATTGGCTTGCTGCACTGTCTTCAAGAGGGCCTCTGATGCAATGTGTATACTGGCAATTTGGGGAGCTAAGGCTGCTATGGTGTGGTCAATGAGACAAGATGAAAGTGTATCAGTTATGGTCATAGTGAAAGTCTTTGCTGCCACTTCAGCAATCTTGCACACAACTTGCTTTCAGAGGAGGAGAGCTACCACTCAGATGGCTGCGATTACTGGAGCTGAGATGACAGAAGACATCTGGGTGATGTGGAAGAGAATAGACGATAGGTGGGAAAGGGAGAAGGGCTGGTCCTCAAGGCAGAGGAGTTTGGATGTTAGGTACCTTTCTGCGTCAGTGGTGTCCATGACATCATTGGGCATTGCTAGGATGTTATCTGCAGAGGATAGGTTCCATGTGGTCCTTCGGATATTTGGGGCACTGGAAGGGGTTGGTGATTGTGATTTGGGAGGGCCAATGCCTGTTGGGGCAGTGGACTTTCCTAGGGGCATGTTAGTATGAACAGTGTATAAAGTACTTCTCTAAGGTGTTTTTTGATGGTTTTAATGTTTTTCTTGGATGATAAAAGGAGGATGGGGACGCCGTCGGGCGACACTGGCGCTGTGGGGCGTGTTGAGCTTGAGAGGTGTTTGGGGTCTTTTTTGGGGTGCCACTTGGTAAGTGACTAAGCCATCCTCTCGTCCTCTTGTCATCCTCCTGTCCTCTTGTCATCCTCCCATCCTCTTGTCATCCTCCCATCCTCTTGTTGTCCTCCCATCCTGTCATCCTCCTCCTGTTTCCTGTCCTCCCCCTTCTCTTTTCTCCCATTTCCCTATTCTCCTGTTTTCCTGTTTTTCCCATTCTTCTATTTTCCCTTTCTCCTGTTTTCCTGTTCTTTGTTCTCCTATTTTCCCTATTTTCTCTGTTTTCCCACTTCCCTCATTCTCCCGTTCTCCTGTCCCATTTCCCATTTCTCAATTGTCTTTTCTTAATATGTAGTTGAATTTATTGTGTATTTCATAAATAATAAATGTTTTTAAATGTGTGCTGCCCTAACAGGCAGTGGACCCTCGAAAGCACATGACAGCCATGCAAGTTTCCGAATCGAGCTTTAAGCGAGTTAAGTGAAAACCACATGGTGTTTAGTGAATCTAAGCGTATCTAAGCATTTCTATGTGGTGCAAGCGAAAACCATGCAAGCGACTGTTCTCTCCCACAACTGTTCTCCCTCACTTTATAGATATGGCCTATAGGACTGTGCAGCACAATTCAATTTGTATACTATTAATGTAGTAGTACTTGTAGTACTTTAATAATTCAATTACAATGCATTTCGAAAAATTTTCCAAGTCCAAACTTGAAATCTCAGAGGCAGCTAAGTCCGAATTCATCATTTCAATTCATTGGTTTATCAGAGGCTTAGTATTGCAACTACACTAGGTCAGTCATGATGTCTTACTTTGCTGCCTATGAGCCCGACCTAGTGTGGGAATGTAAAGCTAGATGACTGAAATGGAAGCACTTCTGGGCAGCCGGTGTCAATGACCTCTTAGCTGTTGACCAGCATGATAAATGGCTGAGGTTTGGGCTCGGTCTCCACACTGAAATTGAACCATTTTCAGGGTGAATCATGTGGATCCAGGTTTGGCACTCCAATCAAAATCCACAACTAATTCTCAGTTACTACCTCAATACAATTGCAGAACTCAGTCATGAGTTTTCAAATATATGATTTGTAAATACTTCACTGACACAATTGCCAGACATGCCATTAATCACTCAAAGTAATTTAAGGACCAAAAATTATGGTATTGCCAATGCACAGACCCTTCTTTGCCAGCACTACAACCCAACTCTACAAGGAACCCTGCAACATCATTGGATACATATAAAGAAAATGTGATGCCAGAGATAACTTGGTCACAGCTCCAGCATAGGTTCACTCCTGGCTTTGAGACCTTGCTGGATGAAGGGGTCATCGAAGGCTGGTATGATACAGGGAATACCCTTCACACATTCGTAGCACTTGTTTGATGGTTTTATGTGCTCATAATGTCTTTTAGGATGGTCTTCCATTGGGTTTTCATACCCTGGTTGCAGCAGGAGCTGAACACTTATAGAGATTGAGTGAATAATACCGTCAAGAGGCGTGATCGCAACAAGGTAATTTATTTATTTCCATCTTGTGACAATGTATACTTACAATCCCTCTAGGTACTCCCACATGGTGTCCCAAATCTCATATATGAAACTCCTGAAGATTTCAGAGCATTAGACTTTAGGGTATTTATATTTGCATAAGCAACCCAGCATGAAGACTTACAATACCGACTAGGTTGCTATAGACCATGAGGGCATCGACTATGTTCGAAATTTCTACATCAATACTGCCCATCCAGTATTTGATCTGGTCCCACCTATGCTTCACAACTTTATCGAACATTGCTATGATGCAATGGGATGCCCTGCAGTCACTCGGTTCATCAGTTTGGACTGTGTACAGGCATGTGTTGTCTGCTGTACAGCTTTCAAAGAACCCACATCCCAACTTACTACCGGTGGGAGATGAACATGACACCGCAGGTGAATTGTCCTTATTGGTATCTGGCACTATTTGAGGTCGCCACATCATTATCTTTGAAGCTCACTTGATGAGATTTTCCCAGTTGAACTCATACCCTTCGAGGTTCACTGTCCAAAACTTCTCTATCCAGGTTTGGATCCTGCTTTAGTTCGATGCTCGTTGTTCAGGTGTCCGTGTCATTTTCTGCAGTGATGCATCAATGCTACAGTGGGGAGCAAAGCAATAGTGATGCATCAAATCAACAATTCTCAAAAAAGGGAAGCATCCCACACTCGTACATGATCAACAATACCTCCCAGTATGGTCCACATCCTGCCGCCACCTGGTCACCTCCATACACTCCACACAGATCCTTCTGGCAGCCCTGCCATCAGTATCCATCAAACCATCAAAAAAGGGAAGCATCATACAGTTGTACATGGTCGATATGGGTCCACATCCCACTGAAAATATTCTAGGACGCGAGCCAACATCATATGTTGCTCGTCTTCATCCATTTTGGCACGCACTTGGACCTATCTCCCCTTATCGCTCGGATCCTTCAGACTCCCTTGACTCTGATCTTCCCCTTGACTCTGATCTCTCGGTCTCGCTGTCCAACACATATAATGTACTAGTTTACACTCTGGACCTTCGGAGATTGATTTAGTATGTACACCTCGTATCTCATAAATTTCAGTCAGTTAGCTGTATTCTACCTCCAGCGAACCTTACAAGTACAAGCGCACTCGATATACCACTTATTAAGGGGATTAAATTGACGACACAACTGTATTCATCACAAGAAAAACAGCGACTACATGTGTTACTAACAGCATCAAACATTACTATGGTACGAGAAGCAAATTTGTGATCATGACATAAAGACATGGGCTCATGCCTTTGTTTGCCTTTTCCTGTGTCCGTTAGCATTGAGAAAATGAGAATATACTAAGATGTCTTGGTCGTACTTTGCAGGAATCACGCTGCCCATAGTCAAGTTGGGAGGATGCTTCATCATTGATGCCCCGACATCCCCCAGAACAGGTGGATCTTCCCTACCAATGCCAACGAACATCGAACCACCTAACCCAATAGTGTCAGCGACATCATTCTTCCTGGACTTGATTGGAATTCGCTTTGATACACGAGGAGCTGCACCGATATCAACCGCCAGATTCTGTTTCATGGCAGTATTGGGGGCAGTCAAATGACCCAGCGTATTGCCTTCATCAGCAGTAGCGTGCGATGTCTCCGTTACCACACCAGACTTGGTGAGAGGTTTTGCTTTGGGTTTGGCCTTGGGTTTGGCTGTGTTCATGGGCGGTGTGATGGTGGGGGTGAGTTCTATAGCAGGATTGCAATTGACTTTGGCAGCTGGGAGCTTCAACTTGTGCTTGTGCTTAGACTTAGGAAGACCAGCACCAGTATGAATGCTGTCAAGGTCTTCTGTGCTGTCATCTGCAGGATGATTTGCTGCCAGAAGAATGGGCAACTGACGAATAAAGTGAGGAAGAACCTCATCCTGTTCAGCTGTGGTGGTGGTGTGCTCAGCAGAAATTGGGGAGCTCAAGAACGAGGACAGGCTAGGCATCTCCCACCCCTGTGAATCAAGGTTGCTAAAATTCCACATCATGCCATATTGTGTGTCATGTTGCATGTCATAGTATCCTGGTATAGTACTCCTAGCATCGGTGAGTGAGGGTGCTAATGAGCTGAATGCCGGGGGGAATGGATTCGGCATGGTGCTACTGCCACCCAAAAACCCCATCGCTATAAGATCAGCATGAGAAAATGATGACCCGAACACTTCATTCATCCCAGGCACACTAGTTGGATCGGGAGGCAGTGTACTAATGTTGTGCCAATCAAATGATGCATGAAGTTGAGCCTGCGCGAGTGATGCATCAGTTTGGGCTTGTCCAAATGGTACATTAGATTGGGCCTGTGTTAGAAAACCGTTAGATGACATAGGCAGGATGATGAAATGGCCTTACCTCAGAGTTAGACGTGGATTGATCAAGTTCATTGAGTGATGCATCACTGATGCCGGCTTTGGTATTACTGAAGCCTGACATCATTGATGTATCAGAGGAAGTAGCAAAGCCTATCAATGATGCATCAGAAGTTGCATCAGGCAGGCACGAAATAATATAAAGACCTGGAATATTCCAATCCATGGAGCCATCGCATCCTCCATTCATATCCTCTTCACCATTGTCGTGTCGTTCAAGTTCTTCAATCTCATTGCCATCTCCAACACCTGGCAGTAGTGAATTGTGCTTGTTTGCAGCTGATGGACAAGTATGGGGGTGAGTCTACAGTGATTTGGACAGTAAAGATTGGCTTATGGAATATCAACTCAGCGTATTGCTGGTATGCCGCAAGGAATGTGTTGTCCTTGTCAGGGCACAATTGAGAAAAATTACTCCCAGCGGGAGTTTCTGATGGATGGCACCTTAGTAGTGTGAGTTCATTAGTCATGTTTCTAGTTTGGTGCGCTTACAATAATGAAACAATGTCCCAATCATGCCTCGGCTCTGGTCCAGCGCACATGAAGGAGACTATGAATTGAGTTTTTTTCTTGATGAGATGTGTGAAGCGCTGGCATATGATTGGTAAGTCATTGATAGCTCTATAGGTCGTGTGAGTATATCAAAATCACAAACATAAGCCAGTACTTACTTTGCGATAGCGTCAGTGTCAGTTTCATCGTTGTCATCTTCATTGTCTAACACGACCCTCTTTACCTTTTTCTGTCTACTATACCTCTCTCTCACTTCCTCCTTAACCTCGTCTGACTTGTCTTCCAGGAGCTCCTTGCAAAAACTTTGGCCCAATGCCATGCGCTGGCCAGCTGTACTTATGTTACCTGCCTCTTGTTCGGCCTTGACGGGAGGCTTGATGTGTTCACTATAGACCATGTCCATGTATATCTCTTCAGTGGATTTTGCGCGTGACTTCGATACCAGTGCCGCTTCGGAGACGGACATGTCCTTCTTCAAGCCGCGGTTTTTCTTGGATGCATTCGTCCGCCAACGAAACCAAGTTTGTAATTGTTACCAGAGGCCTTAGTGGTCATAAATTGTCAACACATTTGACGACTTACAGCTTTACATGAATCCACAGCATCAGTTTCTGCGGTTTGTTTCTCCTTTTCTAACATTGTTTCATTAGCGATACCAGGGAAGAGGATAGCTCGCTCGGGCCATCTGCTAAACCAATAAAGATAGATTTTTGGCCAGAAGAGCATGTATTCTTTGTCCCCATCATGGATTGCAGTATACTCCTGGAACTGTTCTTGGAGCCATAGGTACTGTTCCATAGTAGTCCACTTAGCTGGCAGCATCTGGCAAAGAATTTTCAGTCATACGCCATACTAATAGTGGAGCCGTCATACTTTTTTTCGCTTTGCACAATGATAGATGAGTGTGTCCCTTCACAACATCTATGTACGTCTTTATATCGCTCATTGCCAAACAACAGATCAACATCACCCATTGAAAAAAAGGAAGCTAATTTAATGAACTTACTACATAATCTGATCACAAGGCAACTTTTTCATTCTGTGACTGATGATGGTTTAAATGAACAGCATGGCATACTATACTCTCATAATCAGATAAGTTCACAACATCACATTGAGAGCAAGTGGGAATTACCTGGACATTGAACATTGAACGTATAAGTTCAGAATATCGCACAATTGAGAGCAAGTGTGAAATCACCTGGACAGTGGACGTTGAATGTATGAGTTCAGGACATAGCACAATTGAAAGCAAGCAGGGAATCACCTGGACATTGAACATTGAACATATAAGTTCAGGACACCGCACAATTTAGAGCAAGCACTAAATCACCTGGACGTTGGATGTTGAACGTTCGAATCTTTAGCAACAAACATATACTATACTCTTATATTCAGATAAGTTCAGGACAGTGCATTGAGAGCAAGCAGAGAATCACCTAGGCATTGATATGGAAGGTTGAACATCGGAAATCGAAATATGAAAGGTGATTGATGTTCGAATGTTGAGCAACAAACATATACTATACTCTCATATTCAGAACATCGCATCGAGAGCAAGGAGAGACCCACCTAGACAACATTAGAAGTTAGTGGATACAGGAACCAGTCCAATGCAATGTGCAATAGTGTGCATGATAGTAGTTATTGACCCGGAGTGTTTGCAACATTGAGTTCCAACTTCCTAGGCATTGATATGGAAGGTTGAACATCAGAATCGAAATCCAAAAGGTAATTGAACGTTCGAGTGTTGAGAAACAAACATGTACTATACTCTCATTCAGAACATCACATTGAGAGCAACTAGAGACCCACCTGGACAACATTAGAAGTTAGTAAATACAGGAACCAGTCCAATGCAATGTGCAATAGCATGTGTGATAGTAGTTATTGACCTGGAGTGTTTGCAACATTGAGTTCCAGCTTCCTAGGCAATTGTTACAAGAACATCTAGACGCTTGGGCCCCTACCATTTTTCTCCTCATCCTTCTGGTATCAGCCCTCGCATCATACCCTTACCCCGACCTCACCCTTGTTATCCTTGTCATTCTTGCCTTCCCCTTCGCTCTCTATCTGTCACTTCAGCAGAGCCAGTACATCTGGCCGGATCCTTTCGCTGACGAAGCATATCCATGCTCCGTTCCACCACCTGACTGATCCTGTGGACAGTCCCCTTGCCCTTACCATCCGGACGGTAACCTATGATATGATGCACGACGCATTCCCTTTGCCCTGTTCCCTTTCTTGATCTCTGACTCGGTGCGCAGTCGCACATGCGACTTATAGATAGCCCCGCAGCTGCACGATCGTGCCCCTGCGTGTTTCACTTCTTATTTCGACCTTTGACTCACTTTCTTATCTAGCACGTTCTGCCTCGCCCGTGTCTCAACGCAAACGTGCTTTCCTTTTATGGTTATACCCTTTACCGATTGCCTCCCTTGGTAGTACGAGTTATCACCCACTAATACGTCTCCTGTCCTCTATATAAACTCGCTACCATGTACTATATTCCTTAACTTGAATCTACTTGGTTCTTGACCTCCTACTCTCACCAGAGTGATCCTTTCTGCCTCGCCAGCAGTCTATATTCTATCTTCTTATCTGCTCTTCGCGGATAAGCCTATAGTCTCAATCTTTACTCATCGACTCCGTCAACGAGCAAAGCCCCTGTTAACTAGTCGGACTTCTGTCCTTCTAATTAACGATGATCTTACAATTAACCTTCGGGTGTCGTAAGCCTTGGCCGATTTAGCTTATTGTCTTGCATCCGCTTGACATAAGCTACCCGATTTGGACATAGGCGTCAAATCTTACTTGCCGAAGCCTTGCCAAGTAAGACCCCTAACCTTAGGGCTAGCCCAAGGACGTCCTCGACTGTTGACGACACACGCTCTGTTTGAGCGTCGCCAACAGATACCATCCAAGTCGTAACAGCAATGATATGGGAGGTTGAACATCGGAATTGAAATCCAAAAGGTAATTGAACGTTCGAGTGTTGAGAAACAAACATGTACTATACTCTCATTCAGAACATCACATTGAGAGCAACTTGAAGGAGAGAATCACCTGGGCATTGATACCAGTCCAATGCAATGTGCCATAGCATGCGTGATAGTAGTTATTGACTCGCAGTGTTTGCAATGTTCAAGTTGAGTTCCAACTTGCCAGTGAACATAATTATGTGTCGCACTTGAGCCTAAAGATGACCAGTTCAATAACTAATATGGCTATTATCAAGATCATTGTGCAAGGTAGAACCGCTGTAGACATACTCTGAGTTGATCTAAGTAGTACTATATGATTGACGTATAATGAGACCATTTTGGCTGAAAGTTTGTGTCAGGTCTTGCTTGCCAATTGCGGTAACAATGCAAAGCCATACTCAGTCAGCACTTCAGCCTTGATTTCATCACACACCAAAAGACTGGCAACTCGACACTGCTTGTTCTTACTGCAAGAGATATTCAAATGCAAAGTGCACACTTCTCTCTCTGTTCTAGCTACTGATGTGTACCAAAAGACACAGTAACTGTGCCGTCATCATCAGCAAGAAGAACAAACCAAAATATGATCAACTTGAAGAGCGCCATTGGTATGTTTCAATCCATAACGAACATTACAAAACCATCTGACCAATGTCAGTGCTGATACCCCCACCCAAAATCAGTTGAAGACTTTCACAAAAACATTGGTAGTACCATTGATGACGACTGGATCGTCCTCAGGGATGAGATTGATTTTGGCAAACCGTCGAGTGAGGGACCTGCTGCTTGCCCAGCACCCAGACCACAGGAAGAGCTTGCACCCCGAAGGCAACCTCAGAAACCCCTTGATACCTCATCCGACCGTTGGGAGACCTTTCCACTAAGGATTTGACCAGCATGAGCGGTGAGTCACACTTTACTGATAATTTGACAACTTTATATCTAACTGTTACATCAAACAGGACCTTGCAGATGTTGAAATGGTATGATGCACATTATTGTCACTGTATGTCAAAATCTCACACTGTCTATTGACAAGTCCTCCAGTGACTGGTCAACATTCTCGGTGTTGTTGCAAAGAACCTGAACAATCCCAATTTCAACTAGGTCGACATCTTTAGTGTCATCACAAAGAACCCGAGCAGTCCCAATTTCAACCAGTACATGTTCGCCTCATACTAGGAATCCTGGCCGCCACTTGCATTCTGCTCACGCATGTCATGATTGACCTACAGGGTATACTTCACGTGGTGAGCTACTATACCATACTGCTCCTGATATCAATATTTTGTATTAATCATAGAGATGCATCAGTGATGCATCAGTGTTATATACAGTGACTCATACTGTCTGAAAATGTCATACCGGTGATTCCAAGTGCTGGAAATTGATTTCCAACAACACCATTTAGGTCTAATCAAATTTTGATATCAACACTAATGTCCGGGGTGAGTGCACCGCTATATCATTAGTAGCAGTTCATAAGACTGACCCAAAAACTACTGTAACTACCACCGGCGATTTTCTCTAGAGCTTTACATCAACTGAGCGACTGTTAAACCAGAAATACTACCACCGTGTCAATGTTCATGATGCAGGGTGAGTCTTTCACTATTAATGGGGGCATTTCTGAGGACTAATCCAAAAAAAACATAGCATCTTTCAGTTTACCCACTCCCAGGATACCTCTCAATGCAAGATCCACTGATCCCCTTTGGCTCGATATTACCATGACACCCTACATGGCCGAACCAGAGGATTTTGTGACTGTGCATGAGGGCAGTTTAGAGTTTGAGGAGGCCATGAACGCTATGGCAGAAGAGTGCTTTTTATACTCTTATCAAGGAATATTCTATAATATGCCTTCACAGTGCGATCTAGAACCCCCTTTTTATTGCGTTACTCAGGGCCGCTACATCAGAGTTTTTCCATCACACATCTGGTGAGTTTTCACATTTTCATTCATCTCTTTTATATGTAACACTTGCCATAGGGATGGCGTGAAATTTGAACTCCGGACACCAGGCAATTGTGTTGCTACGTACTTTACTGTTCGGTCACTTGTCCTGGGAGAACAGAAAGTTCATCGTGCCATCTGACGTAGGCTTGCAGCAAGCAGGTGACACACTAGTAGGTTCAATACCATACTTTATTTGGTAGCATTAGTTGACATCTCAGTGCCAGCTTCAAGGCGTCATTGCTGTTTGGACATCATTGCTGGTGAAAAATTCATTCCGGCCCTAATCATGTCTACCTGTGGCATCGTGTTTGGTTTGCACCGCTCTGCCCATCGTATCTCCATGCATCAATCTCATTTGTTAGTCTTCGACTACCTATTCATGTCCATTGTGTTTGTTTTCTGCTAAATGAATGCTTGATTTTTTTTCTTGTAGCGACTTGAACCGTAAATGTGAGATCAGTATGGATGAATACTCTTCATTCAACACCGTGACAATCAGTGCAGAAATCAACAAAGAATGTCTACAGATCCTACTTGTGCCGTCGGCTCTTCTGAGGCAGGGACATCTTCAATCCAGACAATATACTGTGGAGTAATGTCCAGAGTACCAAAGAAATGGAAAAAGAAACCCAAGCTCAATGTTTACCACTCAGTCCCAGTCCCTTCTTGCCAGCATACTGAATACCAAGCTCATCAAGACGGGTCCATCACCTATACACTGAAGTGTCTCAAACCTCCCAAGAATGCTCAAGCAACTATCAATAATCGAACTTGTGCGACAATGACTCTGCATGATGCGGCACCATTGTCAATTCCTGAGCCATTCGATGACCTCCCGCTTGATGTATCATTGGACCTTTTAGGGCAGCAAAGGAGACAACGAGCAGCAGGTGTATGTACACTATAATGTTCTGAGTCCTTTGACATGTCGCTCACCGTTATTCAGAATCATCCTTTGTTGATGTGGTTGAAGCACCAAGAATTATTTCTGCACGAAATGATCCGTCTTGAAGGAAGATGTAATAGACTTGGCGCTCAATCTTGCTCAGAGTGTAATTGTCCCAGCCCAGAGTATAGGTGTCAGGACTGCTTAGGGTCAGAGATCTATTGTTCACCTTGCATCCTGTTGGCTCATGTGCGCCACCCGCTTCACCGATTGGAGGTATGCTTTCATGTCTGATTGGGAGATGAGGATGTAAGGCTAATATCTAATATCAATACAGAAATGGAACGGTCAATACTTCGAGCGAATCTCTCTGAAAACCCTGGGCCTTCGTGTCCAGCTTGGCCACACCACTGGCCTGAAATGTTTTAACCCTCGTTGCGCATTCAATGATGATTTTATTGTTGTCAACACCCACAGCATACATGAAGTATCTCTCGACTTCTGCAATTGCGCAACAGCCCAAAGCCATATACAACAGCTACTTCAAATATCATGGTTTCCTCCGACAATGTCAGATCCAAAAACTGCTGCAACATTCCGCGTTCTTGAACACTATCACCTACTCTCATTTGAGTCAAAAGTATCTGCCTTCGAATTTTACAATGCGCTCAGCTGGATGTCCGATAACACTGGCTTACTTCCCATCAAGGTAAACTTAATTTTAGGTGCCTTCAAAGTTAATCCAGCTTCCTCCAGGATCGGTATGATTCGTTTACACGGATGATATGCGAGTGGCGCCACTTGAAGATGCTTAAGCACTCAGGGCGAGGTCATGATCCCAGTGGTGTAGATGGGACAGTTGAGGGTGAATGTACTGTATTGTGCCTGGCATGCCCACACCCAGGGAAGAATCTCCCAGCCGGTTGGAAAGATGCTCCTCAACAGTAAGTTTAAAGCGAGCTCCAGTCTGGAGGGGAATTTCTACTGATATAGGTACTGTTAGGTGGCTATATGGATTATTCCTCGCTATAGATGTGAACTTCTGCTTAAAACGCAAAGCTGTTTCAAGTGACAATGTTGACCCAAGCCTGAGTCATGGCTGGGGATATTTTGTCGAGGATAAAGCATATAAAGATTTCTTGCACAGCGGTGCAGACAGCGTCCAGGAGGTTCATGGTTTGAATTATTCTTTTTCATATATTAATGGTTATATTTGCAGAAATCAACGTGTTCAAGTCACAATGCTGTAAACATGGCCGATACAAAATCTAACCGTGGACTCGCTACCACTGGTTTAGGTACTGTCGACTGTGCCCGCCATAACATGAAACTGCCCAATGCCGTTGGGGATCTTCAAAAGGGTGAAAGGTAAATTGTCATTTGCATCCAGCAGTTGGCGATCTAACACACACATGTAGATATATTAACATGGGCTACTTGTTTTTCTCAGCACTATGTCATACTGTACTCGACACTCTCAATGTATCCTACAACATCGCATGCCAGTGGCACAAAAAATTATGGCACCACATGAGTGCCTTTCCGATTTCGATGCATCTCTCGCATGCCGTCAAGACAATCTCATTTTTCATGCTGAAGTTCCACCTTCCCGCTCATATTGAGCAGTGCCAAACATCATTTTCATTCAATTTCAAGAACAGGGTAGGCAGGACTGACGGAGAAGCACCAGAACGTGGCTGGGCCAACATCAACCCCATCGCTTCAAGCACCAAAGAAATGGGGCCTGGCGCACGGCGAGACACCCTTGATGACTACTTCAGAGACTCAAATTGGAAAAAGGTTGTTAGACTTGGTGCATTGATTTTCGTGAAAAAAAATGGCAACTTAGATTTTTCAGGTCATACTATGCTTCACAAGATAAAGAATGCATTCCCAGAGCGCGAGAACCATCGTGAAGCCTTCGAGGACCTCAATGATGGTTTGCGAGGTGAATATGGCGCCGCCCTCAAACAATGGAGAGAACAAGTGGAGGCTTGGGAGTACGACTCTACACAGCCTAATCCTTTCAAACAAAAGGCAGAAAGTAAGCACGAGACAATGATGGTAATGCTTATGTGCTCATTTTGATCTTGACGCATTGCAGCTGTCACTATGGCTTCGGTATGACTAGAACTGGCTAGGGAGGACGAGATCGACCTTCAAACAGGAACTTGCCTTGCCCTACATAAGGATTGCATGCCTAGCATATTAATTAGTACTGGCTTAGAACTTGAGGAACAACAGTGAGTATACTGTTACTTTTATGACATTGTTCTTACTTCAGTAGACAGCGAATGAAAGCAAACAGAGCTGGCCTCGGAGTTCACACAACAGATAATCAAGAAGGGAAGATGGTTCAGCAAAGCAACACTCTCCAACGGAGGATTGATACCTGGATGAAGATGCAGGAACTATACATGCCATCACTCGCTGCACTATGTGTGAGCGAGAGTTCAGTATCTGGCAGCGTGACTGCTGCACCAGAAGCAATCAAGCTCTGGCTGCCATCCCAGATCAGCAGGACCACACCTTGCAACAGCCGCCTCCAGGCCATCGGATGGAAGCTGCGGTATGCACAAGGTCACGATGCACTTCGCTCTCTCCGTTCAAACTTACGTGCTCAGACTGCAATCCTCAAGTACAAGGACCGCAACCTCCGTGGACAAGGAGCAAACACAAGGGCATGGAATACATTGAAAGCTGTTGAGGCGAGGATTGAGGCTGCTGCCAGGACTTATGAGTATGCACATAAAGCCCTTGTGGTTCTTTCACTGCGAGTGAATCAGACTGGGTGGCACTCATCACTGCGACCGCTAGACCGAGCTGACGTCCGCTCGATGATGGACTTATTATGGGGAGAAACAGAGGGAACGAGAAAGTTGTCATGGATTTGGAATATGCGGGGAGCAGCTGCCAACGAGATCAACAAGGACAATGCCTCAGAAGGTAGGTGGCTCTTCATTTCATGACTTCCTAGTCAGACTCACAGACAAGCAGACATGCGAATAGAATGGTGCAAAGCCAGGGCACGGGCGATGCGCTGGACAGAAGAGGTAGAATTGTTGAAGGAGGAGATGCGAAGGATTCTGCAATTTTTGGAATGGGACGCGCACCGCTGGGATGAGCGGGGCCTGGAAAACACGTTAGAGGATGCAGGTGAAGATGAACGCGAGGGCCATATGGCATACGCCAAACGTCAAGCTTCCTTACGTTGAATGCTTGCTGAGTCCTTCAAGACCAGCTGGACCGACACCTTGGCACTGGTGGACACATTTGATCACAACTCGCTCGTTGCTCAGCAAGACATAGACATGGACACATAGTAGACCTTTGTTGTAATATTAGTAGATAAACAATAAAGGCAATACACGTGTAATGACAGGCACATGCAAAACAGCAGGAGGGCACGAGAAAGTGAGCACAAGTAGATAAATAATAAATGCAATACATGTGTAACAACAGGCGGGTGTGATAGCACATGCGAAACAGCAGGAGGGCGCGAGTAATGGCAGGCGGGTGTGATAGCACACACGAAACAGCGGGAGGGCGCAAGTAACGACAGGTGGATGTGATAGCACATGTGAAACAGCGGGAGGGCATGAGAAAGTGAGGTCATGTGCGGGAGGACAGTGGGAGGGCGCGAGTAACAACAGGTGGGTGTGATAGCACACACGAAACAGTGGGAGGGCACGAGTAACAACAGGTGGGTGTGATAGCACACGTGAAACAGCGGGAGGGCGCAAGAAAGTGAGGTCGTGTGTGGGAGGACAGTGGGAGGGCGCGAGTAACAACAGGTGGATGTGGCGTGAGTAACGACAGGTGGGTGTGATAGCACACGTGAAACAGTGGGAGGGCACGAGTAACAACAGGTGGGTGTGATAGCACATGCGAAAGAGCAGGAGGGCGCGAGAAAGTGAGGTCGTGTGCGGGAGGACAGTGGGCACAAGACGGCGGGAGGGCGTGACAAAGTGAGGACTGATGCATCAGAAAACGAAAAGGATGCATCAGCAAACGGAGGGGATGCATCAGTGAAGAGAGGACGGATGCATCAGAAAATGAAGGGGATGCATCAGAAAACAAAAAGGATGCATCGGCGAACGGAGGGGATGGTGGTGGGCATGCATCAACCTGGAGTGGGCTGATGCATCAGCATGAGAAAAGCAAAGGTAGTACAATTGCACCAATGATGCATCATTGGTGCGCTACAGTTGTACTGTTTAATGCATCAATATGACACGAACCTGTGTGTCGTTGACTGTAATGTTCTCCCAGAAAAATCAATATTATCTTCCTTCGCAGCGCCGTCACTTGATATCTTTGTAGTGCTGCTATTGAGTCTGACGGGGATGATTCGTACCATGAGAGAATGAGTGAGGGGGAATTTATTCACTGAAGCTACAGAAAGTAAGGACCAACTTTTTTTTATCCAAGTGAGTACAAAGGGAATTCAATAGCTGGTGTCCGTGGCTATCAGGGTGACATTCCTTACATAGTTTTTGTTTTGCAAACGGCAAGAAAAACAGCAGGTAGTGACGCTTAGTGCTGCCGTGGTCCGGTTCGGTCAGGTTCACAGAGGGATGAGCGAGAACCAAGAACCGGACCTAGGTCCGGTTCTACCAGACTCAACAAACCCCGAACTGGACCTTTATGAACGGTTCGGAATGGTCAGGTCCGGTTATTTTCACATTCGAACGTGAACTGAACCCGATTTTTTTTACAGTGAGCAAAAAAAAAAACGTAGATATTTTACAGCGCGCAAAAAAAACGTAGATAGAACTTGTACTCGTAGCTACACATCCAACATGGCTGCTTCTGCCTCAACCTTTGCGGAAACATGGCCATTCTTGTATGCTGCCTTCAATAGCTGCAGCGAGCTGAATGTGGATGCTGCAAGTCCATTGCGTCGAACAGTAGAAGTGATCTCTCCGCTCGAAAAAGCCTGTTCGGAGGGGACGGAGCTTCCTTGAATGGGCAAGTAGTCTCGTGCAATGCGTGCTAGAGTAGGATACTGCAATGAGTGAAGCTAAGGAACCATTTAAGTAGCAAATAAACAGGTCATGATGAGATTACTTATGCCCCACCAGGCAACAATGTTGTCAGCTTGCTCTAGCGGCGAAGACAGATACATCATGAGTTCTTGATGAGGATTATGAGCGCATTTGTCTGCGGCTTGACGGGTTTTGATGGCCTCGCGCATCCACGCATCACCATACCGATTTTCATGCAAGGGTCTTGTTGGCGGAGCGGGTTCTTTGGCAGGTGCCCGAGTTGGCGGTTTATAATACTTGTCAAACTATAAACATAAGTTCAGGAAGGATAATGAGCAGTCAGAACTAATACTACTTACCACAGCCTTGAGGTGAGCCCTCCCGTTTGCAACGTCTCAAGTGTCCCATCGATCTTCGACATAGGCAAGTTTGTAGTTGGGGTCAAGGAGTGTGAATATAATTAGATGTGCATGCAACATAGAAAATAATATTAACACTTACCGAGACAAATGAAATATACATTGGAGTCACTCATTTTCTTGTAGTACTTGTCGATGTTCTTGAGTCCATGCTTGATTGCATCCGCAATCGGCGCGTACTGGTCATCGTTTGCCATCTCTTGCCACCGGTCCGCAAGGCATTCCAATGTTGGGATCGTTTGTGACACAGTTGGGTGTTTCGCAGATGAGAATGACTGCTAGGCAGTAGCTAGTTCCTTCAGGACTTGATGAACGAGTGTGAGGTGTTTCCAATCGTTCTGATCGAGCTTGAAATCATTGTAAGACTTGTTGCAAAGATTTGGTACTTCTTTACTTTCGTCGGCAAGGTTCATGAAGCGGTTCACAGCCTGTTCAATTATAAATATCAAACTGATGAACACTGATTGAAAAAAAAGACTCACCCGACGTAAGAGTAGCATGTGATCAAGACACTTGTATAGAGAAGCCCAGCGAGTCCTAATCCACTGCAATAACTCGAGCGCGGGGACATTCTCTTCTTTGCAGGCCTTCTTGAAGAAGGCACGAGCTTGAGGCGATTTTCAAATCTAACAATACCAGTCAGTAAGAGTATAGAATAGTGATGTAGTACTTACCTGCTCAATGAGCGCAAGGGCTTTGCCAAGCGAATCCCCAGTGTTGAACACATCATCCTTCTCGCAATCACCATTTACTTCCATGGCTGCAAGCTCCTTATTCAAAATGTCGAGCTCATTGTCGTTCCCTGTATCGAGTGCCTGATGGATCTTCTTCATAAGCGCAGCTTGAGGAGTAGGTGCAACGGCATCTACAAAGTGTCAGTGCGGCAAGGTTCAGTATGTGCTCCTGGCATCTGATGCGGTGCATGGCAGGTATCCACTGGACACCCTCTGGATCAATTTCATGAGCGACCTCCTTCATTGCGGTATCATTGTTGCTCACATTGTCAGAGGTCATCCACCCAAGCTATATGAATCATTAGCCTTGCTGCAGGATAGTAGGCCAGACCTTACCTTTTCTCGGAGGTTATATGTGTCAATTGAGTCGATAAGCATACGAGTGATGTTTTGCCCGCTGTGATTGCCCTCGATATGTGCGAAACTAAGCTGCTCACGATGTAACTCCCATTGCTGGGGTTTATCATCTGGACTCCAAATATAGTGACCGGTGACGGAGAAAAACGGGTCGCCGATGATCGAAGTCCAGGAGTCGAATGTCATAGAGACTTTGCTATCAACTTTAGCAAGATGCTCACGTATGACATTGACTATGGCTTCTGTGCATGCCTTGATGGTCTCAGTGAGCTTTGTGCGGTGAGGGATATCATGTTCAGTAAGGCCAGAGCGAACATAGCAAAGTAGGTTTCGGAATGCTGGTTTGTCAACCAGCTGTAGTGCCTCGTCTTCGGTCACAATGAACTCCATTATGTACTCTAGGAGACCGGCCTTGGTGAATGTAGGTGCTTTGGTGATGAGTATACTATCAAGGGTAGATTGCCTCGAACTGTCAATTATTTAGTGCCATGTTATACAAAAGATTAGTTAAAACTCACAGTGCCTGATCCTCAGCTGGAATAGCACGAGGGTGCATTGCAATTCCTGCAGCTTGACAACGAGCCTTGTAGAGTTGAAAGTGGTTTTTTTTGCTGATAGATATATGTTAGTGTGAAACGTCAAGAGATGAAAGGACATGAACGTACCAAAACTTGGAACCATGGACTGAACCAAGGACGAACCTGACCAATGGTCAGGTTCGAACCACGGTTCGGGACCGGACCACGGCAGCACTAGTGACGCTGCGTTTTGCGTCACCGACTGATTTGTGCGCTTCTGATGTCTTGAGCAGGTGGCAGAATAAAACAGACCGCATTCACTGGCATTTTTCAGGGCCTAGGTTCGCGCCTTACTTTGGTTAGATGGCAATACACTAATGACCACATATCTTTTATAGTCCCTCAGTGTCTGAAATCGGGGTCATCGCCTACGCGTGAGTCTTTGTGTGGGACACGCAAGGACAACCTTGCAGGTTGTGGCACTGCGTTTCGAATGGTTCGCAGAGTTCGGTTTCTCTTGCAAGCTTCAAATTCACTCTCTAGGTCCGCCTTAATTGAATGATCTATGGACGCCGTGATGCCCTGCAAAATGAGTATACCTGGAATAAACAGTAGATACGGGGGAACCAATACTTTCCTGCACGAGTCGATTGCGATGAACGATACCACGCCCACTATGCTACACCGCATGGACCATGGTCTCGTATCAATGCACGGCTGTCAGCCACCTCTGAGCGGAGCACAGCCATAGTTGTCAAGTCACGCCTTCAGGGTGTCATAGTTTATCAGGAACGTAGCAGGTCAGAAGCGAGTCAATGATGCATCCCTGTTTGTGCTTGATCGAGGGATTTTGTCTGTGCTAAGTACTTGTGACGCTCTAGAAAGTGTTACACACAGTAGAGTCGATTTTCGTAGAATAGACTTATTTCAGACAAATAGAATAGTCCGAACTAAATGATATTCGGGGGTGGAAAAGATCAACTGCCCTAACAATAGATAAAGGAGTCCTTATATACTGTAGGTACGGAAACAATAAGAAAATGAGTGAATAAATGTAAGTATGACGCCTTGTAAGAATGAAGTCTTTTTAGGAACGCTACAGTACTCGACTTTTTGGGAAACGACGTGGCACATTTTTCTTGCATCAAGAGCACAAATGACCGAGAAGTCCAACTAACTTCAAGCGTAGAAACAACACACCCAGCAGTTCTTGTCCCATTTATAAGGAAAAGGTGACGCTTCCGGGCAGTCTGGATATGTTTTATGGCAGTTGGTGCCAATGCACTCTATGCTTGGCTCTGACCGTGGTACCTCCACCCTAGAAGGATTGGTAGCGGCACTGGAAGCGACAAGGATTGTGAGGTAAAGGATTTGAATGAGCTTCATGGTATCTAGTATAACTATGCTTTAGGCAACGATGTGAACATGCGAGGGAACCACACACTATCGACAAAAGTCTGATTGTCCAATGTACGCGAAGTTGCTATGATGAAAGCTATTGAATGTTGCTTCAATGAAATAGACATAGTCTGACACAAGAGGGCTACTCACTGAAATAGTCAAAAATATTCGTCCCTGAAGCATTTTCAACTTGGCCGCTGATCTTATACTTGTTCTCGTTCTATAATCGGCGGAGCATACAGCTCTGTGAATGAAATACATCTCCTTGGCAATCTACATGCAATCCTTGAAGGCGAGCCACGTTAGTGATACTTGAACTGAGCCACTGGTGACTGATTCAGTAAAAAGGACGATTACCCGCGGGTAAATCGCCGATCAGTAAACCCTTGAAACTTAGATATTGGTCGATATCGTCAGACTTTGTAAGCCCAATGCTTTCTTTCCTGTCTAATGGGCCTCGCACGATTTAGAGAGGCGGGCGCACGCCGGTATAGCCAAAAAACGGTCCCTTGATGCGCAGAGGGGACCGACTGTAATTGCTGACTAACAGTACGACGCGGCAAATAAGTAGTACAGCCTCTCTCATATGTTGCTTTAATGTTATATATGAGTGCGTTCTTCGTCGTCATCTTCTCTTTGTTGTCTTTCCCCACCAGTTGACTCTTACCGCTACCTTGCGCCAGGCACATTCATATTTTTCTTTAGTGATTCCCACTGCATTCTGGATTTTTTCTTGTAGTCCTACCTCGTGCATACTGCCCTACTGTCCATATACATGTTCCTATCAAATATTGGTAGTCATAATTTGTATACTGTATATTCATCTCAGTGCTCACTCAGTTTAAGTTGGTTCATGATCAAAATTTCGTGATGTGTAAATAACAAAATACTGCAAAGGAGAGACTACACTACACACCCGAGTTTTGTGGGAGAGGGTGGTGGTGTTTGCGAGTAGCGCACTGAGGGCCCAGGCGCCCACATCCCAGCTTGCGTGTTTGTTTTGTAGTCCGTCGCCTAGCCTTCAAAATGTAGAGTTGTTACGTTGCGGGGGTGGCTGGTCCAAGTCCTGCCCAGGTATGTAATTGATGCGTTCAGAGACTTGCATTTCCCACCCTGTTGGGAGCCGATCTACTTCGGAACGCTAACAGGGTACTACACACTCTTTCTTTCCTGTATATTACGATATAAAACAAATTCATGATTAAGGTCCGGACTCATATATTGCTTCAATGTTATATATCTAGGAAGAGCACTTCGGCTGGAGTGCCGAGTACAGTGTTTACTGTGCAACTTGAACCGTCTCATGGTCTCGGATGAATGCACGGCTGTCAGCGACCTCTGAGCAGGCGCACTTTAATAATAAGGTGTCAGAGCTTATCAGGAACGCACGAGTTAACGGTGCTCGATCAATGGATCTTGTCTGTGCTAAGTTCTCGACCTTTTGGAAAACGACATGACACATTTACTTGCATCGAGAGCAAAAATGACCGAGAAGTCCAAATAACTTCTTCACTCCACATAGTAGCTACAACACACCCAGCAATCAGGCTTCAATGTTTTGAAAGGCACTGGTGAGACTGTCGGGCACTTCGGATATGTTTTAGCGCAGTTCCCGGGTTCTACGTCAGGGCAGTTTAAGCTTGGCAGTGGCGGTGGTACCTCCACCCTAGAAGGATTGATAGCGACACTGAAAGTGGTAAGGATTGTGATGTAAAGGATTTGAACGAGCTTCATGGTATCTGGTAAACTGTGCTTCAGGATATATGGTGTGGACGTGTGAGGGAACCACACACCGCCGACAAAAATCTGATTGTCCAATGTACGCGGAGTTGCTATGAAAAAATCTTAGGAAAGCTATTGAATGTGGCGTCAATGAAATGGGCACTGACACAAGAGGGCTACTCACTGCAATAGTCGAAGAAGTTCGTCCCTGAAGCCTTTTCAACTTAGCCGCGTTGATCTTATACCTGTTCTCGTTTTGTAAACCGCCGAGAAAGAGAAGACATACAGCTCTGTGAATGAAATTCATCTCCTTGGCAATCTACATGCAAGCTTAGTCTGAGGGCAAGCCACGTTAGTGACTTGGATATACTTGAACCGAGCCAACGGGCTGTAGTGCTTCAGTAGGAAGGACCTTGCGATTACCCGCGGGTAAATCATCACCGGTTAGTACCGTACACGTACGCCGAGTACAGTCTATGTCTGAAGGGGCCAAGTTCCCCAAAGTGATTTTTTTCTGTTCCGTCCCAATGATCACTGGGGGAAAATCACACGTCGTAAGTGAGAATGTGGGACGAACCTCAATTTGCCGTGTCTGAATCGGAATGATCAACGCTAGCTGCCATAGCAGTCAAGACACGCAAACTACGTGAATATACTCATTGAACAAATTTGCATGTTGATATCGATACCGTGGCTGTACAGGTGCTTCTAGTCTTACTCGTTGAACGCGGTATCTATCCTTATCGCCGCTCACGCAACAGAGGACAGCTTGCTCAAAGCGTTGTTCAAACCTGTGTCGCATAGAACAATGATCGCATCGCACTGGCACATTGCCAAAATCACGACCAGTTTGATCTTTTGGGGCGTTGGGTCAAACATTTCGCGCGAGTCACTGTCAAAGTAGCAGTTGATAATGAAAACATGCAAGGAAGTATTGCATGCTTTCATCATCAGCTGCTACTTTAATCTCATCGATATATCCCTAGATGCACATTCCCATCTCCACCTGAATTCATGCTGAAACGTTCCTTCGATCAATCATCCCTGAAATCTCACTTCGGTAATGTAAGTGCCGGATGGCGGTATATCAAGCATGGATGCGATCGTTAAACGTCCACCAAGTCTCCTACTAGTAGTGATGCGGAGGTTCGGTTCTGAACCGCGGTTCGAACCGGACCTTTCGTGAACTGGACCACGGTCCAGTTCAACGTTCAGAGTATAGGCTGAACTGGACCGATGGTCCAGTCCAGCGTTCAGCATTCCTTGAACGCGTTGAACGGGTCCGAACCTTTTTGAACTGCTTCCATTTTAGGCTACTCACACATACGAGATGACATCACCCACACACGCAATACACTGAACATGACATGATTACTCGCGACTTTTTTGCTTGGAATCTGATTCGTCGCTCGTCGATCATCCGAACACTGCATTGCGAATCCTCGTCAAGAACTCGCCACATATTTGACGGCTCCATTGGAAGATGTGGGAGATGTTGTCCGTTGGTGGGGGGTAAGTTATATCTATTGCATCGACTAGTAGTTATTTACTGATGCACCTACCAGCATCATTCTGTGGCATACCCAACACTCTCCCGCATGGCAAGAGATTTTCTTGCGATTCAAGGTTCTGCCACTCCATCAGAACGGGCCCTTTCAAGCGGCAGCATCACAGATCAGAGTCGACACAACCGGCTCACGCCCGATATCTTTGAGGCGCTCCAACTGTTGAAGAGTGCTTATCACAACAGGCATATCCAGGCTGCAGCTGAGGCCGCCGCTCGTATTGAGCCCCTCGCTCATGTAACTGAAAATGACCTTTCTGTTGTCCTTACTGATCTTTAGTCTTGCCTTGCATTAATTTCACTTGGCCTTGCTTCACAGTAGTGTACCAGTACTCCTTACTACTAGCTATAGTACAATCGAGTATATTTACAATGCGTTCGATGTTCAAACGCTGAACCGGACGTGAACCGGACGCCATGAACGCGTTCATGGCGTCCGGTTCAGCGTTCGCAAAATTTGTTGCTGAACCGGACCAAACCGGACTTCCGCAACACTACCTACTAGCTCACTCCCATCCTCTAATACTATGGCCCTAGTTTCGAACAATCCCGGTTGGTGGCCAGCCATCAATGCAAATCTCATCATCAGTTATTTTATAGGTTTGCTCAGAGCCAACCGCATGATGACCGTAATGACTCGATTAACCTTGGCTACGGTGGACAAGAGGTAGGTCGACACCATGACAGGAGCAGTCATGTCACTGACAATAGTATTATAGGTGGAACTGGTTTGGGTGAGCGACTCCCACATCAAAAGACCGACATGAAAATGCCACAACTAACTCACGACAGAGGCAACGCTGGTCCCTCGTGACCGTTTTGTACCTCATTGTGTGTAGTTTTTCAGCGTGATAGGCAACTTGTACTGACGTCAACATATTCAAGGCACGATATGTTACAATAGGATTCATTGTGTACGTTTCGGCGTTCTGGGCCATTGGTGTTGCGCTCATTACCCATCCCTCCCAATCAGAGTTAACGTCTTGGGTATGTCTCCTCCCGTGGGCTCTGTTTCTTTCTTGTGACGGGCGGCATACAGTCAGTGTTCCAACAATGTCGACAACAGATGTAGTGAGTATTTCGCACAGATGCCTTGCCTTCCATCCTCGTGCAAACAATTGAACTACTACCATGTAGGGGTGAGTGAGATTCTTGACCAACTCCTTGGTTCGATACAGTGACTCCCACAGTTGTGAGTTTGCTTCAGGCCTGCAGTGATCCTCCGAAGCTGATAACCAACGTTGCTGTATTTATCAGGCCTTGTCATATACGACACACTTACTTGGATGGTCGAGGTTATGACTGCAATACTGGGTGGTGAGCTATACATCTCCATGATTTTGACTTTGCTGATACATCACGCAAGTCGTCATGATGATTCGGTTGCATGCTATGTATCAACGATCTAGAAAGATGCTGATATTTCTTGTTATCATCTTCCTGGCCGTCGGAATTGCCAGTGCAGTGATAATCGCAACAATGACGATGCAGATTTCAGGGGGTAAGCTTTAATTGTGTATGAAATGTTTAAGTACATCCGAGTCAGTGACAAGTACCAGAGGAATTCCTTCTCTCTGGCACCTATCAATGCATGATTAACTATGCGGGAGATTCGACATTTCTAGTTTCCATGACTTGGATACTTGGCACTGTATGGGAGGTCCTTGCACTGTGTCTCGCAGTCTGGATTGCTGTAAAACACTTCCGTGAACTGCGAAGACGCTCAACTGGAGGTATTATTAGGGACTGTTTCACGGTGTGTTGATGCAAACTCATGTTAGTTACTTCGCGAGGTGAGTTCATAATGTGAATGCGGTTCTTGTCTCGCTAAAGTTTTGGACGTGCTAGTTTTTTGGCTGCTTCTTGCTTCCAGCTTGGTATATTCTCTTCAAGGCTCTTATTAGTATGCTGATCCATCACCGACCTCTACGTTTATCAATTCTGTAGGACATATATTCCCTGCCAGTGGACACTCAGATCTATATCGGTCTCGCTCAAATCTTCGAGATAGCGCAGCTGTCTGTGCTGGGACCACGCCTCATCCTTATCGTTCGAGAATATAACGCCAAGCTCGTGGCCGACTCTGATACAACAAGCGTTATGACTTCCATTGTTTTCCAGGAGCACGTCCATGTGGAAACTAGCAATAGTGTGTAGCGTAGGATATGGTTGTTTTTGCGATGGGCGGATAGTTTGCAGGGAGTGGGAGAAGCCTCACTTGCGGCACCTGGAGTTCACCTTTTTATCAGCAAGCCACACTATCACGGGTGATGTGAAGAGTCCGTCTGTCCCGCTGCGATTCTGCAACCATCCTTCGGATTTCGCTATGTGATAGGTTCTACAGGTGTATTGGTAGACAGTCGATCCACCATGTTATTCGGATGGTATTCGAGACGAAGTACGTGATAATATCATGCTCGACTTGAAAATATGCTAAAACAAACGTCGCCGCCTCAACATACAGTCCGTATTTGCAGTGATTGTAGTTGGTCCAAACAGGGGTATGTATTTCTTCTAAATCCAAAGTACCAATATCTCTAAAGTAGTAAATATCGTCTGTGAGCCCTAGTGGTATCACGTAGTAGACAGGTGTTCGTTCGCCATGATTCTTGTTCTGCACCAATGCCTCTAAATTCATTTCACCTCCGGCGCCTCCCACACACTGGAATGATCAGATTCGTCTACAGGCGTATGGTCTACGACCACTGAGCGCTCGACGCGTACACGTATATCGAGCCCCATATCATTGGCATTCCCATTGCGAGGTGACGTGGGCGCTAGCTCTGCATCTTTGGAATTTTTCGAATTTTTCGACTGGCTCTTAGATTCGAATTGTGAGCGGAGACCGGACAACATCCTTCTCTGTGCACCGAGTGTGGGACGCGCGAGAACCACTCTTTCTGATGATTTGGGGTCTATCTCTGTCATTTCTTTAGGGTGCGAGGTGAGTAGAGCGGGAGTATGGAGCGAATAGACATGGTGAGAGTCAGCGGAATAGCAGTCAAGCTCTAGAGTGGTGCGTACCTCGTACATGGATGAGGATTCGTTGGCTCATGATCCACGTCACAGCATACCCCATCGATGCCCTTATGATGCCATTTGAACAGACTGAATCTCAGACGATACAAAATAGTGCAACACCTACCCTGCAGACTAACGATAGGAGCAGGCCAATCACTGAGTTTCCACGATGCATCAGTAGTCGAGCCTACATACCTGAGTCTGGAAATCGGTTGTATGATAAAGGATAAGGTTCAGTACGTTCGACGCTGAGGGAATATTAGGAGCGAACATCACAAGGAGAGCATCACTTGCCGGTTAACACGACGAAATATCCAACGCCGTCATATATCAGGCTAAGTACAATGAGTAATGCGCATCACCTCTGCGAGGGATATATAACTTACACCCGTACCAGCCGTTCTACCCTAGCAACAATGAATCAGCGACCGTAAAGACACAGAGAGAAAAGCCCACCTGCTGCTCAAAGGGCTATAACGCAGAAGGTACTTGGTAGAAATCGTCACCACCACGATGTCATACAACATAGCGGCGAGATAGAAGAACCAAGTTGACAATGTTTTACCAGCATCTGCTGAGGTGCAGCTATGGTGAATGAAGATATCAGACGGAGACCTCAAACTGGCGATCAAGAAACCACCTACTTTCCCTAAAAAGGAACGCTATTTGCGTGAGATCTCGTTACGAGGAACGCTGTTAAACGTACATCAATAACAACAGCTGTTGATTTTAATGGTCAATGCGAGCCTAGGATTAAAATATAAGTCAGGACTCACGGGTCCGTCCATACATATCGGTGGACCACTCCACCTATAATGTATAAGCGAAGAATGTCATGGCTGTATGCAAGAGCCTACCAAAACTAAGAAAAAGTATAACGCCAATAGCGCAATTCCAATACGCCTATCTCTCCCCGCAACATTGAATGTCCTATACGGTATTTCAGCCTGTGCAGCTCGTGACCCACAAAAAAGCTGCATGACATACCTGACACCTAGGATGACCTGTGATATCATGATTTGTACGGCTACGACATGATCAATAGAGCCCTGGTGGCTGAACACCAAGAGGGCGAACCTTTGAAGATAGGCGCAACGAGATAATATCGTTGACACGCTTGTTGGGTGAAGTCGGTGGAGAAGTATCCATAATTGCTGCCTACCAAAGTTGCGATACTGACATAGCTTCATTGAATGTGGGTGAAAAAATCACGTGAGGAAATGAGGAAAAAAATACCGTATGAGAATGAATAAGATACAGGGTATACTGTTAGGAATTGAGCTCGTCAACCTTTACACAAATTCTGGCCTATACATACCTCATACGAAAAATTGATGGTTGACTTCGGTAGAAACGCCATTCTGCAGGGACTGTGAGGATATAACTGAACGTAATCAGTCAAAATACCATGAAAACCGCGGGAACGCAACAGGGAAAACAAAAACTTACTCATAGAATGCGATGGAGATAGCTGCTATTCGCATATACTTCTCTGATGTTACGCTGTCTAGGACCAAATTTTCTGCCATACTCTATAGATGAAAGTCACGTTGATTCCAGTATGGTAGCTCTGCGTCGGGCAGTTGTGTCCTTGATAGATCAGAAAGGTGGAGGATGGGGTAGATTTTAGATGTACCAAGGCTCCGTCTAAGCAAGCTTATAGCAAAGGCTTCTGAAAATGGGATTCTGTAAACTTGGACACTTCGCTTTCGATAAGGAGAGGAAGTAAGACTGAAGTGAATTGAGGAGGTCCATCCACGTTATTTTTCTGAATTTAACATGTTCCGAGTGAGTTCCTGGAAAGCTCGTTCAGAATCCAGGTTATCCGAGGGTCAGTTTCAGATCCAGTAAAACTTTTGTGCAGGGCCACAATTTGCTGATGTAAGCAGGGGTTTGCGAAATTTGCATGCTCAGCCACGAAAGTCTTGCTAGGAAAATATATCCGGTGGACTGGTGCGTAGCGAGACGACATCATCCGCTTCCCTAGGCCCGTGTGGTGGGCGAGATGGAAAAACAGGCGAGTTCATACAGGGATCAAACTCTGCAGAGCAACATTTTGAGTGAACATTCACAGAAAAAGTGGGTGCGAGTCGCATACAGGCTGACCCGCGCATGATAATCTCTACCTCAGCAAGTAATAATCGTTGATGCCAAACTTCGCTGGACTGCTCTCCTGCCGCCCATCTAACTTACATGTCGTGTACTGCATACCGTGGGAATAGTACCGGCCATCATCAATACCGTTGGGCAGGGATGGAGCTTTCCATCAGATCTAGAGTCTCAGAGTCATTAGCAGAATGCAGATAAGTTGACGATGTCTCGGAGCCATGGGCGCTTGTGTAAATGCTGCTGTCAGAAAAAGTTTCAACTCCGACTCCGGAATTTGCCGGCTAATTCTCTTTGGTCTAGCAATAAAAATATTGAGTATCGATGACCTGGATGCATAGCCAGGTCATGACTCAATAGTGACCACAGGCAAGTTGATTGAGTGCTGATGAAGTTGAGCCGCGCATCTACGTGACGTTCGTACCTAGCCAGCAGAAAGGTTTTACTAGACGATCGAATAAAATGTTCCAGGTCCAGTAATTGTAATTTATCGTTCCTGAGGTGTTATCACAGGCTTTGTCTTCGACGCACCTCGTTTTTTGTACTTTGAAAATTCTGCAAAATATAATTAGGGCTAGTATCTAGGAGTCTAAACACTTTTACCTGTCATCAGTCTCTCACGCGATGAGGGAAGAATTTGATAATATTACTGAACTTTGATGGGATAATCGGTCTGCAAATTCTCGTGGCACTTCACAGGTGACATCAAGTTCGCCTGCAACTTAGGTTGGAACCATGATTGAGGCACCCTACACAATGTATGAAGCATAGATAGTACTGTATGAGGCCACAGTGACTAGTTGGATGAACGAATCAATCACAAGTAGTTGTGATCGTCATTTTTGATATCAATGGACCAATGAAAATGATTATTGGTCTCAAAAAGATAATTTTGACTTTCTAACTTTGTTAGTAGCGGCGGTGTTTGTTTAAGAGTCGAGACTCTAAGGTTGTACCGAAGACGTACTTTGATCATCAACGCCTGAGAATCGAACAACATCAAAACATCATTCAAAGCAAAGATAGAATTAACTTCAGCAACTGAATTAGGAGAGCGCTTGTCGATATCTGTGTTACCATCTGCAACAAAATCCAAGCCAACAATACATGAGGTAGGGTACGAATAAGAGATGTCATAAGACGCACACGAGGATTTATGTTCCTTGACAGCGATAGCGCGCTTATTGACAACTATCTTGTTGAACCAGTGAATATATCAGTTGGAACAATGCTGGTAACAGACACGTTGAGACATACGAGAACTTCTGATTATCAAGGACAGGAGACGCCACCGTCATTTGCACCAAAGAGATGGCAGTAGAAACAAAAATACGAAGTGGGTTCCGTGGTGGTTAAATGTAGGAGTGTATGTCGTCTTACTCAGAGTGCTGAGTGTACAATCGATACAAGAAGTAGGACAATTAAAATATGCAAGCTTGAGGAATTTACATAACTCACTTTATATCGTTCGTCAAATATATTATGCCAGTGTGCTTATGAAAAGCTTTCTTCCATTCACAGGCTGCTCAATGAAGACCGGGAAATTCTGCATGGTATCTGCTTAGGCAAAGTGTTCTTCCGTTAGACAGAAGGGGGCCTAGCAGGGCTCACAGTAAGAGTGGAGATGACTCGAATTCTGCCCTCGTTCAACAATTTAGTCCTCCTGTGGCTTAGTGAATGTACCACCAATCTTGGAACTGCACCAACTGTTTCCCGCCTCAATCAGAAGGTCGCTGGTTTGAATCCTGTAGTGAACCACATGGGGTTTTTGGTGGGTATTGCGTGCCATAGTACCTACAAATGGGTCTGCGTAAATGCATTGCCCCCTGACAGGTTGAAATCCCTATATCGCTGGGTGCAATTCCCGGAACGCCTAGCGGGCCGAGCGGGGCTGACTTTGTCGGTTGGCAGAAGCCAGTGGTCTTGAGCCACAACGTTCAACCAAAAGAAATCAGTCAAATTCATTCCCGGCTGGCTCAATCAAAGGATTTATACGTGGGTACTGTGCTAATGACTAGTGAAAGAGGTTCTAACAATTACTTCTCAAATACACCACGCACCTTCATGGCGTTGTATTCGCCTCTCCGAATGCATGATCTAGGCCATCAGCCTGAAGACGCTGAAGAGGATATTCTCCTCCCCGGCAAACACATCACCTCTGAGTACCGCACTGTGGACCCCCCATCTAAACGGCTTGCTTGGGCGGCGCTAGTGTTACAGGTCATCGCAGTTATTTGCGCGTATGTATTGTATAACATTGCCTCTGCCTCTGTTTCCAGGCAACGTAATGTCCAAGGGTTGCGTCAGCCGAACCAGAATCCGGGTATAGAATTGGTGGGCAGCCCTCAACAAAACCAAAAGGGTGCGTAGGTTCAGTTATCGTTCAGACTCTCCCGAACAAACCTGTGTGGCTAGCACCAAAGTTGTACTTTCCAAGCGCTATAGTGCGGGTGAACAAAGCCTTACCTGACCAAGTGTATACTTCAGGCTCGCACGTCATACTGAGTGACAGCGTAAGTGGACCTCCGTGTCATAAAGTAATTTTGTTATTGATATCGTTCTAGGACTCGATGTTCTTTCAGTGGCACCTCGGCCAGTCCAGATTTACCTCTTGCTATATCGACAGCATTGTTCCCACTGTGGAAGATGGTCTGGCGGCCAACAAGTCCTATACTTCATCTGGGTCCACCACCGAAATCCAAATTTGGAATGTTACCACTGTTGAAGGCATGACGAGCCTCAGCTGGAACACGCGACCCCAACGAATTGCACTAATGGGAACTGTCGCATTCCTTCCTGAGAAAGAGAAGATCGAGCAGTTAGGACTCGAAGACGGCTGGCAGTCACGGCTGGCAACGCGGTTCTCGTGTGGTAAGGAAGCGGCTGTTGTTACCATCGAAGTTGCCTGCGATAGTTGTAAAATTGAATTCGAGCAGATATTCTCGATTCCTCCGTTGGGTGAGAACGGCCGTTTCAAAAGTTTGAGATAGCGGACTGATCCCATCATGCATAGCTTTCGACCTGATGGAAATAGGTTAAGATATGAGCAATAGATTTAGCGAAAGAGATGAATTTCAAATTCCGCCTGATGTTTTCTTACTGGAACAAAACCGGAGTCAGAGCTTAGATATGCCTGGCAGCCTAGTTCGCTAGTTTGTTGAAGATTGTTGTCGAAAAGTATGGAGTTCACCCGCACCAAGCTTGAGGCCAGCAGAGAACCTAGGCTGGGATCGTATGTTGTGTATTCTGTGAGTCTGTTTAGTAAGAGCCTAGAGGAGGAATAGGACAGTCGTGGAGTTCCGTCCGAAGTACGAATGATTGTGGTGGTCAGCTGGCCGCCATGGGCATTCTGGAGAAGGGTGTCCAGGCGCGCCGAATTGATTGAAGTCCCTACTTTCAAATAATCAGCGGGGAGGGACATCAACGGCCGCATGCATGCGTGCATTGGAAAGAAATGGACAAGCTTGTCACCCTGCCTTTGTGTGCTCTCGATATCCCTCAGAATACCTTCACGGGTGGCACACTCTACCTAGTATTTCATGAGAAATTCGCAAGTCAGCTCTGGAAGAAAACTGATAAAAACAGCATCTCAGATCTGGCAACTGGACGTCACTGGCCAAATCAGTGATTGTTGTTGTGCATTTTAGCACCAGTTCATGGTGCCAGGTGTATTGGTGGTTTCTGCGTCGACGCTATTACTTGACAGATAACAAACGTGAGGTTGGAAAAAGTGCTGTGAACCATGGGTGCTTAGTAATTACCATTATGTAACCTTGTGGCAATCGTGTCCCCGCGTCCGCGAAGTATTGTGCTCTGCCTTCGAATGATAGGAGAGTCGCGGACTATTAATATGTAGGCAGTGGTTATCAGACGCGTCGCTCGACTCTCATCTTTCAATCCCTTCAAACACGATAACTTCAGAGTTTCAATCACTCTACATTGACACGCTCCGCCATGTCAGGCTCATCAACACCACAGGATCTTCCCATAACACTCCTGCCGCTCACATCGCAACAACGTAATGAGATTGATCGAGTCGTACTTAAGGACATGGGCTCCTTCCTGAATTCCATCAGTACTAGTGAAGATAAAGAGGTCACCACATCGGATCTCTTCGACGAGATGCTTTTCGCGATCATGTTTCAAACTCTTGTGGTGGCCAAGAGATTGCTCAAACGCGAATATCTGAAGGAATATATTGACCTGTATACAGTGGAGATGGAAACACTACAGGAACACCCTCAACTACGGGAAATCGTCCGCCACGCCTGTCAGACGCGCTCGTTCTCTCACATCGCTGACCTCAGTGAGTGTTCGTGTCAGCGACATAGATGTCCCTGTGTTGACAGTCGTTGGAAACGCAGATATATTTCAAATACCCCAAGCTAGCGATCTCGTCCGGTTGTCTCAAGGTGAGAGACTTTTATGTTGCAACGTCATCTACAGTCACACCTCAGGTCGGTTGTATCCTAGATGAGGACCAGTCAGATTACGATCCATTCGTAAGACCTTACGTCGGCAAGGCTGTGGACGGGTTCTACGAGTACCTGAAAAATGAAGTTCACGGCGGGTGGCATGTATAGGGCATACTATGCTAAATTCTGTTCGATCGTCCAAAGTTCAGGTACAGGAAAATCAAGACTAATGATCGAGGTTAGCGTTTTACAGTCTATGTTCGTATCAGGTGGCTAAAGCATCGAATTTAGCTCCGGAACAAAGGTGTTATTGTTTTGTACATGAACCTTCGTGATCCGCGTGATCAGGGCTTCCCTATGCGAGACCTAGTGCCCGCGCGTATATTGACGGAAGATACGGACTGTACTCAAGCCGAGTATACTGCTCGTTGTCGCGCCTTCTTTACAGCCATATTTCAGACGCTGCAGGAGGATCTGAGCAGCAAACTTCCTCAGCTATGCTCTGGCAATCCTAATCCTGTAATCAAATCATGGAATGACCAAATGTGCAATATGGGCTCGAATGCTCGTTCCGAGTTCTTTCAGAAAGTTCATTTTCGATATCAGGAGGTGAGCAGGGAAAATCATAGTCTATTGACAAATGGACTAAAGAAGTTTGCAACAGACCCTTACCAAGATCAGCGAATCGTTACTCAAGACATCTTATAACAACATGCTGATGGTTCTGCAGCGTATATTTAATGAGAAGTACAAGGACAGGCATGATCCCAAACTCGTGATAGCGTTTGACGAGGCCCACCCTCTGAGCAGCATGAGTAGAAAGGGATTTCGTCTATCACATATCATTGGTACGACAATCAACTGCTACTCCAATCAAAGAATTGCATCGGTTTGGGTCGTCTTTGCATCCACGACCCCGCAGGTGGCAGATTTTTCAGTGCCTCAGTCGATCCGTGAGTACCTGGTATAAGCTGCCTGTCTCCAACCTTTGAACAATCTAGCAGATGATTCTATGCGCGTAGCGGTATCCGGCGAACTCCTCTATCCGCCCTATAGACATCTTGGTTGGGACCAGAATGCAGATCCTCTGTCTGGTACGTCGGCGAATAACGTTGCGAGCTTTGATCACATCGTCGGATTCGGTCGTCCGCTGTTTGTCCCTATGTTTTTATTCTCGTTTTCAATCTCATTGACCGCCATGAATAGATGGAAGTCAGTCGTAGGGAAACTTGATATCGCTAATGTTTCGAAACTGGCTGCCCAGAAACTCTGCAAATCGATGTCATTTGACGCGAGTGATGCGAATCAGGCTCTTGCTGTCCTGTCCCAGAGATTCGGTCTCGACATTTGCTTGGGTCACCCTGATGCTGTGTCTTATCTCGAAAAAGCAGTAGGCAGTTACCTGCGCATATGCTTCTCGACGACCGAAGATAAAATGTGGGCCTTTACCGGTTATCCATCAGAACCCATTCTGTCTTGCGTTGCAGCAATTATGCTCCATGGGAGGCCTGACAATTTGGATTTCGTTTTGTCCATCTTGGGAAAAAAGGTTGATGATGGGATGGTCGAAATAGGACAGAGCGGGGAGTTGGCCAGTAGGCTTTTGCTGCTCATCGCTAAGGATCTCTTTATCCGCAAGGACCCCCCCAAAGACGTAATCCGGGATCTATACTATTACGGAAGTGGGGATGCAGAGCTGATGGACTGCCGGAAGGTCTCCCTCATCGATTTCTTAGAGTACCTATTTGGCCAGACATTCTGGTCAAGGACGGCTAAGGAGGCCAAGGCAGCTTTTCAGCATGCTTACATCAATTTCTCGCACTGGGTGTCTATGACAGAGTTCATATCAACCCCGGTTCCCGATCAAACTGACACTGATTCGTTGAGGTAAGCAAGCTTCCAGATATTGCGATATTACATCTAAGATGATCACCTCTACATAGTGCTAGATGCAGCACCAAAGAGTGGACTTTGCGGCACTGGCATCGCACAAGTGCGGTCCAATGCTGTCATCTGCAGCCGCTTGTCGACAAGATGATTCCCATCTATTTTGACGATCCTGCCCTTGGCTCCGATGATCTCAATCGCGTCTCACAGATGTTTATTTCCGACAAAGCGGGAGAAAACTGCCATGAGCATGACTTAGGGTTGGTCACTCGCACGCATGATTCAATCCAGTGCCTATCGAATCTCCCCTACATCGCTCTTCTTCTCGACCTGGATGCGAAACCAAAGCTTAATGTTACGTTCCAGGAGAAGGAGCCAAATCACGCCGAAACAGACCGATGTCTGCGGATCTACGCTTCTGGAATTAGCGACACCACATTTCCATTCTTGAGCCAACGTCCCACAGTTGCGAGGCAGCTGCGTGGGTTTGTCTCTCGGCAGAAGGAAGTACCATCCCAAACCAATCTCGAAGCTCTGGTCAAATTTGGGAGCACCGCTAGGCTACGCAACTTGCAGTGGGAACTACAAGATGCATGATATCTTGAATCATAACTAGAGGATTGTAGTAAAGTGAAAGCGATGTAGGGCATGTTCCTGTGTAATAGTGTGTATGATAGATAACGATCGTAGCGCTGCTGCTTTGTTTCCGCCCTTTGTGACCTTGTAGTTTTACGATTTTGTCGGCCACTGTTTTGATGTTACGTTTTTACTTCATCGGTTGGTTTTCTAAGTGACCCGAGTTACTTACGAGGCCGCGTAGAATTTAGTGTGTTAGTAAGCGACACGGCGCAGCGCCCTTTGCTTGACTTGGCTTACACTGGTCTGCACACGCCTCAATCGAGCCTCGTTCTTGTTTGTACCCGCCGGTCACTCGCTCTCAGGGTGCAGACAAATGCTTCAACTACTTACCTTCGGCCGACGCACTGCACTCGACACTTGCAATGTCGGTGACCTGATCGGGGCCCACCCGTCCCGTCACAACTCACCTTGCTACTCAGTTCGGATATATGTTGGGCTGAACAACCCTCCGGGTTTTTCCCAAAAAAACTTCCATTGACCTCCGGCTGCACTGGTCACGAGTGCACGTCACCTTAGTTCTCGCGTGGCACTTAGCGCCGACACGCATAGATGCAATCCTGGACTCCCGAAGTGGCATGACGCTCCAACAGCTCATACAACAACATCCATATATTATGACTGAAGTCACAGGAACTGTCGATTTCCGAGTCGGCAAAGAGACTTACAAGACTTGGTACAAGGTCGTTGGAGACCCAACATCTGGCATTCGACCTCTTATCACTCTTCACGGCGGCCCAGGCATGTCTCACGTGTACATGCAGTCGCACGCAGAGATTTTCACGACATATACTATTCCTATTGTTTTCTACGACCAGTTGGGTACCGGGAAGTCTACACACATCACAGATAAGGGCGCCGATTTCTGGACGCCGGAGCTGTTCATCAATGAGCTCGACAACCTTCTTGCATATCTCGGAATCAATGATGATTTTGATCTTTTGGGCCATTCTTGGGGAGGGATGCTGGCGGCCGACTACGCATCGGCGCAGCAACGCCCTGGTCTTCGCCGCCTTATCATCGCTAATGCTGCCCCATCGCTTAAGCTCTGGGAACAGAGCATGCACCATTGGTTGAGCAAATTTCCGGAGGAGTTCGGGGAGATGTTGAGAGGGCACGAGAGGGACGGGACGACCTCGTCAGAGGAGTATCAACGAGGAATGAAGGAGTTCTATAACAAGTACACCTGCCAAGTGATCCCTTGGCCGGCGGAGCTTGATCAATCTTTTGCAGATATGGATAAAAATCCCACCGTGTATACCACAATGTAAGTACGCAGACATGTGACTTAAGGCTTATCGGTGTGCTCACTCTAAGCACGATCAGGTTCGGAACGTCTGAGTTCAACCTTACGGGCTCGTTGATCAGTTGGGATATTACCGATCGTCTTGACAGAATTTCTTGTCCGACGCTTGTTTGCAACGGTCATGAGGAGGGTGCACAAGATTTCGTGGTTGAGCCTTTCATCGAGAAGATACCAAAGGTCAAATGGGTAAAGTTCAAGAAATCCCACATTCCGTTCTACGAGGATAAGGAGTACTATTTCAAGACCATCGGTACCTTTTTGCTATCAGCCTGAGTCAAGTAAAGTGTCTGTCTCCTATATACATCATTTAGCCTCGAACGTCGCTGAGAGAAATGTCTGATTTACATACTCAGTCGCAGTACAGCCAAAGAAGTTAACCTAAAAAATAATAGTGGAGCATGGCGAGATGAACTCGTTCGGCAATAGCTGGGAAAACCATTCCTATATTGCAACTTCTAATTGTCTACCTTGTACAAAGTATTAATCACGGATGATGTGAAGGACATGAAAACGGAAACTTAGAAAGTACATTGATGAATACAACTTTCTGAACACTTTTGTGCTTCTTATTACTCAGTTTAAGTGCTCTCAGCAACTTTCTTCTTGATAACATCAACCACACTTGGCTCGGCAACAGTGCTGAGATCACCGAGTTGATCACCTTCACCAGCGACGATCTTGCGCATGATCCGACGCATGATCTGCATTGAGATGAGTTATTATATGATTGCTGAGGAAGAAACAGGCCTGGACTTGCCTTTCCGGAGCGGGTCTTGGGCAGATCACTGACGATGAAGATCTTTTTAGGTGCCGCGAAGGGGCCAATCACCTTCCTAACTTGGAGTACGAGCTCCTTAGCCAGGGAAGCCTCGTCATTGTGGTCGTACGTGAATTCCCTGTCATATCTGAAGTCAATCATCATTCAATCAAAGGACAAAAAAACTGACGGTTTAAGTGTGACGAATGCAAAGACGGCCTGTCCCGTTAACTCGTCAGCAGTACCGATGACTGCAGTCTCGGCAACACCCTTGTGCATGATCAAGGCGGACTCGATTTCAGCAGTCGACAAACGGTGTCCAGAGACATTGATGACATCTACAGAATGGTCATTACAGGCGGAATATCTTCCAAAGGACGTCCTCACCATCAATACGGCCTTTGATCCAAATGTAACCGTGTTCATCGCGTGCGGCACCGTCTCCTGTGTAGAAAACCCCACCGTATGGCTTCATGTACGTCTCCAAGTAACGGTTGTGGTCATTGTATACAGTACGGGCAATTGAAGGCCAAGGTTGCTTGATCACGAGAACACCCTCAACGTTGTTTCCTTCTAATTCCTGCAAAACCCTGTCAGTATCATGAATTGAACAAGATACATTGATTTGATTACCTTTCCACTAACAGGGTCCAGAATAGCAGGCTCAATGCCGAAGAATGGAACAGTTGCAGAACCGGGCTTGGTCTCAATCGCACCGGGGAATGGGGTAACAACGATCGATCCAGTTTCAGTTTGCCTTAAAAGAAGATACTGAGTCCGGCCACGAATACTCAGTGAATTCGCTTACCAGAACGTATCAACAATAGCGCATTCCTTGTTGCCAACATGTTCGTTGTACCAGTTCCAGGCTTCGGGGTTAATAGGCTCACCGACAGAACCGAGGACACGCAAACTGCTGAGATCATGGTTCTCCACATGGTGAGCGCCAAGTCTGCGAAGGAGACGAATGGCAGTAGGAGCAGAATAGAACTGGGTAAGCTGGTGCTTTTGGACGGTCTGCCAGTAGCGGGATGGCGTGGGGTAAACTGGAGTTGATTCAAAGACGGTGGTGCTGACTCCATTTGCGAGTGGTCCATAAACAATGTAGGTGTGTCCAGTAATCCAACCGATATCGGCCATGCAGGCAAACTTGTCGTCTGGGTGGACATCGAAAACGTATTTTACAGTAAGGGCGGCGCAAAGGAGGTATCCGCCGGTGGTATGTACGACACCCTTGGGTTTTCCTGTAGATCCGGAGGTCTAAATATAGAACAGAAGTCAAGATTAGGCAAAAAAAGACATGGAAAGGACGCCACTGACGTAGAGAATAAAGAGCGGGTCTTCTGAGGCCATGATCTCGTGTGGGCAGTAATTAGGGACTTTAGCAGTCTCTTCGTGCCACCACAAGTCTTTTCCATCAACCCATGACACTTGGCCGCCGGTGCGCTTGAGAACAAGGACATGTTCAACGAGAGGGCATTCCTTGAGAGCAGCATCTACAATTGCCTTTGTTGCGATCGACTTGCCGCCACGCCTACCCTCGTCACTGGTAAGGACAACACGCGACTTGCAGTCTTGAACACGGTCACGGAGAGACTCTGCACTAAAGCCAGCGAAGACCACAGAGTGAATGGCGCCAATGCGCGCGCAAGCGAGGAAAGCAGCAACTGCTTGCCACGTCATCGGCAAATATACAGAAACTGTATCACCCTTCTTAACACCAAGAGCTTTTAGGACGTTCGCGATAGAGCAGACCTCGCGGAGCAGCTCCGCATAAGTGATGAGACAGCCTTCCCCAGGCTCGTCTGCCTCGTAGATAATGGCGGTCTAGTAGATAGTTCAAGGTCATAAAATTTCGACAAGAAGGGTGATATTTACTTTGTCTGGGTGTTTAAACGCCCAGCGATCGACACAATTGTAAGACGCATTGAGACCTCCCTCTGGGAACCAGACGATATCACCGGTTTCAAACCCACCGGCACGCACAGTGTGGAATGGACGGTCCCAGTGCAACGTAGTATGGGCCATCTAATGCATCCATAAATAAGCGCAACATAGGAAGGAGTGAATACATGAACTAGCCTTTCTCCACCAAGCATCAGATTCGTGGCCGAGGGTTTGCGCATGAGAAGACTTGTATGCTGCATGATCAGGACCGACATGAGGAACCTTTAGGCCAGCCTTGAGGCGGGGAGCAACGGGATGGAGCGGTACGGCGTCTTCAGACATGATGATGGCTGATATGATGGGCGGGAGTTGATGGCTATGATAGATTGATCACAAGCCCCTTGCTTATAAAATGCGGACATCCGACAACCCACATCATTCCTGCACAGCCACTATCCTTTTTCGGGGTCTCAAAATACTACTAGTCAAAATCAAGCCTTGATCATTTGTTTCCAAGATCAAACACCAAGGTCTGACTTTTCGACTGGAAAGACAGTAATGCCTCTTTGAGCCTCTTTTCCATCCTATCTCCCTTTCATTATGATTCAAGTTGGAGCTCACATCATCCTCGTGCTCCGTTTTAGCTCTTGGTTCCGCACTAGTTCCACAGGAATTGATGAAGCTTAACCATATCACCATACCGTGATAATTACATATGACAATGGAGAAACAACAAATTCACAAATTATACTGTACTACTGCTGCGGCTCGCACCTCCCAGAAGGTCGTCGAGTCACCACGCCCCAGCGTACTGCTAGTTGGGACGCACAGCGACATATCGAAGGATTGGACAGTATCACCCCGATAGCCTCGCATGCGAACAATGAGTGCTTGGCATTTAATTTGAGCATGGTCATGCCCAACAGTTGCCGGTCCAAGGTATTTATTATCCAACCATGACGTTTAAACGTAACATCAAACACTAGTGTTGTCTTGGGCTGCCGGCATGGATCTACCACAAATCACTGGGGCTCGAGCCTCGAGGAAATCTCAGAGGTTTTAGATCGGACTATATGTTTCTGCGACAGATGGCACCCTGCGGCAGTACTAGACCAGTCACCGATATATCACGCGCTCGATGTCTAATTGATGGGCTTATCAGGCTTTGCCCGTGACTGTGACTTGAAGTTGACATTCCTATGTCACATGTGGCGCCGACGCCTACCCCTTGAAACCCTTCGGTCTCAGATTACTTATTCCATCATTTATATTCGGCTTGTCGTACGTATTCTCTTGGCCCCCAAGTTCCAAACTTTATCGCGTATATTCTATCGAAATCGTTTGTATCGACTTCGTATATCGTTAGTGTTCGTGCGCGCTCTTTACAACATCGTGCATTGTGGTCTATACAAATTCCCGAGACTCTGGCCCGGTCTCAAGTCTATCTGTTCCCGGGCGATCGATGATCCGCAATTTCTGCTTTATGGCCACTACCCTCGGCCAACTTGGGCTTAGAGTGCTTGTATATAGTAAGCGCATGTATCTCGATCATATCCTTGACGCAAAGTAATTATGCGTAGCATGAAATCCACAAGCTCGTCGACCTTTGTGAACTGACGACTATCTGATTTTGATCTGCAACCTATGAGAGGACCCGAAGGCGGACCCTTAGTGCATGTTTCGGACAAAGTTGGAACGAACCGCACGGATGTTCTATCCCCAGTACCCCATATTCATTACTGATGTGCTTCAGGACCCCGGGATGATGTCCTGCTAACGCCGATGTGAAATCGTTTATCACAGGTACATCAACACGCCCTCGAACCAGTGCCGGTGACGATGATCCTAGTCTAGCTATCTGCATCCATAAATTCACAAATCGCATGCTTTGGCCAATCATCGAGAGCGCAATGGTCATCCACGACTTTGTCCATGCACGATTCGTACACGTCGCGGACCTGATGGATCCTACAAATTGACTCACAGCCTGATGAAATTCAGACCGCAATGACCGAGTCATTCTGCATGGCATGGTTGATTGATCATTCGATTGTTTTAAAAAATGGATCGACGTATCAATGATAGAAGTATTGGGCGCGTTTGGTTGGAAATTGCAACATATCGTCTAGAGTCAAGTGAGGACTATAATCATTATCTAAAGCACTCGTCGGTTACGAGACAACTCACGCTGGAGTGATATTTAGTGAGTGGGCTGTAGTTGTTAACCTGAGCCCTATTCTCGTGCACCGTTAGGTTGTAGGAGGCTGGTGGTGAATCGAGAGACGAGCTATCCCCGTAGACTCGTAACCAGCCTGACTATGCGTCAATTTGAAATGGTGCACCACTCGTAGGTGGTAGTATACGCCAGGCTGGTCACGAGCCTACTATCCCCGACCTTTGTGAGGTTCGTGACCACAAGCACATTTGTATTTCTCGTGGAAATGTTGGTTATATCCGATACGAGGAATGAAGACGCTTGTTAGACAACTGAATCAATTGTTGCTCCCCCAGCCTTGCCATGACCGCAATTGTGCTTTTATCATCCCAAGGTACATCGCTCGCATAGACGACCATGGGGATTATGCATACCAATGAGACATAATATGAACGGACATCGTAAGGTGGAGCCAGAAATTGTTGGTCCAATATATAGATGGTCTTGTAACAGCTTCGCACGATCAGCGTCCGTTTCCAACTGCTTACATTGTAAAGTCCATGATAACGTTTGCCTTGTATTCGTGAAGTTCCGACTGATGGGGCTTCAAAACAGTAAGTAGTTATTCTGCTTCAAGGAGGGACCGATGCAACGAGAATGTTTTCGAATCTAGTACTCGGTGGATGTGGACCGATTTCCCCCGCACAAGAACCTGATTTCGTTGCATCGTAAATGCTCTAAGAGATTAAGTATATTTTTGTGACAACAAGAACCCACGATCCCGTCGTCAGCCGCGGCATCCTTCCTCCTAATCAAGGGTTCAAGTGACGGATGAGTATCGATATAGAAATGAAATCTCGTCTCGTGCAGTAAGTGGATCATCCAACGGAGATGACACGGACCGATACAGTAGTACTTCCACGGCACCGATGACCGTGTGTCATATCTTTGACTCGTGCAGTGATGTTGTGGTCCCTTCTTGTATTCTCCAAAACGCTACGGGCTCAGGCTAGCAAAGCTTGGACCAAGAGATGGTGTAAGATGAACCATGCTCGTGAGTGTTGGGTAGCTTGTTAGAGCCGTTCAAATCTGGGAGTCAGACTCGGGCTCGGTCTAATCTTGTAGAGTCAGGCACCGGACGAACATACGCAGAGATCAAAATTGTGACCTAAGCATACCGGTGATTAAATACTAGTATAAACACCGCTCGGACTTTTCCGGCAAATTCGTTGGGCGCGCCGTGCATCGAGCTATGCATGATGTATTAATAACGTCACAGCGTTTAGTTGTGCTGGCGACTCTGTCGCTCGATGATTGATGAAATACTAACTTAGACGACACAAAGTCGTACCATGAGGCTGGATCCACCCACGTAAGAAGACTCTTCCTAGCTCACGCAATCAGACTTTGGATCAGGAGCTTATATATTGGCATCAGGATCACCCACCCAGTCTACGAGCCAGTCCAGGCCCATACTATACGGATATGGCGTCGTTATACTGGATGGAGTGTTACACACAACAGACGATCAAGGTATGCGCGTTTGGCACCAGATCTGTCATTCTTCAGACTAACTCTCGCACAGTATCTTCGAGGTTTGTCATTGGTTTGCTTCTCTCATTCTAGCTTGTGCTCAGAACATTGAAAAGTTGCACCAACCGCAATCTGGGTGAGTTGATCACGCACTCTTCTCGCGAGTGAATGCTAAGACTTTATCGTCTTCATTAGATACTCGATTATCTTTTGACCCTTGAACACGAAGTCCGTCTGTTCAGCAGCATTAGATGCTGGAGCATTGTCACTGCTATGTTTATCGTAGCCAGATATGCTCCCATAGCATGGATTATCAGCGAAATATATGGTGAGTAACGCACTTCGTTATTGGGGAAAGGTTATTAGTACTAACGGTGATCTCCCAGCCACTCTTATGCCACAGTCAGTGGAAACGGTATGAAATCTCTCTGAACCATATTCGATGTATGTTGATACCAAGTACTAATACAGTGCTTGACATCATATCGAATTAGTGGGGGTAGGTCCCCTCGCGGCCACTAGTCCTGCGTGAACTAATACATCCTAGCGTCCCTGTTTCTTATCATGCTCTCCGCAGAAGGTTAGTTTGTTTACATCAACAAGGCAAAGGTCTTACGTCTTAGGTCTGCTTCTTATGCGCATACTTGCCTTATGGCATAACAACAAGAAGATAAAGCTATTTTTATTGGCGAGCTACTTGGTAAAGTTTGACTGTTTAGTTGTCCCAAGTGGTGATTTAACGGAGCTTGAAGCTTATTGTCGTCTCCATGGCCACTTGCGATGCACTTGTGGGGCTTCTGCTCGAAAGCATATGTGTGCCCACATCGACTCCGGCCGCTTTAGAGTTTACTGCTGAGAAAGCGGAATACCTAGTAATGGGCAAGTTTATCAGCGCAGCGCTGTTTGAACTCAGTGAGCGTTTCAGGATGCTGCCTCAATTTAACTCTACTGATGAATCAATCATATCCAGCAGTGGTCATTCTTACAATATATCATTCAATACGGTCGCGTTCTGATGGTATACGAACCATTGGTAATGTGACGTCAACTCTGTTGAAGGGAAGTTTGCTATATGCGCTGACACTTCTTGGTATGTCATCCAGTTTATAACTCCTTTTCTGTTTCATTTGACTGTGTTTCAAGCAATTTCTATTGTAAACATAGTTTCTTTTTCATTACCGGTACGTATTTTCCATGCACCACGCCAGGGTAATATATGAGATTTATTGGTGCAGGTTTCATCACAGTGGCAGGGTGGGCTTGCAGACGTGTAAGTGATTGCACATCGTATCCATGGCTAACTGACAAATTGTCCTCACCAGATTCCAAGGCGTCCTGCATGGTGTCTTGGCTTCGCGCATTCTTTTTGATCTTAGAGATCTGGGGCGTACAATTCAAAATGGAGAACATGGTTGTTTATTCACCTCACACGTATCTCTTCCTCGCACTCCGTGCGCATCAGAATCGATACAAATGTCTGTCTTATCCACCGAAAGCAATGCATGATCATACCTCGCCGTGTAGAACGTCTTGAGATTAAAAGCATCGCACGCACTGTACGTCGCATCTTGACCGCTTGAATAAACGCACCTCTCGTTTCAAAATCGATGTAGCTGATACTATCTCGTGTTTGTCATTCAGCGGAGGATACATCGAATGATCTAGGATGACGTTGTATCTTCACAGCCGGATATCAATATTTTATGATCAGATGTATTTGGCAAAATTGATGCGTCCTTTCTCCCTCAGGCTGTTATGATATCATAACCCGTTGACATTGTAACTAGTAGTTGTAGGCCCGCACTGCATCCGCGGGAATGAGGTATGAATGGGAATCACCGCTGTTAATGTCCCTCCTGTTCCGCCATCAGCCGGCTCCAACTTGTTGGACATAGCGTCGTTTCGTTACTTACCGTATATAGTATTCCGCTTTTTCCCGAAACGCTCACTTACTCGGATACCGTATCATTGTCGTTTTCCCTCAGTCTTTTATCCGAAAAATCCTACCTGTATCTAAACAAAGTATTTTGTCAGCAGTGGTCAACTCGGAAATAGAACTCTCGCAACAGACAAACTCATACCTAGTCCTGAAGTTGCAGTCATCTGAACCGTCATCTCTGAACCACACACCTCCTAATTCGCCTCCCACGAGAGCTAATTTAGGTCCGGCCATATTTAACCAGAGCGAGACTAAAATAATCGAGCTTGACTCCAGAGCGGAAAAGCTGAAATCAAAGCGTTGACGAAGACGACCATGCCATGCTCTTCAACTCAACGTTCAACAACCGAGTGCCTGATGTTGAAAGCTTGATAATAAAATGGATACTGGTAAGCAGGTAACAATTTGTCGAGGGTATATTTGGACAAAAATTGCTATCATCATGCATAGAGAACGGCGGCTGCGACGATTGTGCGACGATGTATATTATAAGACATGCCTGCCTTGCATCACGCAGTATCAGAAGTGCTCGTTTCGATGCACGATATCATGATGGTCCGACGGGCATCAAATGATACAGTCTATTCGGAATTTCCATTGCGAGTCACTTTTGTGATATCGCACAGCTAGAAGCTAGCGTGTTTGATGTCCTATTATACATAAACAGATGCGCTCACTTTCTGAATCGCACATTCCCCTTGCATCTCCCCAGTCTTTCCCACCATGGCAGGTCTGCCATTGGATGCAGGGGCTTTGATGTCGACAGTGCTCGAAGGCATTTTATATGGTGAGCATTGCAACGAGCTCGTTGGAGTTGACATTAATCTTATGCAGGCTTTTCGATACTCCTGTTCATTGGTACCCTCTGTTCTTTGACCTACAAACGTCACATGCAGAAGATCAATCTTCCCAATCCTTATCGTGGCAATTATGCTGCTAGTACTGAGCACTGCGGTTAGCTTCTTGCTTCTGATATTCAATATCATCGATTGACATCTCTGAAGCACATGGTCGTGAATATCATCCGAGCCGAAGACGGACTGGTGAAGAACCAATACGTGTACCCAAACGGGCCATCAGAATATTTTGCAGATGTTTCGCAGATGACGTATATAATAAAACATTCGTTTTATGTGTTGCAAACTCTTGTTGCCGATGGTGTGGTGGTGAGTTTGTAATTTTACGTGTTGGTTTAAAACCCTCTGGGCTTATAGAAGTTCCTGGTCTGGCATAAAGATTTTTCGTTGCTATGTCGTTTGGCAGTCTGTATGGATTGTCATCCTACCGATTATGCTGTGGTGTAGTGTTGCAGGTTAGTCGTAATCATGCTCAGCTCGCCGTAGGCTCTGACGTCGCCTCGAAGTGACTGGTGTCACCGCACTTTACAGATCCTCGCAAGCCAGTACTGGCTCCGAGGTCTTCGTCAACTCACTTCACCTTGTGCAATGGGTCACGGCGTTCTTTGCCTCGACAATTGCAACTAATTTGCTGAGCTCAGGTAAGCGATACTACCTGCATGAGTGCAACATCAAGCTCTGATCATACTACGTCCAGGATTACTGGCATATCGGATTTGGGTTATTCAACGCGGTGTCTCTGGGTTCCGCACTGGTATATCGAGGAAAAATAGGATGCCAGTAGTGCGTGTGCTCGTGGATGCTGCTATCCTGTACTCTGCGGTGCTAGTTACTGCGCTAGTGCTGTTTATCTGTGGGAACAACGAACAGGATACTGTCGTAGACATGGTAAGTCCACCATCAACGCTTTTTATCGAAATATATTGAGCTCGTCGAACGATTAGGCCGTGCCGATCATGTCGATTGCCTTCTACATGGTGCTCATTCGCATCGCGCTCAACAAAACAGAACGCAGTTATGTCTCGACTCAGACTGCTATGGATATTCCTGATGCGCGGGCGGCCAGGGAGGCAGGACAAGAACACGCACAGCGATATGACATGAACCCTTTGCAGGTTTATGTACCCCAATTCCCAAATGAAGCCCAACTATCCAAGTCGTCAAGCACGATGGAGTCTTTGAAAGATCTAGAGGCGCCTTCACTTTGCGCCGTGTAATGAAACCTGAACCACGTATTATGTTTCGAAGACTTGTAAGAACATGTGCTTGATCCGCTTAATTACGATACAGGCAAACACTTACCACGCAGCGATTTCAACGGAGGATAGATTGAATGATGTAGGATGATGTACTTGTAGCATATTTACAACCGGAGATCAAAATTTGATGATTAGATGTACATGTGATTGATGCGTCTTTTCTCCTTGTTATGACATCATGCATCGTGGCCCGCTGACATTGTACCTTCTGCATCCGCAAGAACTGGAAATCACCGCTGTTGATGCCCCTCCCGTATCGCCTTGAATTGGCACTAATGGCACTCGTGTTTAGGTCGTACTTCATTTGGCTAGCTTCACTAATACTCGATCCACAGCATCAGTGACTGCGAAACATGAAGGACAGGCACCTACTCCTATGGACAAATAACAATGTGCGCATACATGCAGTATGTAATGCATGTGATGTATAATACAGTGGTTCACCCACGCGGACAGATGATGGTCCATGCAAAGCCCAGTAGTGGCTACACCTTCACGCGCCCCACAATTCGCCGCTCTGCTCTCTCTCCATGACGTTCAAAGAGATTTCGTCCGTGTTGCCATTCTTCAGCGCATTGGGGTGAGTTTCAGGGAGATCGGTCAACGTAATCGTGGTGGTTTCAACGGTTATCACGGTCATGACGAGGGGGTCGTTAAAATGACGCTTCCTAGGCCATGATCCAAAGGTTACGATGGGTGAAGATTTCGACGGTGCTAGCAATGATGTATCGTCATCTGCGCTCATTCTCAAGAAGAACACCACGACCACGTTCAAGTTCGCGACGATCAAGGACACAGAAGTCTAAAAGGCGATCAATAAAATAATACACGCTGTTTGAGCGTTGATAATATACCTCAACTATAGCAGCTACCGCCTCCTTTAGTTCTCCGTCGGACAAGACATAATATGCATGCGCAAGACTAACAACGGTGGTGATCGCTGACGTCGAAAAGATGAGGAGAATCCGTATTTTATGCGCCTTCGACAATCTGGCTTTATAAACGAGACGAACCGGGGCCAAGATAAGAACAGTGTCTCCAAAAACATCAGCTAAAACTTCAGTCAGAAAATGATAGCATTGTATGGACGGTTCGTCCTCACTGATGATCTGCGCTATTGCGACGTTGCTGCCGAGATAGCACTGCGGGCGTGATTGTGTTTTCCAGTTCGGCTCACTTTCACAAGTCCACAATACTTGTGCAGAAAGTATAGCCCATAGGATGACGAAGATCATTGTAGTATGTATGAAGACCCTCCTGAGTGTTCCTGGGGCTGTGAGTCGTACGACTGTTAACAGGATTGATATCCTGGAACACCTATCATGAATGGACGCGTCAGCCGTGTCGCCTTGACATGTCGTCGGAGCCGTACCAAACAACTGCAGTGAATAATTGGCTGACCCTAGTGCCGAAACAGTCTTAACGTCTCCTGAGCATCACGATATAAGAGAACATACAGATAATACAATGCCACCCTCGTGTCCTGAGGAAAATTTTCTGGATGTCTTTAGGATGATACGTATATTACACATCGAATAAGGCTCACCATTAACCTGCAGATACAACGAATTGACAACTAATAGGGCGAAAATGAATATCATGGCGAAGGTCGCCCATAAATCATCGATCCATAGACGTCTTTGCCGCGCACGACAATACAAGCGGAATGATGTGACAGCGATCGCCACGAGAGGCATGACTATGGTTACGACTTGGAACGGGCGTCAACCGCAGCAACGCAGCAAGTGAAGTCGACCAGACTTACCTTCTGTCTGAGCAATGGTGGGGCCCGAGGACGACATGGCGCGGTTGTTCTTGCAAATGGATAGGGCTGTCAAATAGCATATGAGGCAAATATGTTTTGCCTGGGCCCGGCGATGTACTACGAGGCAGCCATGCGGCATATGATCGAACAGCGTGCCAGTGAAACCATACCTTTTGAGAAAAGTGAGTTGTACTAGTCAAGTCATGACATCAATAGACCGGTTGCGAAGCGGCGTCAAGTGCGATATAATCGCAATTGCAGTACATGCACAAGGTCGTTTTATATATCAGTTCTTAGCAGCCTGAGCGCCATTCTGATAGGTGTGGTCTATCATGACGCGAGATTACACAGCTAGCCGTTATTCGTATGGTTTTCGGCCGGCACGGGGCACAACCGTACTTGGCAAAACAGCCGAGTTTGGCCAGTTTGGCCAGTTTGGCCGATAGTTTGAAACTTAGTCAACCGAGTTTTGAGTAACACTGTGCACTCGGCTGAAAATTCTCCTCACCGAACTTTGTTAACGACCCAGTTTGACGGTAGTTGGCCGAAGAGAAGGTAATTAAATCTCACATCTACAACTTTGAACGCTGGAGATGCATAGAGCGCGCAAGAAGTATCGCACACCAGGTCTGCGTCGAAAGAAGACCCATGATCAGAACTGGAAGATCCTGCCATTGGACGCGCGTTAGGGTCATCACCTTTTGGAAAGGAACAGGTGCTTGTCGACTTGGAATATGACGCTCACAGGTACACAATTACTTTAGCCTCATCAAACCCGCCTTGAGGCGCCAGCATGCCCGGAGTCATAGGCGTCCCATCACCATGCTGAAGTACTTTGGCTCCCAAATCTTGGGGAGAGTAAGGCGCATAGAGGGCATCGTGTATTGTGCTTCCCTGAACGTTGGAACACTCAAGAGATAAGACCAGCCTATTCGCAGTCTACCCTCGCTGTACTAACGCCCGCCAGTAAAATACAAATAGTGCACAGGATGCATACGAGACACCCATCCAATAATGCGTTCAGTACTTTTCTGCGTCTTCCTCTACCTCGTTGGAGTAATCCATGCTGCACCCACAACAAACACAACAAATACTACTTACTAGCGAGATTGTTAAAGGGCCATCATTCACGACCAGAATCCTATGGACCATCATCTCCAGCTCCGTGCTCACTCTTTTCGCATGCATATACAGCGCCATCCATCCTAATATTCCGAGTCCTAAAGATAGTCCTAATCGCATCCTGTCGCGGCGACTTGGCATGATGATCATGGCACTAATCGCTCCTGAACTGATTGTCACATGGGCTATGCGTCAATGGTTCAGCGCTCGCCTTATTACAAAACGGTTCAAGGATTCGGGGTATCCCAACGTCTGTCCAAAGTCCGAGTCTCCTAGTGAGTTGTGCTTTTGGAAGCTCTGTGTCTCACAACTTACCGTAAACGTCCTTAGAAGATGATTCTGTTGAAGCACCTGCGACAGGAAATCGCTTCCTTCATCTCCTTGCAGTGCTCGTTAAAGGCATATCATCTTCGTTGATGTTTCTTTGGCGTTGCCCTGGCTCTCTCGCGAGGTCCGTCAAAAAGTCCGTCAAGGCATGTTTCTCAGAACAATCCGAGGGTGATCCTGATTTATGCTGCCTATACGTTAGCTCACGTGCATCCTTAAATTTAGATTATACGTGGACTCAGACGCACAGCTTCTTTGTGCTCATGGGTGGTTTCATGCTTTATGTGGATGGGGAACCCTACCTTACACTACGGCATGATGACATTCTCCAACTGATACGTGAAAAGTGTATCGACGTCCCTACCCTAACAGCACAGCAGATCCACGACAAGAGCAAAGGCAATGCGATATCGAAAGGATTGATCATCCTTCAAGTGGCCTGGTTTGTTATGGAGCTCATCACCCGCGCCATCTATCGCCTCGAAACTACCCAGCTCGAAGTGGGAACACTCGCTTTTGCGGTTCTTAATTTCCTCACCTATGCTGTGTGGTGGGACAAGCCTCTCAATGTGCAATGTCCACATCCAGTATACTGGAAGTCGACCAAGTCAAGGCCAGAGGATCGTCCTTAGTATGTATGCGCCTGGATGATGATACCGTTGCTGATTATGTCTGCCTTAGTCTCAGGAGCAGAAACAAAGACTCTACGCCTCGTATCATTGGCATAGTCCTCTCCGCAATCTTAGACCCAATCTTTGAGTTGATGGGTGGCGGTCCCACATCTCTAATGCTCCGAGTTCCTACATTTAATGGCAGCATCGAGCTCGAAAATTCGGACAGGATTGTTCTTCAGCTTGCTGCATTGGGTATGGCAACCATATTTGGCGGAATCCATTGTATGGCTTGGTTTTTTTACCTTCGTCACACATCAGGAACAGCTCCTATGGCACATATGTGCACTCGCTATAACTTGCACACCCTGGCTTGTTGTTTTTGAGATTTCCACAGCCGATGCAGCAAATTCAGCCGTCATAGGATTATATGTCACAAGTGGTTTGGTATCTATCATATTGTACATTACAGCTCGTGCCATCCTCTTGGTACTTATGTTCACCACCTTACGCCATCTTCCTACTGACGCATACCAGGCGGTGTCGTGGATTAATTTTGTGCCGCACTTATAGCTCCTGATCACGGTACTTGTGATACACTTCATACTTTTGTAGTGATATGCAGATGTAGCATTCCTGTGGTCTACCACGGACCTCAGGCTAGGCAAGGCTACTTACTAGGTACTAGTAGGTACTTAGTTACAGTAACCGCTATGATGAACGACACGATAACATGACCTGCAGGTGTAAAATAACGCAAACCAAACAAACTTTGCTCAGGTTGAAGTTTGGATATTTGGATGTTGAAGTCTTGCTCATCATGGACGGCAGAAAAATAGGGCTGCTTGGACGCTGCAGCAGATGATGCGGACGACTGATGAGCAGGTAGCAGTATTTTCAATTGACGAAGAGACAGTTACCTTTGAGGCTTGAGCACGAGCCGATGTGCAGCGTACCCCATCAACGGCTGTGGATGGAGTAGAGACTCTGGAAGACACGAGTGAGCGAGAAGAAGAAGATAGTGAGTGCGTGGCTCATTCTTCTTCGAGTTGGATGTGCGGATGATGAGAGTGCACTGTGATATCTTGAAAATAATAGACCGGTTGCGAAGCGGCGTTAAGTGCGATATAATCGCAATTGCAGTACATGTACAAGGTCGTTATATATATCAGATCTTAGCAGCGCCATTCTGATAGGAGGTGGGTCTGTCATGACGTCTTTCATGGGAAAGGTGTTTATCTCAATTTGGGATTACACGTACGTGCACGTTGTATACCCCATCGGCCAATCAGCAAATAGCTCGAGCGCTCACTCCTCTTCTTGGTGATTTTGCGTGGAAAAACTTTTATTTCTGGAGTCACCAGTACTATCACAGAGAATCCTGCAAGCAGATATTTTGAGGGTGGAAGCCCCAGCGAAGAGGCGACCTGGCCCAGATAGCGACTCCGACCTGTGCAAAAGTGAGTCGAGGTGAGCTGCGATCCCTACAATAGTAGGAGTGAATGCAACGCAGCGAAGTGAACGTCGGATCCCCAAGGTGACGCGTCGAGGTGAGGCTAGATGAGGAAACAGTTAGTAACAAAGGTAGTAAGAAGGCATCCGCGTGAGCATAATTGCAGGAATCTGTATCAGTCCGAGCGTCAATATAGGGCAGGGATTCAGGTGGGAGCGTCTGTCTGCGTCCAGAAAAGTGCGGGGATCCACACACGCACAGCAGCAGGTGTTGGCAATGACGATACTCTTGCTCGCTACCGGCAGAAGGTGCCTTGGTGACCGGATCCAAGTCCTCTGGTGAAGTACCTGACGAGAGTTTTATAACAGTGAACTTCCTACACGAGAGAGCAGTGCTAGCATCTTCGCGGATGCACGCAAGGATCCAAACCATCCGAGCTCACCGGAGTTTGTAGCAGAAAAGAAAATCAGAAAGGTGGCAGGCTGCAGACAGGGCGTAGCCTGGGCGCTTTGTGGTAGGCAGAGAAGAGAAGCCACATGCTGCACTGCCGCTGCAGGAAGTCATGTTAATTATTCCTAATAGTTGAGGAAGAGACCATGGTCGCACAAGGAAATTGCGTTTCTGGAAAGAAAGGTGCGTGGCTTATTTGCAGTTTGCCTATAGTAGGGGAGCTCACACCTGGGAGCTTGCGCGCTTATCATCGGTTCTTATGCCTATCACGGCCGAAACAAACCAAAATTTACCACACCTATGTCGAGTGCTGATGGAACCACAGTGGATGCTTTTTCGAGGTGGGATTGCACATTTAGCATTTTGGATTGACGAGCTGATATATTGTACAGTGTAGATATACCAGAGCACACCAGGAGCTCGTCATATCTGCTTAGCCTCCTCCTTGCACGTCGTCTGCTTCTCTTCGTTTCTCTTTCTTTGTGCGACAACAAACGCTTACCGGTAACCAATGTCCCAATGACGCGTCTTCTGGATAGCCACGTGGTGTCCTGTACGGTACCGCCCACGAAAGACTTACGCCCATGACCTGCCAATCTGTCAATCATCTGCCAGGGTGTACAGGTAGCACGCCTTGACATAGTACAAATAAGGTAAGTCTCACTACAGCATCTTTGCTTAAGCCTATCCGTGCAGTTTTCACCGGGTTATCATGTATCACCGTTGCCCGCAAACATTGTAAACAAGCCATATACAGGGCTTCGTTGTAAATTGTGATGACGCCCGCTACCAAAATACAAATAGTGCACAGGATGCATACGAGATACCCATCTAATAATGCGCATACTAGTATTCTTCTGCATCTTCCTCTACCTCGCTGGAGCGATCCAAGCTGCGCCTACAACAAATACAACTACAATTACTAACGACAGTGTTCAAGCTCCATCATTCACAACCAGAACCTTGTCGACGATCATCTTCAGCTCCGTTCTCACTCTTTTCGCATGCATATATAGTGCCATTCATCCCAATATCCCGAGTCCTAAGGAAAGCAGCTACCTTCATTTCATATGGCGACAACTTTGCATGACGATAATGGCCCTAATCGTTCCTGAACTGATCGTCACATGGGCTATGCGCCAGTGGTTCAGCGCTCATCAAGTCACAAGACAGTTCGAGAGTTTAGGATATCCAAAGTTGATCATTTGTCCAGACTCTGAAGGTGAGTTGTGCGTTTGGAAACTCTGTATCTTACAACTCATTATGCACGTCCTTAGAAATGGATTTTGTTGAAGAACCTGCAACTGGGAATTGCTTCATTCGCTTCCTTCTCTGTTTGCCTTTCATTCGCCTCTCGATCCTGCTTACTAAAGGTGCATTATCTGTGCCTGTGTTCCTTTGGCGTTTCCTTTGTGCTCCCATGAGGTGGGTCGCAAGCTGTTTTGGGTCGGAGCAATTAGAATCCGACTCCGAAGGTAAGTCCCATTCATGCTCACCTAGTCACTAAACGTTGGTTCATCTGCATCCTTAGATTATACGTGGACGCAGACACATAGCTTCTTTGTGCTCATGGGTGGTTTCATGCTTTATGTGGACGGGGAACCCTACCTCACCCTACGTCCTGATTACATTCTCAAACTGATACATGATAAGTGTATCGACATCCCTATCCTAACGGCAAATCAGATCCGCGATAGAAGCAAAGGCAATGCCATCTCGAAAGGATTGATCATGCTTCAGGTGGCCTGGTTTGTTTTGCAGCTCATCACTCGCGCCATTTATCACCTTGAAACCACCCAGCTCGAAGTGGGCACGCTCGCTTTTGCAGTTCTCAGTTTCCTAAGTTATGCTATGTGGTGGGACAAACCTCTCAATGTACGATGTCCACATCCAGTGTACTGGAAGTCAACCGAGTCAAGGCCGGAGGATCACATCAAGTATGTATGTGCCTGCACAATTATACCGCTGTTGATTATGTCTGCCTTAGTTTTAGTGACACAGATGAATTCGCTCCGCTTCCCATCGCCCGCTCAATCTTTGAATTGATAGGCTTTCCTCGCATTCCCACATCTCAAAGGCTTCAAGTTCCGACATTTGACGGTAGCATCACTCTCGAACGTCCGGATAGGAAGGTTCTTCGGCTTGCTGCAATGATTATGGCGACCATATTTGGCGGTGTCCATTGTATGGCTTGGTCCTTTGCCTTTCCCACACACCAGGAACAGATGCTATGGCGCATAAGTGCCATCGCTACAACTTGCACGCCCTGGCTTTGTTGGATTATCTACTTAGACTCGGAAGTAACCCATTCGATCTTCCGGTGTATTCCAGATTTATTAAAGTATGTCGTGTGGGGTGCATATTATCTAACTTATTTCGCATGTTTCGCGTTGTACGTCCTAGCTCGTGCCGTTCTCTTGGCACTTATGTTCACCACTTTACACAATCTTCCTGCTGATGCATACAAGGCGGTGTCGTGGACTGGTTTGGTACCACACTTGTAGTTCATTATGGTGATCGAGATACGCTCAATACTCTTCTCATGATATTCAGATGTGATATTCACTTGTGGTCAATGATGAAGCTAGTGATTGCAACCACTATGAACGACGCGATTGTGTGACCTGCACTGGCACGTGTGGAATGACCGAACCAGACAAGCTCTGCCAAAGTCTTGCTCATCACCATCATATGGATGGCAGGGAAATCTGTTTGGTAAGCTGCGTCTGGTCCGTGTTGGTTCGCATATTCTAGAGTTCATTCAGTGTCTGAGTTGGGTATAATATATCATATGACACACTCCTCTCCTTCCATGGTGCTTCGTCCGTGTTGTCAGTCTCAGCGCGCTTGGACGAGTTTCAGGGAGATCAGTTAACTTGATCGAGGTAGTTTCAACCACGTATCGCGTAGCCTGTTTGAATGATGCTGATCTGTGACGAGTGATAGACAGGTTCGATGTACAATCACGGCAATAAATACAAGATATCAAATAACAAAGCACAGGATTTGGCTATCTACAACTAGCAACGGGGGTATGCAATCTACTGGGTAACAAACGCGAGGACTTCCTCGACGACCTGGTTTTGGAATTCGTAAAACAATGCATGACCTCCACCCTTGATAACGACAACTTGTTAATGAAATGCTGGCTTACTTGGGCCTCAGCTACCGCGTTGTCCAGCTGTTTATCGGCGTCTCCATATAGATGGAGCAATCCTAATCCCTTACTCCCTGCATCCAAAAGGGGTTCCGGATCTTGCTGCCGCGACATGGCGTTCAGGTGACCGAATGCCCCAACACAAAGTAACCGGTCGTCCCAGTTCGAAGCGTTGCAGTTATTGATCGTAGAATCGACAAAATCGATCCTTGCTTTTAGCGCATCGGCGACGTCCTGATGAGTCTCGGACAGAGGTTTTTAAGGCAGTCTTTTGCCAAGTCCACCATGACTGCTCCGATGTAAGGAAAGGAGGAAATGTAGATGATGCCTGAGATGGCCTGCGGGACAATGGGTGCAGACATCTGTCGCAACAGTTGCTAAACGAGTGTTGTTAGAGGGAATGTTCCCCTACATGACTGACTTACCTCCTAGACTCCTAAAAATCATCGTCAGAATCTATGACAAAAGCGGTTTGTCGACTTACCAGCCGAGGAGATGAGGCTTTTGTCGATTAAATCCCTCGACCGCAGCCATGAAATCCTCTGCGAACTTTGGGGAGGAATAATCGCTCTGGTTTACGGGTCTGCCGCTCCTGCCATGACTTCTCATGTCATATCTCAGCTGCAACGTTTGAGAATATGGTCCGAGAAACAGTATGGTTCACCTACAAGATAGACTTTAGAAAGTAGCTGATCATCTTAAAAGGTTGTTGAATACGACCGTGGATGATTCTAAGCCATGAACCAAGACGATAGTGGGACCCTCGAGGTTGCCGACGCCTTCAGCATAGATTTGGCAACCGTCAGATGATGTCACGAGCTTGGAAACTTTGAACATTTTGTTAGTAGAAATGAACGATCATAATGAGCTACTTATGTGTGAATCGAGACGATAAACTTACGTTGGTTTGAGAGTACTGGTACGTAACGCGGCAGCAAAGCATCGCCCTCATCATCCAGGGAAGTTACTTGCTATTTATGTAAAATAGCATGCAACTCGACCGTGCCGCCCACAGATCCTAGATATCATCTTTAGCGTATCGTCATTTGCATTACTGAGTACTTGCCTGTTGTTGCTGTCGACGTGACATGTAGTCACCTTAGTACACCACCAAAGTTTGACTTGGTGCTCAATACTTTACACGGTCTTCGTCCTGGCACGTACAAGTTGGTGGTGTTTTGTTGATGCCGCACTTGTTCTTGCATGTAATACTGATGAGCAGACTTGAATATACCTTCAAGTTGATGATTATTTTCCAGAAATGACGCGCGCGATCATGATCACCTGACTTGCACGTGCAGCGCGAAATGAACCGAAAATACTGCCTAACAACTTGAAGTCTTGAACCTTGTGACAAGTCCGACTTGCTGCGTCGACAACAGCGAAACACGGCTTGAAAACTTCGCAACTGATGAAACGGATGAGTACAAAACAAGTGATAGTAACCACAGAAACGGTCGGTTTGCCACGCTCCGACGCACTTGAGGGGCACCATTACGGTTCGTGTCAAATCTCTGCACATGTCTCAGGAGAGAAAGGTACGTACCTATTGCTTTAGCGACGCGTTTGGAAACACCGTTTGCGCTGACCGGCTTTACTCGTTGTGCTTGGCAAAGCACACATAATAACTATCAACGGCTGCAGAGGAGGAGCGGCGTTCGAGAAGAGGCGAGTGAGACAGGAAAGATGGTGAGTGCATAGTAACAGTAGCGGTGTCGAGGAGTCAGGACGACGCGAGTGAGAGGGAGAAGATGCTGAGTGCCGCGCAGTTTGATTTCCGTGGTCTTTTGGAGCCGAGAAGCACTCGTCTGGGCAAGGTATCCAACTCAGAGTGATGGGCACTTGAAAGGCTTTCATGGCATCTGCAGTTGCAAACTTGCTCCTAATCCGCGCCTTGCTATCACGCAGTATCCGGATAGCTATGTCAACGAGATCCCCATGACGAATATGAACCTCACTCCTTACTCACCGACCGACATGCCTGTCTACGAACTCGGATATGGCGAGCACTATGGTACCTTTTCTTACAAATGGGTGCGAGCTCCCTCAGCATCACACGACATCCAGGCTCTCGATGATGGAGGAGAGGCACGATGCATACTTGGACATCGCACCATCTGCTAGCTCGCCATCAGTGTAATGTGGTGTAGTTTTGACAGATCACGGAAGCACCTTCCAAGTCTAACACATTACGAACCTGTCAGCATCATCACCGAGGAATATTCCTGTACAGGTCTGGGTGCACTCTCAATTCAAATTGACGGCAAGTGCCGCATGGCTCACATCCTTTCCATGATGACAAGGCCTCGCGATCGACATTCTTCTATGACTTCGATGTCTTTGTTAGGACAATTTGAAATCAATGCTCCGAACAACCTTGAACAATTATCCACTCGTTCTTTTTCTGCAATACCGGGTGTACGAACTCGTTACTAAGCCGATTCTTCGCGTTGCTCCGTGCTTGTCAGACTCTGAAGCGAACTATCATTAGAGGACCGACATGATACTCGGTATGTTCGCTCATCAGTGCTGCTTCTCTCGTCATTTGATATTCCTATTTAGAGGTCTTTTTATCCTGGACTGTGTATTCATAGAAAGTAACTGATTTGGACAATGATCTTTCGATGCAGCTATCATATATGTGTACGCGCTTATACGACAATTTATTTGTTTTTCAAAATCCATTTTATGTCCGTTTTGGGTGACCTACACTGCTATCTGGTCTAAAGGGCTTCGTCGCATCACAAGAATTGCAAATGTCCCAGGTGTACCCCACGCCGTGCACGCCGGCCGTTTCAGAAGCACATACAACAACTCTCGAGACATCATCGTACGGTCTCTTGCTGCCGCCGTACGTCACTGTTCCCTCGTGCATGTGGCTCTAACCATTTGTGACACTGTTCGGGCTGTGGTGCATAGAAAAATGGCGGTCTGGACTTTATAAATTGTGAAGCACCACCTTGAAGGGGTTGATCGAAGTCGATACGATGTGGGAGAAACTGATTGATGAATGCCGCACTAGCGGAGCTCCAAGTTTCATAATTATGATTCTGGGCCAAGGCGCGACGCTGCCAAATCAGCCCCTCGACGTCCTGAGTAGTTGTGCTTGCAAAGTATGTTGTTAGTACTCGATAGTTCTCCACCATTAGTGTCATATGACATACCATTATGTATGTGTAGCCGGCGGCTGGGTGTGAATTGTATCCGCTCCACTCCGTGATGTCATGCCGCAAACAATTTACGAGACTAGCTTACGAGACTATTGCTAAAGTCTCATGCAGTTCTCGCGACCTCAGAAGTGACACTGCATTTTCCCGTATCAGAAGCGTCGACGTTGTGCTTATTTTCAGCCGTAAATGAATGGAAAGATAGTGTACAAAAGCAAACTTCGTACAACCACAGCGGACGACCGAAGGCTACCGCTTGTATCATGGCAATCATCATGATGTTGGGAAGGGAAGCACTTGCTGTGAAACACTGGTGGATAATCTTGTCGCCGATGTTGATTAGGCGGTAGACTCGATAGATGACCAGTTCTGACGTATGTCGTTTGATAATCGCTGGGGAATTTCGACTTACGTTAGACTGGTCGATCCCGTGTTTGACAAGGGGATCACGGAGTTTTAAAATCTGTAGACATTAGAGGGAAACAATGAATGGAAAGTGTAAGTGAAACCTAAGTATCAGCGATGCAGACTTTCGACGGACTCTCCATTGCAGAGCAGGGATGGCGAGGCACATGGGTAGGTGTCAGTACTTGCGGGGAAGGCCAGGAACAGTATGAGAAGCACCTGGGGTCGTGGAATGAAATTTCAAATCAGTGCTCGACAAGTGGTATGCATGGCCAAGAATGATACCACCGTCGTCAAAGCACGAGACAAGCCAGCCCTAGAAGCTAGATGAATAACTTGAAAGGTGCTCCGACTTATCGAAGGAGCCTGCAAGGCATTTAGGTAGAGAGAGGTTAACGATCAATGATTTTTAATTGGCTGACCACGTTTCTCTCCCGCATGTTTGAGAGTCCGATGTGAAATTCCAAACTCCGCGCTGGGCCACCTGTAATGATGTTCACGGGGGGTTTCAAACTATCTCTGATACGTGACAGGGATACACGACAGTGGGAAGTCAATTGTTGCCATGCTCCACTAGTATATATCGCTCTAAATAACGTTCTCATCTGTTCATCAGGTTCTCTGATGGCACATGTTTTTGATCCTGCCGACTGGTCGATGAAATATAACGAGATTCCACGTAGCCTGTGCCATATATATGATGCATAATTTCACCCATATAGTAAGTCTTCATTCTGCTACGTCACCATGTGCCTACTGGTGGAACATTTCGAAACTTCAAACTAGTACTGAATGATGCATATCATAGGTTCGAGTCATTTTTTCCCGGAGTGGAATACTATGTATTCAATACAAAATTCTGGTATAATTCATTTAAAAGTCTAACGCGACGAATGCCCTTCATGTGCCGTGCTTTAAAACACCTGAAAGCCTCCTGTCAACTTGACATATCCTCTTCGCAGTAATAATAGTTCTATTACAAATTGAGATTGACCGGGCCGTTTGGTTGAGTGGTGACACTTACCATCAACTTGGCATCGACGTAGCAACAAGATGGTACGTAGCCATTTGAGCAATTCCCTGAGCAGCTTTGGCACTCCTCATCATTAACATTCCCAGGCAGGGACGAATCCTTTCGCAACACAGGTAAGTACAAGTGTTTTTCTACGTCTTTGAATCTTTCTCACCTCCATGCAGCAGCGACGCTCTCCGTCACCACAACTAGTCGAATTGGATGAGGTTGTGTTCTGAACAGCAGTCATAACAGCGGCCATTACATAGGCTTTGGAAAAGAGAAGGAAGATGACAAAAATAGTGAAGAATCGAACGAACATGTCGATGTGTGTCGAGGTCTAAGTGAGTGCTTTCCATGGGCAGATGAGCCTTTTAAACTTCCGGTCTGCGGCCTTTCACCATGAGCCTGCACGGTAGTATTATGTCGGTAAAGTGAGTGGAACGTTGAGTGAACTTTGAATAACATCGTACCCGATGTCACTTGTCCCGAGATGTTCATTCATCAAGACAGCCATTATTAGTGCTCCAGGCCAGAATCAAGTCTAGAAGAAAACATCTATTAATGGGACAGGTACTAGGTCCGATTTATTTCAATGTTGGAAGGTTTCCGGTTTTATCATTATACGGGCAGTAGTTTGGACGCTTCGAATTCGTGATAGGCCGATCTCCGAGCTTAATACTCGACACACAAGATGAGGAGACAAACGTGCATTTTTTGTGGCGCACTGGCCTGGGTGAACTTGAAAGGTGCTCCAAGGAAGATAAAGAGAGGGGTTAACGATCAACGGTTTAGTAGTTGGCTGACTACGCGACTACATTACATAATGCCATCGCTTCTCTCCCGCCGTTCTCGAGCTCAATGATATTGCAAGTCTGCAAAGTTATATTATCCTGTGTGGTGTCTGGACACTGGAAGGCTGACAGAAAGTAAATTCACCGGCAGTCTCGAACCATCAGTACTATAAGTACTAACGGTCAACGAGTACATTTTTTGCGGCAGTCTCAAACTCTCGGCCAAGAGCACTGGCCTAGGTATAGCTATGTGCCTATTGAACTATTTCATATTCAGGATCTTGGCTGATCTATGTTTTCCCACCACTAATACAATAAGCGTTTCCCAACAAACCCCAGCGCAATCAGACTTTACTGGAAAATTTTACCTCCCGAACCAACGATTCCCAGATGCCCTCAAAGCGTTTAAATACTTACGGTTTCTCGGGACAGTTGAACAGGTGCTGTGGCTCTATCTGCTATCATCCCACCCTTTGTTCGCGTCTGTTGATGAGATTCTGAAAGGATCACAGCTGACGGCCGCCTCATGAATCTTCATCGGACATCAACGTGCGCTAGAAGGCCAAAGTTCATTATACGATTTCCACGCTCATTCATGCGACATCGCTAATTGTGAGCTTGTGAGCTTCTCGACATCCCTTTTTTTCTTTCTTCAAAATTAGCTCTCTTTTCTCGCACTCGCGATTTGACATCTTGGATACTCGAGCTTGTTCTTTTCATGTTGTACAAATGGCTTACATCGTATCATTTTCATCTCGAAAAGACTCGTATACGAATCTGGAACGTCTATGCGACTATGGAACTTTCGATCCACGGGAACCCTGCTGTCATACCAAAGGCTGCGTAAACGAGCCGCCGGTGATGTAGTCTGTGGTTTCGTACAAAAGTCAGTATGAATAATGCAGCCAAATCACAGTTGATGGTGTGTTGCTCCAGGTTTTTCTTGGCCCAGGTGTATTCAGCTGTGACAGGGCAATATAACGGAATGTTTTCTGCTCTGTTCGCAGTCCAATGTTTTGCTTCAGCCCCAATCACTTTGACCGAGGAGGTCAGGAAATTTACCATCAATATTCCCACTGCCTCACAACTTGGATATCAAGCTGCTGTGGAGGGTATTGTTCTCCTGAAGAACGACGGTTCTCTGCCGCTCTCAAGTAGCATCAACGATATTTCTCTGATCAGCCCCTGGACAAACGCAACCACCCAGTTGCGGGGTACTAATCACTTTGGTGTTGTTCACTATCTGCATCAGCCTTGTCGCGGGTGCGATGGATGGTGGCTATAACGTCACCTACAGCCTGTTGGGCACCAACATTCCATTTAACGATACGAGTGAATTTGCTGCTGCTGCAAAGGAGGTAGACATCTACGTTGGGGATATCGATCTCACCATTGAGGCCGAGGTCACGGACCGCTACACGATTACTTGGCCCGGCGACCAGCTCGACCTTATTGCTCAGCTTCAGATGATAGGCAAGTCTTTGTTTATGGTGTAGTTTAGCGGTGAACAACCTGATAACTTTGCTCTCAAAGGTAATGCTTCTGTCAGCAGCCAATCTCTCTTTTTGATTCAAATTGCTCAATAGTTGTTTTAGGTCAATACGCTCAGAGTCATTTGGGGTGTCTAGGTCAGAGTGGTTTAAAAGGCCGTTTTCGACATCCTCAGTGGCAAAGTTACGCCTGCTGCCTTGTATCACGTAGTACACGGAAAGCTATGTCAACGAGATCACCGTGACCATGACGGGTATGAACCTCCGTCCCAAGTCAACGAGTCCTCGTACCTATATCTAGTAAACGGACATGCCTTTGGATATGGCGAGCCCAGAGTGCATTTTATTACAAATGGGTGCCATCCCCCGCACCACCATACAGCATCCAGGCTCTCGTTGACGGGGGGGAGGGGAAGTATGCTGCGTACTCGGATGACCCACCGCTCGCTGTCAGTGTAACAGACTCCGGAAAATGTACGTGAAATGCAATTTGTCACTCCACACTACCTCATTTCCTTATCTTCAGGGACATCTGACGATGTTTCCCTTATTTCTACCGGTGGTGCATGTGGACATGCCCCTACCCCAACAAGGTTTTTTTATCTGAATTTCCAATTTCTGTCTATTCATAGTGTAACTCTATGTCGGACTCATCTGAAAACACCCGTATCTCAATCTCATCTCGGGGTGCGCGAATGCCGGTGTTAGGCGCACTTTACCAGTCCGCTGTTCCTGCGCTTTAGACGCATCACCCTCGTTGATGGGATGTGACTTTGCCCAACTAGGTTCTTGTCAAACACCCGCTCTCACAGCTGCCGATTACACTCCAAGAGCAGATATCAATGGCGATTTTTGCCCTGGCCCTGGTACGTATTAGTTGCGCCCGACACTAGTAGAGTTTTGACAGATCACAAAAAAATCTTCAACTTTTTTTCGAGTCTTTGTTTTATTGTCTGTTCGGCTTTAACCCGTCATGAACCTAACAGCGTCATCATCGAAGGATAATCCATGACAAACACGTCGAAGGCCTTGAGGATCACCATGAAACGATGGGATTTCGCGGTAAGCAAGTGAGCCGTGCCGTCAATTTGAATTTGAAGTGCGCCCAGACCTATACTCTCTTCTAGGGTACAGACGATATGAAATTGATGTCCCGAGAGACCCTAGCATATATCAAATCCTTATTCTTTTCCCGCAATACACGGTGTATGAACTCGTCACTAGACCAATTCGCATTGCTCAGAGTCGGAAGCGAAGTATCATTAAAGGACCGACGTTGGGATCAGTTATTTCATGAACCTGACCCCGTATGTCCGTCCTTTGATGTGTCGAGTCATTAATCAGTATTGTTATTTGTCTTAGTGATTTGATATTGCTGTAGAGTTTTATCCTCGTCTGTGTATTCATAGAAAGCAACTAAATTGGAGTATGAAAAATTAGATCTTTGGCACATTGCAAAATGATGCTACGCGTGTTTCAAGCGTTTATACGACAAAGTTATTGAGACGCCATCATTTTTTATTTTTTATTTGCATCGTATTTTAGTCCTTTGTGGTCGTGGAGACTATATTGGACACGTTTCGTAGTATCCTTTCCCCGTATGGTTCATCATACGTTTTTCACGCAGTCTCTATCATGGTTCTTTGTACGTCTTCCCCGTGCATGTTGTTCGAACTCTTTGCGATGCTGTCGGGTTATTATTGGACTGCACTCCATCGCCGTGACTTCTAGACTGATGCATCAGAAGGACGCACATCAAAAAGCGGAGCTATCAAAAAAATGGCGGGTCTGGACTTCATACAACTGTGAAGAGCCTCAAAAGATCATGGAAGAAAGATGCGTACGATATGGCAGAATCCTGATTGATATCGAATGGCCGCACTAGCGGAGCTCCAAGAAAGTTGAATAATTAATGAAAGTCTAGGTGAGCCCCTATCTGAGGCACGCACTCGATGTTGTGCTCGCGAAGCATGTTGATCAAAGAGTCCGGGAACGAGGTCGTTTTTGATAGTACGTACTAGTTCTCCCACTATTTGTGTTATACGAGTGATGATGATATCTCATCGTGCTGTTCAACTTTCAAGTATATGACTGCGATTTAAGCACGAAAAGAGCCGCCGGTTCGGTGTTAAATGTGTCCACTCCGTCAATGCTCGCGGCGCCAAGACTATAGCAAAGTCTCACGCTCGCGATCGATCGATATCTTTGATCCGTCGACTAAATATAAACTACATTTTCCCATGTCAAAAACCGTCATTAAATATAAGCGCAAGATTCTGCTGATGACGTAAGTGTACGAATATGGCTTTTATATGGATTTATTAAATGATCCATTGGATGAAGACTGCACACAAATCATGCGATATCTTGGTTTGACAGACCAGTCTAACGTGACTTTTGACGTAGTCGAGCTGGTCGATCTTGGAGAAATGAATATTTGGCAGGCGATGACGGAATTAATGAAATTTGGCAAGTACCGCGCTGGATGTCGTAGACATTCAAGTTGTGCTGCAGCTAAATCCAAATTACACGCACTAGGTGTGGGAAGCTACATGAGTACAGAACTGGTGGAGTGCTTAGAGAATTGGACCTGGGATCCAGAGCACACATTGGCGTATGTAGAAGATCGAGAATCGGTGCGCTGTTGGAGGGAGAAGCAAATGCATTGTGAGGGTAGGGCGTGAATGGCAGGTGTGATAGTGGGAGATTGCGGTTGCTGTTGTGAGGTAGCGCAGGTGCTGAGCGCTGAGGCGCCAGAACACGGCAGGAATGAGAGAGCAAGGAAAGCAGTAGATGGAAACTGAAAGTGGCTCGATTCCGGAAGAATAGGTGACACCGAAGTCTGAAGAACATGAAGTCAGTTATCGGCATAGACTATCCAAATATTAAATAGCTATCTATATAGCAATAATCAAGATACCATGCCAACCTAAATCAACTCTGTTCTTCTTCTGTCTCGGAACTCCACGGTGCTAGAGTATTGTTTACAAATGGGAAAGAGTTGGTAGACATATCTGTTGAAAAGTGACTGCGGAGATGCTATACAATACAAAAGTGATATCAACCGTCGAATGAGTCTGCATCGCAGAGGGCGAGTGTAGCGAGAAGTGCGGGGAAGGCCAGGAACGTCGATGTGACTAAGGAGAAGCACGTATGACGGCGCACGGAGCCTCGACGCAGATCAACCCGATTGAAATTTCAAATCAGTCAGCGAGCGCTGAAAATGCGAATATTATTTAAATACTGAGTTTAAATTTACATTAGCTCCGAGGATTGCAATCAAGTCTTCTGTTCGCAATGCAGCCACCGCCAGGATAACGTCAGCCCCGCATATGCATTCTTACACAACGCTTCCATCCGATGGCCAGGTGCGAAGTCAAAGCTGAGGAGGACCGCAAGTCAAAGTATTCATATCCATCGTACTCTCCGTGTGGTATCCTTCGTATTATCCCACAATGCTCGCAGCTCCTTCCCCCTAAGGATAATAGAAACCAACGATTTGAAGGTGAAGGAAGGTCCTCCGAGGATGGCAAAACTGAATGCCCAAAGTAGCAAGACATTTAGGTAAAGAGAGGTCAGTGCCTGTGCCTCGCATGCATTACATAATGCATCGTGTCATTCTTCGCCTCCCGCCATACAACTGACAAGTCTGCCTTGTGTCTTGGACACCGGACAACAACACGTAAACTCTTTGGCAGTCTCAAATCACTTGTACTAGGTACTAAAAATCAACGAGTACATGTTTTGCGGCAGTCTCACGGCCAAGATTCGGAACGCTGGTATTGAAGGTACGCGACTATTAGACCGGTTCATGCGCGGCCTCAGGCCCAGGCCTTATTGACGCTTTTTCCCGAACTACTACAATAAGCATTACTCAACAAACCCCAGCACAGTCAGACCTTGCTGGAAAGAAAAATTTACTTCCGAATTTCACGATTCTCAGATCAAAAGATTTTCTGCTATGGCATTCTCCGTGTCCCCGAAATATCCTAAAAGCATCGCTCTAAAATGAATTATATAGATAGCAACCGAAGAGAGATAATGCTCGGTAATCTTCTGATAGCAGGCTGTCCAACTTGTCTCGAATGATCCTCAGGACTTGGGCCAGAATCTTAATATTCGTGCGTTATCTGCCGCGAATACCTTCCAACTATCCCATCTATTGGGATGGCGCGCTGGCATCACCCGAACAGCGATGATCTATGTGTCAAGACCCTTTTCTGTTAAATACCAGGTGAGCCGCCTCCCCTGTGATCATTCTCATTTCACGATGCCCTCTTCTTACGATGTACTCATTGTTGGTGCCGGTGTAGCTGGCCCAGCCCTCGCCTATGCCCTCGCCATCAAGACATGCGACAAGCGTCATACTCCTCTACGGATAGCTCTACTCGAGCGATCCTTGTCAAAGCCAGACCGCATCGTCGCCGAATTGCTCCAGCCCGGCGGCGTTACCGCGCTCAAGCAGCTCGGTCTAGAATCATGCCTCGAGGAACTCGGCTCCGTTTATTTGTCAGGTTATTACGTTCAACGAGGGGAGCAGGGCATTTGCGCCTCATTCCCTGAAGGCCATAACGCACGAGCTTTCGAACATGGGGCATTTGTCATGGCCTTGCGCGAACGCGCACGGCGGGCACCCAATGTCGACGTGATCGAGGCCACAGTAACGGCTCTCATTGAGAGCGAGGATACACAACGCGTAGTAGGTGTTCGCGCCTCCACAGCGGGTGGTCAGCCAGAGCCATATTTCGCTCACCTCGTCATTGTCGCGGACGGCTCCTCATCCAAGTTCAGAAATGCCATCCTCGGGAACATGCCGTATGAGCCTTCCCAAAAGGGTTACTTGGCAGGTCTGATTTTGAAAGACATGACGCTGCCGGTGCCCAATTATGCCACTATGATCGTACTGAAAGACGCTGGACCGGTCGTCCTTTTTGAGCTCCCCAATAACGAGTATCGGATGCTGGTCGAAATGAAGGAGTCGCCGCCAGACCTCAAGGTTTGTAATTCTGCTTTGTAGTGTGGTCGTGATCGCCCTTGCTTACTATCAATATTGCAGGAGCATATACTGCGTGACGTTATTCCTCAGCTTCCAGTAACGATACGCGCATCTGTTCTTAATGCTGTGGAGACGTCGCGTGTGCGAAGAGCCCCGCATTTTTATCTTCCGCCCACAAAGCAGGGTGAACGTAACAAGGCAGGCGCGTTCCTACTAGGAGATTCATTGAACATGCGCCACCCGCTCACTGCGGGTGGAATGACGGTCGCCTTGAATGACGTAGTCATTCTCTCCGATCTTCTGAGCCACATCGAGAGCCTCAGCGACTGGCATGAAATCTCGGCCGTCCTCCAGAAGTGGCACCACTTGAGAAAACCGCTCGCGTCCACTATCAATACCATGAGCATGAGTTGGGCTGGCATATTCGCGGCCCAAGGTACGTAAATATTAACTGTCAAATTCTTAAAGGTTCATGATTGACCATATACGTAGGCGAAGCATTTGACATTATGCAGGAAGGAGCATTCAAGTTTTTCGGGAAAGGCGCCAAGTATTCCGACGAACCCATGTCATTAGCAGCTGGGTCAGTAACACACACATCATCCCAACGATCGCGCTAATTTGGTTTTTGGAATTCCCAGGATCACCCAATCTCCGTCGATGCTGGCACGCAATTCTCTCGCTATAGCGGCATACTCCATCTGGGTGCTATTCACCCATCCTAGACCTGGAAATAAATACGCTCCGCAATTTTACGAATACCCGTTGCTTTTTGTCAAAGCGCTGAACGTGGTAAGGTCATTTAATGCTTTTGGAATATGTTGATTGATTTTTGATGGGTTAGATATGGACTCTGGGCCTTGTGATGGGGCCGGTGATGTGGGCAGAGATGTGATTTAGACAGCATCGATGTTTGAAATGAGTGTATGAGCTCTTGTATTGATGGACAGTCCGCAGTAGAGATTTTGCCTCGTGTACCTGTCTCGTCTATGATTAATTTATTCTTCTGATTCGCATATTGCTCCAAGTCCATCAAAGACTTTTGCGACTGGCATAAAGCCAGAATATTAATTAGCGACTGATATAGGGCTTTGATATCGGACGCCACAAAGGTTGACGCACAAGCCATTATTGGTCGTGTCGACATCGTTATTGATGAGTCGACGTTGACGTGAAGTGACTTCAAGGGAATTAGTTGTTGACGTTGCGATGACGGCTGTTTCATCAGCATTGGACCGAGCTCCAGCGTGGTCATATTTGCGACAAGGAAATGTTAAATGAAATGAACCATGAGGGATATTTTGTATTGGATCGGACTCAGTTAATAGTGTATAACGCGCATTATACCGACCGTCCACAGTAGGAACGCGCGCCGCACCAAAAGTCGACTCTACAACCACCCCATCATGATTGGAAACAGAGCTCGGCACATTGCAATTGTGCAAAAAAGACAACACTAAAAAAAAAAAAAGTAGTGGAAATTTCTGAAGACCAAATTCCATAGAAACAAACATCGTCAGTCTACCCTCAAGAAATCACCGATAGCCTTGAAATAATAATCCCTATCCTCGAAGAACGCGATATGACTCTTCGCAAACCTGACCCACTTGACTTTGGGGATGTTCTCGATGAAAGGAGCGATAACGTAGTCCTGAGCTCCCTCTTCGGGCCCATTCGTGACGAGCGTAGGGCATGAAATACGATGAAGGCGGTCGATCACAGACCAGGTTCTCAACGAACCGGTCGAGTGGAACTGTGCGGGGCCCGACCTGAATTTAGGACTGAGCTCAGAGTCCTCCAGGATTCAAGTGGGCGCGCTTACATGGCGTTCGACACCGTTGGATCTTCTTCCACAGAAGCAAACGAAGCAACTAGTTCTTCGGGCCAGGGTATCGTCTGACATGTGTGCTTGTTCATGAAAGTTTGGATGGCTGCCTGATACTCCGTCGATGAGACGGTGCCTTCTCTCTCGTGCTTCAACACCATCTCCTTGAACTCTGCCGGAAAGGCTTCTAGATATCCCAGCATACTCTCTTCCCACAGTTGCTCTGAGGGTGGAGAGCTGGATATGACTAGACGATGGAGTCCAGGAGATTGACGCTGGGCGACATAGTCAGCAGCCAACATCCCTCCCCATGAGTGCCCCAGAAGGTCAAAGTCACTCTCGATACCGAGCTGCACAAGAAGGTTGTCGAGTTCATCCATGAATAATTCTGGGGTCCAGAATTCAGCAGGTTTGTCACGAAGATGAGTAGATTTCCCGATGCCGAGTTGATCGTAGAAGATGACTGGGATGCCATACAGCGAATAGATCTCGATGTGCGATATCATGTAGATATGAGACATTCCGGGACCTCCGTGAAGCGTAACGAGTGGCCGTTTGCCTGACTTGAGGTCACCGACGACGTTGTACCAGGTTTGGTATGTCTCGTCGCCGACTTTGAAGTCGACAGTGCCCGTGTTACTACTCATCAGTGGGGTAGGTGGTGTTACACTGCATTGTTCTTCAAACGAAACTCTATAACAGCTGGGTATGAGTCGTGAGATCTTGTGGGACCCTTCGATTGGACATGTGGAATCTAAACTTGAAGGCCATCTATTTTCCCAGATCGCTTATAATAGCAACATCGCTGGGAAGACGGACGCCGAGGTCTGCTGTTGTATATCAGGGGTTTTGGAATCAGATCTGACCGGTCGGACCTGGTACCGTGGTCAGGAACTATGAGTGTGGCACCAAACTAGTCCACGACACCACCATTGCATAAAGTGGTTAACATAGCACGAGCTGTGATATATGATACATGATGCATGGAGCAGGTCAACATAGTCGCTCGGTAACTTGTCTAAATTTCTGTCGTTGAATGACAGATATTTGAACAAGGGCATGCTTGCTGGCAACAGGCAAAGAAAATGCGGATGACCTTTAGGATACGACATTGTAACCGTGGGAAGTATAGCATGGAATAGCAAGCTCGCATGAGGTAAGCCAACATATTGAGAGACGTCCAATTCCAAATCAAACCTGTTTTCTTGCCACTTGACTGAAAAAGTACTACGCGCGCGAAACTTTACTGACTGTCATAAAAGCACGAGCGCCATCAAGAAGAGGTTGTAAGACTAGGGGTCGGCGTCGCCGACGTGGACCTTGCTCAGTTGTTGACTCTTATTTATTTATCGATCTCTGCGAAAGGCGTGCAAGTATTATTGGATGTCATGCACTCTCAGTCGGTGGGCCTTCACTTTGAATCAGATATATTCGTTGAACCAATATATCTGATTTCTTCGTCGTTACCACGAAAACAATGACTGTAAAATCGGTGTCATATGTAAATACCATCTAAAATATCCATAACGGACTCATTACTGCAATCGTCGTCGTCACTAAGGCGGCGCCTGCAAGTGTCGAGTTCAGATTTTGAGGATCGGAAAAGGGCTTGAGGACTCACCCCTCTCTGCACTTCTGCCAGTGCTGTCCATGTGCCATGCGGCTCAAATCAAGCTCAACACCTCCTCTAGGGATCACCATTGCAGTTCCAGGGCTATAAAATAGGCGTCGAGAAGCAGGTGGTACCCAGAATAAAAGCCGCTGTTTGGGCCCCACCACCCATCCGTTTTTACTGTTCAGGAAAAAGGGGGTCGAGGGGGTCAAACGGTGATCGTCATGGGATGCTCCCTCCATGAGCTCATAGGTATCACATAGCGCATGGATGGAGGTAGATGAGAAGCGAATGAAGTGATTGTTCCAGGTGTTTGATTTCATGGTAGTGGTGGCCTCGATCGCGCGATGTTCAACTGGAAGAGCTGGATGATCTGACTCGGCGCACTGTTGTGATGACTGCCTCATCCCTGCATCCCACAGCCGAACAGTGCGATCCAAAGAACCAGTGACGATGCGAGTGCCATCCGGCGAGAACGAGACCGACCAAACTGAAGAAGTGTGCCCCCGCAAGGGCTCACCGACTTGCTTCCCCGTCCCTGCATCCCACAGCCGAACAGTGGAATCCTGTGAACCAGTGACAATGCGAATGCCGTCCGGCGAGAACGAGACCGACAAAACTGAAGAAGTGTGCCCCCGCAAGGGCTCACCGACTTGCTTCCCCGTCCCAGCATCCCACAGCCTAACAGTGTCATCGTCCGAACCAGTGACGATGCGAGTGCCGCCCGGCGAGAACGAGACTGACCGAACTGAAGAAGTGTGCCCCCGCAAAGGCTCACCGACTTGCTTCCCCGTCCCTGCATCCCACAGCCGAACAGTGTCATCCGAAGAACCAGTGACAATGCGAGTGCCGTCCGGCGAGAACGAGACCGAGTTGACTGAACTGGTGTGCCCCCGCAAGGGCTCACCGACTTGCTTCCCCGTCCCTGCATCCCACAGCCGAACAGTGTGATCCCTTGAACCAGTGACGATGCGAGTGCCGTCCGGCGAGAACAAGACCGACCAAACTGAAGAAGTGTGCCCCCGCAAGGGCTTACCGACTTGCTTCCCCGTTCCTGCATCCCACAGCCGAACAGTGTGATCCCTTGAACCAGTGACGATGCGAGTGCCGTCTGGCGAGAATGAGACCGACCAAACTGAAGAAGTGTGCCCCCGCAAGGACTCACCGACTTGCTTCCCCGTTCCTGCATCCCACAGCCGAACAGTGTGATCCGAAGAACTAGTGACGATGCAAGTGCCGTCCGGCGAGAACGAGACCGAGTTAACTGCATCAGTGTGCCCCCTGAGCACGTTCTGAACAGCCAGCCAGTGAATATCACGTCCAGCTGCCACACGAAGAGTATTCGGAAATCGTGCGGAAAATGTTCTCGATAGCGGAGAGTTGGCAGGCGAGAATGGGAGTGCTGATACATATAGATGCGGTGTGCTGTGTAAAATGATGCTGCCGAAGACTTGAATGAACCTTTGTACGTCCATTGCAGTCAATGAGACATCTTTGAATTCAGGATGACCCTGTTGTTGCGCGTGAGCGTTTTAGCTAGTACTTTGTAGTCATGTACTCACCGTTAACCACTGGGGAATGAGTCGAAGGGCATGAACTGCATTGCTAAGGGCATTGATCAGGGCGAGTAACTCTATCCAGAAAAACAGCCGCTCGTGGTCGAAAAACACTTTCACTTCTTTCGCAAGCTCCTCGTCAAAGGTTGTGTCTCGTACGTACGAAATCCAAAATCGAGAGGAATATGACAGATGTGGAAAGATGTACTTTTGGACTCGTTCTTGCAGTCCGGGGTCTTTGCTATTGGGTAGATACGACGACTTTAAATTGCAGATATTGAAGCGAAGACCGTGTTCCATTACTCGAAGAGAAGCGAATGCAAGGCCGCGTTGCGCCTTTGACAGGTCCACGAAAAACTCTTTGCTGGATGATTTGTCTGTCAAGAAATCGCGGAAGGATGCATGAAGGGGTCGTATTGGGGAATCTGCGTTAGTGGTGCCGCTCAGGAGGGAGCCCATGTTTTGTACCACAAGCTCCACTTCGACATTATCCTCTGGTGTTGGAAAATGGCGCCTCATGGCTTTCAGGGAAGCTAAAGGAAGGGGTTCAGCTGTGCCTAGGATTTGTCCCATCACTGAGCGGAACCTTGCTAGCGCCGTCGGATGCAATTTCGGGGAATGCTGGACATCGGTAGATGTATCCTTGGGCATGATACTTGTTAAAATGAAGCGATAAATGCCGTGCAACTCGGCAGGACCGCGTGACATCACTTCGTTGTAGCAATCAATTGGAGATAGCCCCACATGGCGCCCTTTGATGTATCCGCAGGCGAGACGCGCCCACTCGAAAAGTCCATCAGCTTTCTCAGCGAGATCTGCGATTATTCTGTTCTGGAAATTTAGTCGCTCCAACTCATTGGATACGTAAGCACGGATGTCGCGCTCTGTAAATATTGTTGGAATATCATCCATCGACATCTGTCGAATGTGCTTAACTCCGCAAAACTCGTCTTCGATGTCACCAAGCGGGCGAGAGGTGACAATAAAGCGGAAGTTGTTTGGGAGGGCTGTGATATTAGGAACATTGGGGTTTTGATATTTGCCTTCTAGAATACGGAGGATGTCTTCCCGTGTCTTTGCTTCACCGCTCTCGTCCAGTGCATCGATCACGATCACGATGGGTTCTTCAGTTGACATACTTGACTCAGTTGACTTCTTGAGTGGTTCGATAAGCAATTTCTGCCACTGCTGGACGATATCTGTCGTCTTGAGCGACATTGTGGACTGAACTGCTTCTGCCAATGCCCGCCTCATCTCGGGTCACGGTCAGCCAGGTCGCGTGCGATCGTGGAAAAGATCTTTTCATGGCGACGATCTGCTTCTCGCTGGCGGTCAAAACAGTAACATGAACCAAGCCCTCCCACGTCGTTGAACCACTTAGCAATGGTGTGTGCGATGGCCGATTTTCCCTTGCCTGCAGGGCCAGATAGCCACAGCACGCGTGGAACATTGTTCCCAGTACTGTTGACCCACTTCGTAATGTCAGAAAGTATTTCCGTGCGCGTTCCTTGTAGGCATTCTTTCCTGGTATCGAATCCCGCGCCCTCTGCATAGGTCATACCGCTGAGCTCCAGTATTTGTCCTGGAAAGGTATAAATATATGTCAAGTCACCGAGGACATCCAAATCCTTACCTATATGATGGACCTGTATGTCTATGTCGTCGACCTGTACGGCTACATCAAGCAAAACCTGGTGCCGGAAGTTGTCCATGAGCCTATCTAACACGTCGTTGTACTTTTGGATCGTATTTGTCGTTTCCGAGACGACGTTCTTTCCGAGTCTTTTCCCTGTGATGGTGATATAAACTTGAGATGGTACAGAGCGCAGCAACGAGTAACACTCACAAAAGTTGCTTGTCTCCGAATAGTTGTTGATAAAATTGGCGCATTCACGTATCTGCTTAGAAATCTTTCCAAGAACACTAGTAGCGCGCATAGACAATTTTTTGTCAAGCTTCCCGTCTTGTGTTATGAAGTCGTAAACTTCGCACAACTTCTTCAGAAGTTGGAGTACCGCTGCGTCACGATCCGCTTGAGCTAGAATGATCTGTGCAAATAATTGCTGAGCTATGAGAGATAGGAAGAGAAAAAGGGAAAACATACTTTGGCAGTACAAGACAACACGCCCAGTGCCATCTTTGCATATGGATGTAACTGTGAAACTAGATTAGTTCGGTTTCGATTAAGAGGAGGAACCATACATCAGCGATCTTCCCGATAACGTCGTCGAATATCCTGAGGGGTTTGAGATATGTGTCCTGGAATTCGTCAGCAGCATCGAGATCCTCTGGTCCGCCTTCGACGACAGATGCTGCAGTTATCAGACTGTCCCGAAAGTGAATGCATGCGATTTAAATCCTCTTGTGCACCCCGAAGTGCCGATTCAGTATCAGCCTCGATTTCCACATTAGATGGAGCAGCCTGAACCCGCGCAGCAATCACATTTAGAAAGAGCACAGAGACTAAAGGGCAAATATGAGAACTTACATAGGTATTTGTGGTCGATGGACGTTCACTGCTGGAAGGAGCAGAGCTGACTTGGCTGCGGGAATCCTTCGAGCGCTTGTTGCAATCTTAGTGGTGTTCCAGGATGCTCATCACGCATGTTCGTGGACTCACCGTCCTTAACTTTTTCGTATCTTCCTTAAGCTTCTTTAGAAACTGACCGATTTTGCTACGGGGTCGATGCTAGACGAAAGATGTGTCAGTGTTTGAAGTGGTGTGAGCTGAGTGATCCCATAAGCCACGTACCGAGCCTCCAGGATCTGTTACTTGACTAGATCCTTGAATTGAATCCCTAGATGAGTTGCCTTTCCTCGAAGTCATGGTGAATGCTAGTAGTAGTTGAAGCGAAGTAAGAATAAGGGCACAATCACTCCTGTGAACCTGCTGTGAACCCATTCTGGCATGCCTCGAGGCAGTTACTTACTAGCTGTGTTGCAAGCGCTAAACACCCGGATTTCGACCACATCTGAATCGTGCGCGTTGAATCTGATAGGCTGTGGGTTAAGCTTATATGGATGATTGAGACAAAGTACGTCACGGTAGTCTCTAGTATCTACTGACCAGATCTGAAATTTCACGACTATCTGCATGATTCCTCGCAAAACCTCGCAATATGCACCCATCCAAACGCTATGTGCGCTTCAATAGATGCTTGCAAGTGAGCCCCAAGACCAATATGATCGCAACGCTGCCTCCAAACATTTACCGACCGCGAGACTCAAAACGACCGCAGAATATGAAACCGAGTGCGTTGTGTTGCCCAGATACATCAATATATCACAGCTCGCCACGGCTGAAGCCAGACCATAGCTTCAGCTGGTCATTAATCCATGCTTCCGTGAGGAGCAATGTCGCCAAAATAACACTGGTTGAACTTTTAAAGTCGGATGATGAACGACTTACAAACAGAGCCTAGTACATTGTAGTTATTTCAGCGCTCGTTAAGAAATGAAGCAGTATCCACTTTGTGATCGAGCATCTCGGGCGTCAGCTGGAGCTCCAAGAGTTGTTCAGGAGGCAATAAGTTACGCACGATGTCGAGCTCGTGAGCGCTCTGACAACAGGATATGATCTGATGGACTATATGTTATTCCCAATCAGTTCCAGGGAGACGATGGGGTCCTATTGATTCTCACCTTGGAAAACAAGGAGTTGATGGAGTTGTTTGAAGATTGATTTGGAATTTTGGATGGTGCTAATTCAGGCAAACCAGGGTGCATCTCTCCTGCAAGCTTCATCTTGTGTGAGTGTATGTCATGTGTTGCGAGGATAGATATATTCACATCAATAGAAGTACCGTCGAGGTCGAACAAGTTGTCACTCACCAATAACTCGTGGTTAAATATCTTGGCAAGCGCCTGTCCAAAGTACTATGTGGATCATCACACCTTTCCACCAAGCTCCTTAGCGCGGGCGATGTGCTTCGCCAGCTCTTCTTGTTCAAAGTGAGGCTCAGGAGATGCCCATTTTCTTTGGATGGATGGAATGTACGATAATTTGAAATTGTACTCGAAGTACTTGCTTGATTCTTGGTTTGGACGTTGTTGACACTTGTTTATGCCGCGACCTACTCACAGACGCTCTCTGCGCCAGTTCAATACGACCTGTTCCATGCCATTCCGGAAATGCGTAATTTGGGGAGGGTCAAAGTCGACGACGAGCTCCATATCCTTCTTCGCTTCATAACAGCCTTGGCTCTTTCCCGTCAACCGTCCATTATCACTCAACAAAGGTTCTCCAATGAGCGCGTTCGTCCATTCGCAGGCGTACCTTCCATTCTCTGTCGTTCCGGTTCGGACCTGCAAAGAATATCATTCAGTGTTCTGATCTAGTGTCTACATGCAGAGTGCTCGAGAGGACTCTGAAAACACACTTCACAGGTCCAACTTGGAATCTTCGCAATATGAACCGTGAAATGAAATGTTAGTATTGTGTCTTAGGTGCAAACAAACTCGGAGAGCCGCCTGTCTTCTGACCTTCTCCTGCAAGCTCTGTTCTGGCTTGTTGTTTTGCTGTATTCTTGTGACGTCGTGTCATTCTGTAGAGTTCGACGAATCTAAGAACTGAGTACTGTGCCAGTGCGCTGATTCGCGCTGAACACGCCATTTCATGTGGCGAAAAGCATGCAGTTTAAGTTATATGTGATCGATCGTTTGTGATAGATGGATACCCACTGGTTAAAACGAAGCATAGTAGATCATAGTCTCGGTATCAGGCCAAGTTATAGTGCTCACGAAAGTCAGAGTTAACGGCCCCAATAACAGACCTGAACATGGTGGGGGACACGATTGCACCCGAGCCGGCGGATATTATACTTAGAATGATACACCAATTTTGTGCCCGTCTAAGTTGGTTCTCTCCTCCACCCGTCAAGCGTATTTTTGCATTCAGCTCTTTTTCAGATCTCCAAATCGTGACCCCAGTGGGTGGACATTTTTCGTTGCATATCTAGGTGCATTTTCACTCGGTTTAGTATGTTCACACTGGTAACCTTGTTCGTGTTACATGTTTACGAATACCTGTTGCTTTTGTTCAGAGCACTGAACGTCGCAAGGCCGAGTCATCTAATGCGCATCTTGGAACATGTTGACCGATTTTATTGTATAGATATGGACTCCAGGCCTCATAATATGGGCGGAAATGTGATCCTGTACTACAACATAGGCTCAATGTGTGAAATGAGTGTTGACAAGAGCTCGAGTCTTATTCGAGGGCTCCTTTGATTTCTCTATTCCTGATTTGACTGACTGCTGTGACTGCAGACTTATGTCGAGACTTAGTCTTGAGGTCACACAGAGATATCGATACTGCCATGGACTCGTCAGGGAAAACCTCCTTCGTGAAAACAAGGTAATTCCTGATAATTTTTGGTAATTGCTCGTAATTTCAGTGAAACCAAATTTCCCAACTCCAGTCGCAGTTACTTCGAATTACTTTTGGTCAATTTCGATCGAGTATCTTGAATTTAATCAAGGTTAGGACACACGAACATCAATTCAAGCAATCGAACAAAAATGTCGTCACCAGAAGATGTGAAAAGATCAGCAAAGTCGAGCTAGATATTGGTATCAGTACTATGGTATTGGTTACCACTAGTTCGTGCGCATCTCGTACAAGTTGGTCCATGACCCTGTACTCCCTTGGAGACAAGTAAGGGCGTTGGAGAAAATCACGAAGCTAATGACTATCATCAAGTTCCGCTTCCTCATTGACCATTTCTTGTACCATATCCATTGATCCAACACTCGCTCGATGAAGAGAATCACTCTCAAGCTCCCTCGCTACTCTGATAGGAAGTACTGCACAGACAGTAATATTGATTCCTTTGTATCTTCACTGATCTGTCGCCGGGCCTCTTTTCCCACTTTCATCATAGTGCACGCTCCTGTACGACCTTTGATTGCACACCAGAAAATAACACGTCGTCACGAATCACGAAGCGGCATCTCCTTGGCGCCATCACACCAAAGAGAGAGAGAGATTCGGATCTATGGCTAGCCTTCGAGGCCAACGTTAGACGAACGGATTCAAGATGGTCTGCACAGTGCGTTCCATCTTCGTACAACCTCCCAATATTAATCATCAACAGCGACAGCCTCTTGAACTCGGCCTTAGCGGACCACGAGCAAGACTAGGTATTGCACCATCAACCATGATATCAAAGCAAAAGCAGAAACACAATCTACTGTTGCGACGTGCCGCTCGAACTGCCTGCTTACTTTTCAAACCATATTGTGCAAGTTGACATTGTCGTTAACTAAGGCGTGCAGGTGAGTTGTGCAGTTGAATCCTGGTTGCACTGCTCATACTCACACAAAACCACGATGGGCAGTGGCAATCTTTATCTGATTTGCAAGGTTTGTCGGTACTGCATGCACTGACAGACATAGATGCTGTCATAGCAGCAACAACAGCGAGGAAGGAGAAACGCATTTTCTTTGCGAAGTGATATAGAATCTTCTGAAAGGAATCTCGAATGATATCTCTGTGGATGGGGGGACACTGTAGGACGACGGTCAGCTTTCTATACCCATGGACAGGATTCTAATTAATCAGGCAGAATCGTTATTGCTATCAAATGGCCGGAATTCCAGAACCTGCATGACCATGTTCAACTGTGGCCCAATCCCATTTCTCATCGTATCACTGCGTCTCGCTGGATACGCAGCTCCATGACAATCCCAAAATAGAACTGAGCAAGACCAACGTTCGACTATGCATCGATGCCCAAACGCGAGTCTGTACCTCGCGTGCGTCGATATTAGTGCTCCCGGGGCCTGATCGTCTTTGTCTAATTTCATTCGTCTCCGTTTGTCTGACCAACCGACGGCTCGCAGATGTATATGTAAGGCTTCTCTTCGATTCACCCCCTTATTAAAACCCGCAGACTTCACGACTGGCATAAAGCCATTGATTAGCAACCGATATAGGTAGTATCGGGCGCCACAACGGTTGACACTCGCAAGTCATGTCGACATCGTTATTGACAAGCGTTCTTTACTGTCGATGTTGACGTAAAGTGACTTCCATGCAATTAGTTGTCGACATCTTGCCGACGACTGTTCCATCAGCGCTTCAGCATTGGACCAAGCTCCTTCGCGAAAGGAAATGTCAATGAACCATGATGTGGCAGGGACTTAGTCAACGATGTACACTACGAATGAGGTGCGCAAACGAAACACTCTTCCCGTATCATGGTCTTATCATCAATCAGCGGGCAACATCAAAGCACATTCTCGTACGCGTTCGTCATAAACATACCCCGAGACAAGTAGTAGAAACTTCTGAAGACCGAAACCAACACTGTCAGTCTACCCTCAAGAAATCACCGATAGCCTTGAAGTAGTCGTCCCTATCCTCAAAGAACGGAGTGTGACTCTTCGCAAACCTGACCCATTTAACTTTGGGTATTTTCTCGATGAAAGGAGCGATCACATAGTCCTGAGCTCCCTCTTCGGGCCCATTCGTGACGAGCGTAGGGCATGAAATACGATGAAGGCGGTCGATCACTGACCAAGTTCTCAACGAACCAGTCAAGTGGAAAATTGCGGGCCCTGCCCTGAATTTTGGGACTCAGCTCAGGGTCCTCCGGGATTCAAGTGGGTGTACTTACATGGCATTTGACACGGTTGGGTCTTCTTCCACAGAAGCAAACCCAGCAACCAGCTCTTCGGGCCAGGGTATTGCTTGGCATGTGTGCTTGCTCATAAAAACTTGAATGGCTGTTTTATACTCCGTCGATGAGACGGTGCCCTCTCTCTCGTGTTTCAACACCATCTCCTTGAACTCTGCCGGAAAAGCTTCAAGATATCCCAGCAAACTCTCTTCCCACAACTGCATTGAAGGTGGAGAGCTGGATATGACTAGACGATGAAGCCCGGGAGGTTGACGCTGGGCGACATAGTCAGCAGCCAGCATCCCTCCCCATGAGTGCCCCAAAAGGTCAAAGTCACTTTCAATACCGAGCTGCACGAGAAGGTTGTCGAGTTCATCCATGAATAGTTCTGGGGTCCAGAATTCAGTGGGTTTGTCACGAAGATGAGTAGATTTCCCGATGCCGAGTTGATCATAGAAGATGACTGGGATGTCATACAGCGAATAGATCTCGGTGTGGGATATCATGTAGATATGAGACATTCCGGGGCCTCCGTGAAGTATGACGAGTGGCCGTTTGCCCGACTTGAGGTCACCGACGACGTTGTACCAGGTTTGGTATGTCTCGTCGCCGACCTTGAAGTCGACAGTGCCCGTGCTACTATTCATCAGTGCGATAGGTGGTGGTTATTGTGATACGTCGGATATGATGCGCAGTCATCATAATAGCTATGTGGTATAATGCAGATATTAGTAATACGGTACTAGCCTTGCATCATAACCTCGATCGGTGTTACAGCGTTGTGCAGGGAATCTAAAGGCTCCAGATCGGGAAGCCGAGGTCTGCAACATCAAGGCTTGGAGGATCCACAATAGGGAGTGTTTCGACGCACCTTCAAATGATCACTGATTCACGTTGCAGATAATCGATAACATCTTTCTTACAAGTTCACTCACCATCTCACAGTAACATGCAGACTGACACGAATGACTCTGAGATTCCAAAAGCCATCATACATGTCATTGACCCAGAGCGAGAAAACACTTTCCGTGCTCTAGCAGCTACAAGTGGATACCTCAAAGAGCAGAGTAGGAACAAAATTCGCTTGAAATGTACCCAGTGCGAAACGGAAATGGAGAAACCTCGTAAATGCTCAAAGGTCAGTAGTGGTATATATCTAAACACTGTCAGCAGGAATTCATCGACTGTCACCAAAATCACTTTTAGTGTAGGAGTGTTTTATATTGTTCACAAGAGGTAGGCTCTGCTACTGGAACGACAGTGAAGTCTGAAGCGCTGATGCCGTGCATGTGTAGTGTCAAAGGAAAAACTGGTGAGAGCACTGTCTATGATCGATACAGATCAAAACCCTTACCCAAGATCGCGCACGTCACGACAGGCCCACCCACAAACGAATCTGCAACGAAATCGAACACTCCTCAGGAGTACTCAAACTCGTTCGGATGTTCAGTGTAAATCCATTGCTCATGATGTACCTCAAAGCCGCTATCGTTCTCGATTGCAACCTGCTCAACAATCCCCGGGTCGGATTCGAGTTGCCGTTCCTGGCACGTGTTGATATTGCCTTTGAACCAAGTGACATTTTTGACTTTGTTGGATTGTATTTCGATGACAAGATCGTTCGGGAGAAACTTCAAGGGATGTTGCAAGTCAACGCCATGACTCCGTGGTATACGGGTATGCATGGCGAGCGCCCCCTCACACCCCAGCGAATGAACCAATGGCGCGAGATTCGAGAAAAGCATAATAGGGAGGGTTACGACAAAGATCCTGTCGGACTCCTAGATTTCTCTTATTCGGGGCTCTCGAAGAACAATAAATCAATAACCTACGCAGTAAGTGTTGGGTGTCACATTAACCCTGTCATCCTTGAGATGGCGATAGAACGCGAGCCCTTCGTACGCGTTTGTCCACTCGCAGGCACTCGGTTCAAGCAACCCATGACCGCTATGACATGTCTTGAGTAGGCCCTCCGTTCATATTCCCAGGAATTAGCAACGGAGCCCCTTATTATCACCTTGCACAGGTATATCAATATACATATTCGGGCGGATACGCAGAACCAGTTGCGTTTACGGAGTGAGATGACAGAGCAAGACATAGAAGTCATTCATGCAGCAGGTCGCGACGAGGACGAAGTTCCCGCTCAAGTTCTCAAAGAGAAGATGGAAAGAGAAATCATGTACAATAATATCGTTAGACGGGCCAAAGGCGCTCACAACCCAGAGACGCACCGAGCAAGGCAAAGGATGAGGTGAGACACATCTGGAACCTTAGTCTACGTGCTGAACAAGCTATGGAGACCCCGGCGTAATCCCTGCCCTTGCTGCGGGACTTGGGGCTGCAAGGGCTTTGCGACTCTCGTCACTGATCCTAAAGTTCGTGTGTGCATGTGGGATCACGCAAAAGGGGAGCGAGTCTAGTACGTGTGATTTCTTGCGAGTCCGATCTTTTTTGATTTTTGTACCAGGCCTGGCAAGAAAGGAAATACTTTCACAAAAGCCTTCTCTCCTCCACTCGTCCGAATCATCTTTGGATTCAAGTTAGCATTGTACAATACTGTATCACATATGGGGACCTTACTTGTAACTTGACCTGGATCTGTTGTTTGTTGTTGGAGATGGACCGTATGACCGTGGGACATCAAGACAACAGTGCATGTGTTGCGGAGTCACCCGGCACCAAAACCCTCGTACTACTACTAGTAGTGCATCGGTATGACAATCTATGATTGGACCTGTTAACGGGCCGTAAATTTCACACAGTACATCTTCGATAACTCTCCTGTGCTGCACACCGTGGCAGGCCTGCATGCCTTAACCTCGCAGTCCTATCTGTGCTAGTGAACAAAGGTGACATGCCATCCATCCAAGTGTTCCGTCGTGCGTACATGCAAGGCTATGGCTCTGACCGCGGCCCTTGGCGCTATCGTCTCTTTCCAGAGCACGTGCTACGTGCTCAGATCCTGAAACGCTGCACAACCAGTATCTCAAGTGACGGAAGCAGTCTTGGTGCTTCTATACAGCCTCATGACGGTTCGGCTAACGAGGACAGATATCTGATCGTGGATTTGAGCCTCCCAAATGGTGTCTGGAGCTTGAACTGTGTCTTCGATGGTGAGGCGCAGATACTTCACCTTTCCCCGCTTATCCTATCAATCAATTAAACATAACTTATGTGCAGGGCATGGAGGGCATGAAACAGCTGACTACCTCGTCGCCGAATTACCCTCTCTTCTAGTGGCTGGATTGTTGCCCACAGTAGCCAACTTGGAGGGTGTTTCAGATGTCCTTACCAGAGCGGTCTTTGATGTGGACGAAGCAATAAAACGGGACTTCCTCGAAGTATTTCCGGAAGAAGTCGAGGAGATCGCTACGATGTCAGATACAACAGTCAAAACGCGGGTCAACGACCAGTCTTCTGGAGGACGAAATCACCAGAAAGCCCTGCGTTGCTTGAGGGGATCTACAATCCTACTAACCCTCGTCGACCCTACAAGGAAACATCTTTGGGTGCTAAATCTCGGTGATGGCGTCGTGGGTAAGTCGAGGTGAAGGCTATCAAAGCGCAAGCGGAAATAAATCACTAACATCGACTTTTGAGCAGTCCTCGGAAGTAGGCGAGACGCGAGTTCGCAATGGGACGCATCCATCTTGAGCGATAATCACAATGCCAGCAACCCCGCTGAGGTCGATCGCATCAAACGGCAACACCCTGACGAACCAGAATGCGTTTTCGACGATAGAGTGCTCGGTAATCTTGCTGTCACGAGAGGTGAGTCTACCGAGTGTTGGATCATTCGATCTCACCGCGATGCGGCGTCAAGCTGTCGGAGACCACGCCTTCAAACTGCCTCGCATCTACACTGAGAAAATATTCTTGAATGTAGAACCGGGATTTCGCGTCCCTGCTGTGATTGAGTCTTTGATTCCACGAAATCTGAGCCCGCCGTATGTCTCGAATCTTGCAAGCGTTCGTTATGTCGATCTTCGTGAGCAGTCAAGCTGCGACTACTTTATCTTGATGTGTTCGGACGGCCTGGGAGACCTTTACGCGGATGACCCAAATCGCGTTGAATCCCTTACATCTCTCGTCCAGAAGTGGGTGGGAATAGTAGGTGACGTCGTGAGAGACGACATCCAGGAGGCAATGCTGCGCTTGTTAAGACACGCTCTGGGGGCAGAAGACATCGATGATGTCTCGCGCATGCTTAGCGTAGAGATGCCCGTCGCTTATATGGACGATACGACTGTGATCTTACAAGTGCTGTAGTATCCGATACGAAGGCATGTGCATGTATGGGGTAACGAATGCGGATTGTACAGATGCCAAGTGCCAAAAATGCTACGTCTGTAAATTATAGATAAAGTCAGGAAAAGTCGATTCGTGTATCATCGCAGATCTACGATCTCTAGTGGGATATCTTTCATTTGCACGTGCCCCTTATCTGCGTCCTAAACAACCAATCAATAGCTGTGGACGAACCACTCCAGAAGCTACGCACTGTGTAGATCGGCACTTCTGGGTGTGGATGGAAGGCTTCCTTAACATTGCAGTCCAAAATTGTTTGCAAGCCTGGCGGGTCGGTAAGGCGGAAAATTCCAAAGCTAATCGTGGAAAAAAAGTCAGGACACGAGTGGTGCGAGTAACGTGGTACGCACTTGGGAGTGAACTTTGGGGCGCAAACAACGGCAAAGGACTCCGGAAGCATACGCTGAAATCCAGAATGTGTATGTAGGTCAACCGACGACATAAAGCCTTCGTAAAGGGCTAGGTAAGCGAGAGATTTTGGGCTAAATTAAAGGACTCACAAGATTGTGAAGGATGCGTGTGAATCTAGCGAAGATCATTAGATGCCGATACACAGGACAGCCGGAGGAAACATACCCATCCCAAGGTAATCAAAGATCTTTCTTCCGTGAATTGCAGGACAAGCTCTTCCTCGTCCATAGTGCAGGTATCACTCGTTGAATGTTGCCTTGGAATCAAGAGTGTCGTGACAGTAAATTTATTTCCTCTGTCTTTTCCAAGCAATAGCCCACAGGTTTCGCGATTTCGTGCCGTATTCAGCGATGCGATGGATAAAAACCGTGGAAGGCATTCTCGTGGCAAGCTCACAGTCTTTAGGTCGGGTACTTGAACAGGATCGCTGGCTTTACGAGTGATCCGTGCAGACTCTTGGGAAGCGGTTCGGTACCGGTCACCATCGACATGATGTATAGGAGCGGGTGGTGGTGGAGGCGCAGCCTGAGGAGCTCGTGAAAGGGAAGAATACGGGGTTGCAGAATCAAAGTAGGCATCAGAAGGCGGCCGCGTATTTTGAGAGTATGGGTATGGTGCCGGCTGACTTGGCAACACAACCACAGATGTATCAGGGAGTTGATTAGTAGACAATTGAGAAGATTCTGGTACGAAAAGTAGGGAAGACCGTACAAGATTGGTGGGCTTAAGAGTAGGGTAGTTGAACATTGATTGCAGGGAAGGTGCGTAACCTTGCTTGAGCTGATGTTGCGACATGAGTTCTGGGTATTGAATATGTCCGTCCGGTGGAACAGGTGATGTTGTGGTTACTGGTGCAGGATAAGACGGGCTGAAGGGACAATGAGGTGCGCTCAAAAACGATAAGGAGATACTCACGGCTTCAAACTTGTTGGAGTTGTAGCGCGGTTTCTATATACCAAGTCAATACATGTAAATTCAAGATTCGAGGATGCTGACCTTGTTGGGCTCTCGATAGGCATAAGAAGAGGAGCTACATCTTCATAAAATTGTGGATCCGCGTAAGATGAACGCTGAGAACCGCCTGCGGACGCCGCAGGCATGGGAGAAGGAGCAATGCTGCGGCGAGCCTCCCGCGCAGCGAGCTCTGCTTCCTCTTGGCGTTTCAGAATACCCTCTTGTTCGCGCCTGCGTCTTCGTCTAACTTCATCTTGTTCATCTCTTATTCGGTCTTCATGCTTCCTGAACTCGTCATGCTCTCTCCGTTTCTCCACAGCGCTCACAGGGGTTACGGGGTCAGTAGTGGTACCTTCGCGATTGTAGTACGTCAAATCGAATAGCTGTGAATTCGCTGCGCGCCTAGCAGCTCCCAAGGCGTCTTCCTTTTTCTTGCTTCCGGTATCAATCTGTAGACGCGGTGGCTGTGTCTCGAATGAACGCATAGAATAACGTGCCTCAGCTCTTCGCTGCTCCTCACGCTTTCGTTCAGCATCTCTACGAGCTGCTTCTTGTGCTAGCCATCCAGAATCATCGAAGGGAGAGCGTCGACCATCATCTTGTCGCCTGTACTCTGTGTGCCTGCTGCCCTCTGGGTAACCGGTTGATGACGATGGCCTGCTAGATTCAATGTTTTGCATTCTCCATCGTTCATAGCGGTCGACGATGATTGGTTTGATTTCACCAAGATCAAGAAGAATTTGTTGACCGTTCTGAAAGGAGGGTTAGATAGAGTCACACTGAGATCAATTTCACGAGGGATCGATAAAGAGCGTATCGTACTTTGACAAAGTACACATTTCATGATCGGAAGAAACGGGAAGCGCAGCAGGCATGAATTACTCACAAGACCAAGATTGTGGCGCTGTGTTGGTGACAATAAAGTGTAGTACTCCTTGTGCATCGGAAGCTTCTCAAGAATTATTGTCGCAGATTTTGCGTATTCCATGAAGGCTTCCTCAAGTTCGCCAGCCTCGGCATATGCTCTACCAGCTTTCCGGAAGCCATCTGCTTTCTTCAGCCATTGCTTGAGACCTTTCGAAGGATCCCAAAGGTTGGAAAGAGCACGTTCTGAGAGCTCTGCAATTGTTAAAGGTCTCCGACTGGATGGACTCGGTCGTGGAGAGGGTCGGGGTACATTTGCATAAGGCGAACTCATGATGGAACGAAAGCAAGAGCATCTAACCACTACCGCTGGTAGCGTCCCGATATTTCGTAATTACCGTATTTAGAACGTAATGCTTCCGTGTGGCGGTTCTGGTTGATTCTGGCCTTCTGGACTTGGATGGACAATTGACCAAGTACTACATATATGTTCATACAACGTCCTGCGCAACACGCCCTTTGGCTCCGAAGTCGATCTAACAATAGCTAACAACATTTGCAATCCTTTCTGTCAGCGATGAGCAAACGGTGCTACTGGAGCATCATAATGATTTCGAAATGTCCATGTGAACACAACAAATCATGGCAGGAGGCTGAGTGCGAGTGTGGAAGTAGAAGCACATACGAAAAGCGCGGAATCTATGACCACATTTTGCAGGGCTCGTTCAGTCAGCTGTGCGTATCGATCGATGATCGGTCTTTAGTTCTTGTTCCGTAGACTGAAGTCCAATCACAGGTCAATTGGGGCACATGGAGGGTCCGTAGATATGACCATGAGTTTCCCTGTTCAGTCTCACTCGTTGTCATTCTAGGAATAGTCGAGAAGCGACGGTTTCTATTGCTTGCACGATGTAGAAGGCAATGGACATGATCGGCATGGCCTAATAGATCGAAGCTCGGCTTTTCAATAACGCATAAATGTCAATCGCTGCGAGGCAATCATCTGACAACACTGCATCCTGAGTATCACTACCACCTGACCTGCGACGCCGATGCATGATGACACGGATAGATATCCACATAATATAACACCAGTAGATCTTTTAACGCTTCTATCAGCTCAAAGGGTCCTAAACTAGCAGATAAAATATGAACCTACCACAGCAAACAGAGTTTGCGTGACATGCAAGGCTTCCGGTATATGATTTGAAAACGTCCACGAAGAATGTTGCCGGTTCACCTAGAAATATGTCGCGATATTTACCAGTCCATCTTCGGCACAGATGACGTCGATGACGACGATGTGCTTGTATGATGTTAGCAAATGATATCAGATGTGAGAAGCAAGAAGCGCTGACTGTATCAACAGTAGGACAGCCACCACAAGTTGATGTCCTGTTGTAAGTAGATCAAACAACAAATAACACGCAAGTAAAAAAGCCTGAAGAATTGTCAACCACCCGTACGAAACAGAGTGACCACATTGCAATACCCACCGTATGGAATATCTTACAGTGTTGATGACATCATAATGGCAGCATCCCTTGGCATGCCGGTTACAGCCACGGCGAGAACACTGTCTATGGGCTAGAAGATCAGTGAAGGTGCGGGAATCTTTACCATCGTGTATATCGTTATTATTGAAAAGGACAGGCGCCAAGCGCCGGCTGATTAAAAGAGCCATCACACAGCTTCTTACGCCGTACCTCCCCTTAGTTTCCAATCCGACAATATATTGACTACCCACGACGAAGATTATTAGATCTAGTGATTGCCCGGAGCATCAAGTTCCAATTGCCCATGTAATCGTGACAAACAGTCAAAGTCACGACATGCGCAGAGCGTCAATCGTGAGACGTCGAGGGCTGTGCGACGTTATGAAGTCATAGTGTTTTGCGGGAAGGATGTGAGCCGTGCAGCACTTCCTGTCAATTTGAATTGAGAGTTCAAGACTCTAGTGGTGTCGAGCACAAGCTCATAAGTGCCGGGGTAGAGCCAAAAGTTGCCATTGGTATCTGCTCTTGCGAGATTACCAAGTGCAATCGGTAGCTCAGCTATTGCAGTAGCGCCTGGTGCAATGCTGTGAGAGCGGGCGTAGCTGACAAGATTCTTGTTAGGGTAGGGAGCATCTCCATATGTGCCACTGGCGAAAAGAAGGGAAACATAGTCAGATGTTCCTGAAAATAAGGAAATGAGATAGTGTGGCGTAACAAATTGTGGGCCACATACTGTTTCCGGTGTTCGTTACACTGACAGCGAGCGTAGCAAATAGTGCGCTGTCCAAGTACGCAGCATGCTTCCCTGCATCAACGAGAGCTTGGATGCTGTATGATGTTGCGGGGGCTTGCACCCATTTGCAAGAGAATGTAGTGTAGTGCTCGCCATATCCGAATTCGTAAACAGGCGTGTCGGTGTACCAGATATAGGTACGACCCGGACTCGTCGAGTTAGGACGGAGGTTCATATCCGTCATGGGAATCTCGTTGACATAGTTTTCTGGGTACTGCGTGATGGGAAGGCGCCCAGCAGGCGCAACCTTGCCACTGAGAATGTCGAAGACAGCCTTTCCGCCACTCTGACCTGGATACCCTGCCCAAACAAGCGCATTGACCTAAACCAACTATTGAGCAAGTTGGCTAGAAAAGTGGAATTGGTAACTGACAGAAGCATTGCCCTTGAGAACAGAGTCATCGAGTTGTCCGCCGCCAAATTGCACCACGACCAAAGGCTTGCCTATTGTCTGAAGCTCAGCAATAAGGTCAAGCTGATTGCCGGGCCAAGTAATCGTATAGCGGTCCAGGGTCTCGGCCTCGACAGTGTGATCAATACCCCCAGCGTAGATGATGGCATCTGCTTCCTTTGCAGCCGCAACAGCAGCATCAAATCCACTCGTGTCATTAGATACAATGTGAGTGCCCAACACGTAGGTGACGTTATAACCATCATCCATCGCGCCCATGACGGGGCTGATGAGATAGGGAGCGACACCATAGTAGTTACCTTGCATTTGGGTGGTTGCGTTTGCCCACGGGCCGATCAAGGCAATGTTATTGATGCTACTCGAGAGTGGCAGAGTACCATCGTTCTTCAGGAGAACAATACCCTCTACAGCAGCTTGGTATGCAAGCTGTCGGGCGGTAGGAGCATTGATGTTACTCCAGTTGTATGTTCTGTAAGGTTGCCGATCTTCTGGATCAAAGTAACCGAGGCTGAGATACTGTATCAGTAAACAACATCGTCATGCGGAAAGGCGCCATACCGGACGAGTGATGCGTATTGGTGAACCAGAGCTGTGCGTAGGTCGGTCTCTGTGATAAGAGATTCTTCGTATGCGATTGGCAACCACTCTGTATAGAAGGTTCCACAATCGATGTCAGTTCCCGCCTTGAGTGCGTCTGCTACAGCGAGTTGAGGGGTGGAATAGTTGTGGGGAGAGTAGATATTTTGGATGGCACCTGAGTGAGGCTTGATCATCAGGTCAAGTAACTGTTCAGATTCTACTCGCCACAATCACCCGTGATCTATTAGCAAGTCATTAACTCACTATACACAAACAAAGTAACTTTGAGCATACCAATCGGTCTTGTGTGAAGCCGTAGAAATCACGAAGAATGTCTTGAAGCAAGTATGTATCTGCGCAAGAAGGAACACCGTTGATAGCATTGTACGAGCACCTACATTATCAATAGGTGAGATAGATCGATATATTAATACGGCGCAAGGAGCTGTGGTAGACTGGTAGTACGTACATGGCAGCGCCAGCTTTGGCATCTCTATAACAAGTCTGGAATGGAGGCAGATAGTATTCCACGAGATCTTGAGAAGTGATCAGTGCATTAAAGCCATATCGAGCATTGCCATCCCAGTCCTCAAGATCGTAGCCCGCAAAGTGTTTACAGGTGGCAACGACCTGGTAGTAAGGCTCCGGGTCAAGACCACCTTGCAAGCCAACCACGAAGTTGTATACGTATTTGGAGAGGTAGTACGGGTCTTCTCCAGGTGTTTCCTGTCCTCTGCCCCATCGAGGGTCTTTGAACGGATTAATATTTGGTGTCCAGAAGTCCAGACCTGCGTGCCCATAGTTATTGAAGGCACGTCCCTCCATACCCACAATGTTTCCAACAGACTTGATCAACTCGTCGTCAAACGCAGCACCCATAAGGATCGGCTGGGGAAACGATGTTGCATGGCTAAATTCGCCTGACGTCGAGAAGTTAACACCTGGACTTTTCGCTACTCCGTGCTGGACACAAGCAAGTCAGTCTCGGCAGACTCCGAACCTCTCTTAAACATTTATCATTTACCAAAGCTTCTGACCACCACTCGTACCCTGGTAAACCGAGACGAGGAACCCCAGGAGACGTGTTGACAGTATTATTGATCAACTCTGGAATAGTGAACAGCTTGACCAAGGAAGTTGCCCGTGTAATGGGGTCAAGAGCAGTGTTGCAGACTGCATTGCTCGCTAGAGGTCCGTATTCGCAATCAGGAAAACCATAACCAGTAACACTACCTGCTGCGAGGAAAAAAACAAGAGTGGCGCGCTTTGAGAGCCTCATGGTAATATCTCTGCAACAATCTGTATTCGTGTCACTTTTATAGTATTCTAATCTTCGGACAATCTGTTCACTCTTCAATGGTGACATTGTCATGCGTCAAACGTTGCTCACGAGTGGCCCTAGCGGTCTGCGTAAAGAAATGAAATAGGAAGAAGGGATGTTATGCGGCATGTAGTTTAAGGTGGGTTATTGATATTTGCAAATCTTCTGCAGCTATAACTGCGCCTCTCTTCCACAAAGTACCGAGTCGTATGGGCCGTCCTGGAAGTTTTTCAGGATAAACATTTTCTACCACTGTGAGTCCTTGGTTTGAGTAATCACCTATCTTGAACTGATTCCTTTCATCATACCAAGTTTGTACAAGCAATAGCCAAGGCTTCGTTTCAATACCATCTCACATACTCGCGTACTACGGAGTGACGTGTTTCTATTTTTGCGAGCTTGTTGATCCGTGATCTAGCGCCATTTGCAACTCGGAAGGCTTATTTCAATTGCTGTTGGCAGATGTCACGTCCCAATTGTGGAGTGGAGGTAACAAAGATACTTGATGGCGCTTATCCGTATGCTTATGTCCTTAACTCACAGGCCATGCAAGTTTCTTCAATAAAAACACTTCAAGACCAAAATGCCCATGGTGGCTCCATTTACCCGTCGTTGTGTCCTGTCGTCGTGCTGTGAGTCTGGGTGGATTCTGAGTCCCCTCGAGGCACGGACCTGTATCATGATTACAATCAGTAGTTCATAGCATGAACTCAGCCTAGCCTTCGCCTATTACACACATGCGCCTGTGATAGTCTGCTAGAGTGCCGTTCGCTTCTAGTCCTCACAGCCGTCAAGACACCTCTTTACAGCACCAGTAACCATTATCTACTTGATCTACGTGTTCCGCGAACTATTCGAGTTGCGCTAGTAGCAGAATGGACAGCAGAAGATTGATGGAGACTTGAAAGCAGAATCATTCACAGGTGGGATATGATTACTGCGGAGAGGGTATCTTAACCGTGCATTGACAATTCAACCAAGTGAACACTGTTCTAACACTGGACCTGTACGCTAAGACCAGACTGCCCTAGTCTCCGTCAGTCAGACTGCATGTAACCTAACCGTACCCTTAACATTCCCTCTCCGTGTCTCAATATGCACACTGTCCTTGGTTCGACATCTCGACCTGTTGCACACGGAAAAAAACTATACAGCCTGATAGCGGCAAGCTGTGAGAAGGTAGGAGAAGATGTAAAATGTTTTGTCGCGCTAACAACAACAATAATAATAGAAGCCGGGGTTGTCCCTCTGGCATATTCCCTGTGAAGCGGACTTATGATACTATTTAGAGAGCGGTGAGATCAGTTCTTCCTTCATTTACCCAAGTAGCTCTCACATTTAAGCAGATGACACGTCATATCACCAGAATCGGATTTCCGTCAGCCCCAGGGCGCCTTCCTTTGATGAAGGGCTTATTCGTGGCATTTATCGATAGAGGGATAAGTCCTGTCTCAGTGTCATACAGCTACTTTGGTCAGTATGTGCTGCACACCCTTCAAACGCATACATTTACGGTTACCTACATGCTACTTCCTCTTCTAGCGCCTGCCTCCATCATGGTCAGACTCGAATTTTGAATCTCTTCACTCAGACAGGCTCCGCTAGCAGAATTTTGATCATCCACTGGCAAGCCATATAGATATGTACACCTCAAATTCAGGGTCCCAGTGGGGATCTCCAGACGCTCCCAGGAAAGCTCTTCTTATTCATGGGTTAGCTATGTGCTCGAGTTCATGGGAAGGCATCGCTCAGCTATTAGTAGCAGAAGGTCAGGTTTTGCGATACCATGCTTATGATGCTCTGTTTTCAACAAGCTTCACGGGGTTCTTTGTTGTGGCGCCAAATCTCCTTGGGCATGCATGGAGACGGTGCACCGACTACCGTGTGTCCACCCTTACAGAGGATCTCCGACCGTACTTCATCAAGGACACGTCATACGACGTGATTGTAGGTCATTACCTTGGAGGCCTAGTGGCATTGTCGCTCTTGTCATTTCTGCCCAAAATGAAAGAAACCGCTGTCATACTCCTCGATCCCCCCCCCCTCGAGATCGAGGAGACGATCGAAATGCATAAAAGCTGGTTTCTGAATGAGGTGGCGAATATCGGATCCACCGAGGAGCAGGTTGATCTTGGTTGGTCACAACGTGACCGTGTGTTATACGCACTAGGATTTTCAATGTGCAACAGTACCACTATCAATGGAGTCTTCTTGGTAATGTTGCAACTGCGGACAAGTGATTGCTACTGACACTTCTGCTGTTGTTATGAACAGCATAACAGGCCATGGTCTTTCAGTGGCCTGTTCAAAAACATCCCCCCTCATGTGACGATTACCGTGCTGGTGTCAGATCCCCAGGTCGGCGCTGTTTGTCGCGCAGAGCACGTCCCTCGTGGAATTGAGAAACTGAATGTCAGAGTTCTTCCGGGAATTGGTCATTGCATTCACTGGGAGTGTCCAGATGCTATTGTGGACTTGATTCGACTACCAAGGGCGAAGCTTTGAGCTGTGCGAAGTGTTTCATGGCCTAGTTCGTGTCTACGACTTTCTGTTGTAACCTAGTCTCCATTTGTATATGGGGTGTCGCAAATGTCATCTATGTCAAACTACAAGTTATAAACTTACCTTGCATGCATGCACACGAAGCTGTATGTCAAAAACTCGAAAAAAAATAATCTGCAATGCTTGCGTTTTATTTATTGCTTTGCATAAAATCAGATTTTACTTACCTCAAGAGTCCTGGAGACATCTATTAATATGTTATCTACCTCTTCACTAGGAAGCTCGTGATCATGATCATGTTATAGTCAGCCGTTGATTTGAATCACCGCAACTTGACCGCAACTTCAAGCGGACCAATGGTCTAGCCACAACGGTATCTCCACGTGATCTATAGTATCAGGAATTTGTCTGATAGAAACCAGCTGTAGAATCCCCATGATGTTCCGAATCATATCCAACTCCACCAGGTGTCTGAGCAGGTACAAGAACGCTTTTCAGAAACAATTGAGCTGTGGTCGGCAGACTCACTGACGCCTACTTTTGCCATTATGACCCAGTCTTCTTTTGCGAAAAGGGCCAAACGAAAGACCACACGCAAGATGAGTTGTATGAAGTTCGAGGACACGCCGCTGGGGATGCTTCGCAATACGCAGTCGTAGCGGAGGTCGAGAAACACACAACTTGGTTTGTCTGGCTTCTTGTGGCTTGTTGTACTATATCAGGGTTGTTGTTTGGTATGGTTCACTTTCAAATAAGACGGTGAACGACTGAACATACGATGTATCAACAGGTTATGATACTGGTGTAATATCTGGTACTCTAGTTACTATCAACGGGGATCTTGGGCCGGCTCAGTTATCAGACGGACAGAAGGTGAGCTGGATGTCCAAAAATTCCATGGTCACTTGACCATTTCATTCCAGGAATTTATCACGTCATCCACTACATTGGGTGCATTACTCGGGGGCCTTGCTGCCGGTGCAATGTCAGACTGGACGGGCCGTCGTCCCGCCCTTGGCATAGCAGACATTATCTTCGTCGGCGGAGCTCTCGGACAGGCAGTCTGTCGTACCGTTTGGAGTATGGTATGCTTCCTTCCCCATGCGCCATCATTGGTTTATCTGTCACCCACTGACCACCAACTCAAACGTTGCTAGATTGGTTGCCGGTTTCTCATCGGTATCGGCGTTGGTCTTGCATCGTGCATCGCTCCTCTTTATATACAAGAGCTGTCGCCTACACGCATGCGCGGGCGCATGGTCGTGTTGAACGTTGTAATGATCACCTTTGGGCAGGTGCTTGCTTATGGAATCGACGCAGGCTTTGCCAATGTGAGTGGTGGTTGGAGGTGGATGGTTGGACTTGGTACCTGTCCAGCTGGTATTCAATTGATATGTTTGGGATTTTTACCGGAGAGTCGTGAGTTGTTTCCCCCGTGATTATACAACGCCATTTGCCTTGGGATGACTAACAATGGCCTTCGCTGTGCAGCAAGAATACTTATCCGGAGAGGCGATTTGGAGGCCGCGCATAGAGTGTTAGAACGTGTCTACTCGCAGGCCACAGCTGAGCAGATTGATCTACAGGTATTATTAGCATTGGTCGGTCGAGCACTGGAAGTAGTCTGAATCACCTCATAGCTTCAGGTTCTTCGCGCATCGGTACAGCAGAGTATCGAAATCGCAAACTCTACAACTTTCTTTGAGCGCTTCAGCTCCATGATCACCGTTCCCGTAAATCGTAGAGCACTGAGTAAGACATACCAATTGCTTGCGCAGCTTTGCCGTACTTACGTCGTAAAGTCATTGGATGCGGCATGCAAGCGTTCCAACAACTTTGTGGATTCAATACACTAATGTATTACTCCGCATCGCTATTCCAGGAGATAGGTTTCAACCAGCCCACAGCAGTTGGACTCATTGTCAGTGGGACAAATTTCATCTTCACACTTTTTGCGTTGAAGTATATTGATATCGTCGGACGACGGAGGATCATGGTGTTCTCCGCACCTGGCATGATTTTTGGCCTCGCCCTTGCCAGCATCGCATTCCATTGTATGTTTTCTGTTAACTGCATAATAGGCCAGATGACAGACACGGATTTGATAGACATGACCCTGCATACAGGTGGCGATCTGGTCAGTGGCGTGTCTTACTCCAGATCATGGTCCGCGGTTGTTCTGCTCTCGATGATCATCTTTGTCGCATCGTATGCAACGGGTTTGGGAAATGTCCCGTGGCAGCAAGGAGAGCTCTTTGGTCTCGAAGGTCACATCATTACTTCTCCTACCTGTGAGTTCCGCACTGACGTTTCATGCAGTCCGCGGCATTGGCACATCGCTCTCGACTGCGACAAACTGGGCTGGCAACCTTCTCATCGGCTCTACATACCTCTCTCTCATGGCCAAAATTACCCCTGCTGGTGCATTTGGGTTCTACGCAGGGTTGTGCTTGTTAGGATGGCTGTTTTGCTTGTTCTTCTTCCCTGAGACTGCTGGGCTGAGCCTCGAGGAGGTCCAGAGCATCTTTCAGGATGGTTTTGGTATTCGAGAAAGCCAGAGAATGAGGGATAAAAAGCGAGAGATGCAGATGCAGAAAGAGATTCAAGCGGGGCGGGGGGATGCATGATAGGCACGCAGGGGTATGATATAGAGTTTTTGCGCTTACTTATCTAACAATTCATAAAAAACATTGTTGACCCACACAGAGGCCTACGCAACCTGTGTTGGTGGAAACCATGAAAACTTGTACAAGACCTGATAGAGTCCAACGTGGAGGGTCCACGACTTCTCTTTATGAAACACATTCGCAGACAAGTGACGGCAGGGCGTTCGGCTGTAGTTCTTGATGTCTATACAAAAGCCTTGTCGATATTTAATTGAACCCTATCGGTTTCACTATGAATAGTGATCCCCATCGCAAGCATCGGTAAAATGGTTGATGCTGAACTCAGACCGTACCCGCTTAATTATGTTGGAGGATAAATCACTGCACCCAACTCCAGCCTAGTAAAAAAGTTCAAGGATGCACAATCTGAGCTCACAGCGCAAGATGGATATGCTCCAAAGTTCGAACCCTACTTGAAACCGTTCCGTAAATGATATCGGACCGCGAACCTCCTAATGGTGCAGCCCGCTGCAACTAGTGTCCACTATAATCGAATCAGATCTATAGTCCGGTCCGAATTGTGGTTCAGGCCTCAGGCGGTGGTGACAAGTTTCCCTTTTGACTTTGACTCCAATAAAAAAAATCAATGTGGGTGCTACATATCAAGTCACTCGCGGACGTGCAAGCTTATACTATCCTTGATAGTCTGATTTGCCGCTAGCTAACTGCCTAGTACTTACGCTGATACTTATGGTCGCAAACCGTGTGCATTTGCTGTTTTCCTCATCGTCTTTGGCGAAGCACGTCTCTCAAGGGACTGAAGGTTTGAGGGGAAGAATCTAGGGGTTTGGGGAGGACGCCACCGAGTGAGAAGACGGATACCGTGACGGAAGGTAAGCGCTGTCCATATTTTTCTTTTCTGAAGCTGGGACATTGGATATGTGGATGATATGGGAGTGTTCGGATATCGTTGAGAATCGATTCGAGCTTTTACAAGCTGGTATAGGGTACATACAGGTAGGCGCATGAGGAGCTTATTGCATTTCGCTTAGATCCTTCCTGGCGGACAACATAGAAGAAGACATCGATGAGGAAAAATAAACAGGTGAGAGAGAAGGAAAAAAGAATGGTGCCCTAGCTCGAATATCTCACCTCCTGCGTGCACTAGAAAAATACCGCGTTTTGTGCAAGCACGTCAACAGTGAACAGCATGCACATACTGTTCTATGAGGCTGACAAGAGTGCGGAGATGTAAATGGGGACGTGTGCGTTTCTTGAGATGTACACGCATGCCTTCAAGTGCGAAAAGAAAAGGTTGGAGGGAAAGTCATGATACAGCAAGTGGTGAATATTCAGACGATGGGAGCGCACAGTTGGCGTATTGGATCGATTTGTTGTTTATGAGCTGATACGGGGTACATATAGGTGGGCACACGAGGAGTTCGTTGTGTCTCTGTTTAGCCTCTTCCCTGCGCATCGTCGACCTATCTTCATTTCTCTTTCCCTGCCAGTGCAGAAGGCCGTAGGGTTATTGGTGAGTCAGTGACCCATACCCCAATGAGGCGTCTTCTGGATAGCCACCAGGCCCACCACACCTGACATCTAGTATCGCTCATGAAATCATCACGTCATGACCTGCCAACCTGTCTATCATCTGCCATGGCGTACAAGTTGTTTATATTATCAGCGTCCCCTGGTGTGGAGTTCTGGATCATCGGTGAGGCATTCTGATTTCTTTCTTTCACTGAGAGCTGATTGTATCCTGGAGTAGTTTTCAAAATTCCGATGTACAATATGCCGATTGGACCTTCTTCCACTCCAGGATCTATCGTGAACCTGCACAGCTGACAGCTGTGCCAAACCTTGTACGTACACTTCTGTCAGGCCCTGGGCCAAGAGGTGCGGTCATTTAACTAGCACTTCAGCGCCAGCATCCGCTTGCCATGCAAATTCTGGCAAACACTTTCAAATATGCCAAACCCTAGTGCCTTGCTGTACATCAAGGACTGCCTTGAAACGGCGCTCACGAAAACATACAAAGTGAACAGGATGCATTTGATACACCCAAACTTGACAGCCAATAATGCGTTTGCTACTTTTCTGCGTCTTCCTCTACCTTGTTGGAGTAATCCGAGTCCAAGCTGCATCTCCAACAAATACTACAACTAGCACTAGTAGCAACGTTTCTGAATCCCCATCATTCACAAATAGAACCCTGTGGAACATCGTCTCCAGCTCTCTTCTCACTCTGTTTGCGTGTATATACAGTGCCATTCACCCCAATATCCCGAGTCCTAAGGACAGCCCCGTTCTTATTCTATGGCGACGACTTGGCATGATGACAATGGCACTAATTGCTCCTGAACTAATCGTCACATGGGCCATGCGCCAGTGGATCAGCGCTCGTCGTGTTACCAAACTGTTCAAGGAATCTGGACATTTTGATATTCCTCAGCCGCAAGAGCAGCCTGGAGGTGGGTCATGATTTCCGGAACTGTATACGTTACTCGGGATACTTACTACGCACGTTTCTAGATCATGGGTCTGTCGAAGCTGCAACTGCGGAGCAATATGTCGAAGGTGAGCTCGACATTCTGCAGCCATTTTGCTACACCCCAAACTCTTTTCTCATGACTTACCTGCTTCTCAAGATCGTGATAACACCCGTTTTCTCATATCATATCCTGAAGGTGATTCGTCATCTGTACTAGTGGCCACTGTTCCTCCAGAAGTGAATATCACTACTCCAGCGCCCAACCCAAATTATGGGGGTACGCATGCTCTGACGAAGCCATTCAGAAAGCTGTTTAAGGCTTATGTTTCAGAGCAATCTGAAGGTAAGCCCGATTCGTGCTGACCTAAACGTTGACTCATGTGCATTTTTAGATTTAGATTATACGTGGACTCAGACACACAGCTTCTTTGTGCTCATGGGTGGCTTCATGCTTCACGTGGACGAGAAATCCTACCATACATTACAGCCTGATGAGATTCTCGAACTGATATGTAAGGGGTGTATCGACGTCCCTACCCTAACAGCAAACCAGATCCACGACAAGAGCAAAGGCAATGCGATATCGAAAGGATTGATCATCCTTCAAGTGGCCTGGTTTGTTATGCAGCTCGTCACTCGCGCCATCTATCGTCTCGAAACCACCCAGCTCGAAGTGGGAACACTCGCTTTTGCGGTTCTCAATTTCCTCACTTATGCTGTGTGGTGGGACAAGCCTCTCAATGTGCAATGTCCACATCCAATGTATTGGAAGTCGACCGAGTCAACACCAAAGGATCACATCGATGAGTGCGTATGTGCCTGGATAAGTTTACCGCTGCTCATTATGTCTGCTCTTAGCGTTCATACAGAAAACGAACTCACTTGGTTTGTCAGGATGTTGCATCCAGTCTTCGCCCCAATTATAGAACTGATAGGCGCACATGACATTCCTACATCTCGAAAGCTCCGAGTTCCAACATTTGATGGCAGCATCAAATTCGGAGATTCGGAGAGGGCAGTTCTTCAGCTTTCTGGATTGATTATGGCAACCATATTTGGCGGCATTCATTGTATAGCTTGGTTTTTTGCCTTCCCCACACACCAGGAACAGGTGTTATGGCGCATAGGTGGCATTGTTATAACTTGCATACCCTGGTTTGGTGAATTCGTTGGATTCATTATAGGCACAACTGAGTTGCATGCATTCAGAAGTTTTGTGGTTTGTCTGGCCCTCGTATCTCCCGTAGTGTACATCATAGGACGTGCCATCGTCTTGGTGCTCATGTTCACCACTTTACGCAATCTTCCTCCTGATGCATACAAGGCGGTATTGTGGACCGCCTTGGTGCCCCACTTGTAGTTCTTGGTTATGGTACTTGTGCAATGCGTTTAGTATACTCTAAAATTTATATTCACGGAAGGCCATATTCGGACGCGATCACCCTGAACAGCAGCAAAATTGTGCTGTTTTGGACGCTGTGGCTGGTGAACGAACAGGCGGCAGCATTCCCAATCAAATTCAACAATGAGACAGTCACATTCAATGGACGCTACCCGACGTTGTAGTGTTCATCTCTATCATCCATCCATCCGTGCTCTGAACACAGAAATCGCGTGCCTGAAAATATAGGTGCGTGGAGTATCTGTTTACGGCGCCTACTCTGATACTCCTAGTGTCAAACTGTTTGCGCTGGCAGGTTTATTCATCGTCTTTGGCGATGCACATATCTTAATCTACGGTTGTGGGGGGACTGAAGGTTTGAGGGGTCGAATCCAGAGGCTGGGTTGGGGACGTGAAGGCGGCCAACAAGTGAGAAGACGGACATGGAAGGTAAGAGTGCCACCTACGTATTCCTTTTCTGAAGCTGAGATATCGGGCATGTGGATGATATGGGAGTGCCCGGATAGCGTTGAGCATGGATTCAAACTTTTATAAGCTGATGGTACATACAGGTAGGCGCATGAGAAGCTTATTGCATTCGCTTAGATCCTTCCCGTCGGACAATACAGAAGACATCGATTAGGAATAAAAAACAGCTGAGGGAGAAGGAGAAAAGAATGGTGTCATAGCTCACATATTCCGCCTCCTGCGTGCACTAGACAAATGTGGCTTCTTTTGCATGCACATACTGTTCTGGGGGGTCACAGTTAACAAGAGTGTGGAGATGGAATTGGGGACATGTGGATTTCTTGAGATGTACACGCATGCCTTAAAGTGCGAGAAAAAAGGCTGCTGTTGTCGTATTACTAGGAGGATGAATCCAGGCGTGCCGCAGTGTTGTCAATATTTTTTTTAAAAAGTACAGGTGTGGGCTTCTCCAAAACTGTACAGGATACCCAATGTAATCCCCAAGCTGCTGTAGCTTAATCCCTCTGTCCTGGTTAAGATCCGCGACGGTGTCACGGTCGTACTGCAGATTGAGACCTAGGTCCTAGAGGTATATGAAAAGGACTTGAATTAGTACCGATCCTGCCAGCAGTTGCAACTTGTGTAAATTATGCGATCACGTGACCGTCACGTTTGGTATGACGCGAAGTTCGAACCAAACAAACTCTGCCTTACAAGTCTTACTTAACCTTGCACATCGCCATGGACGGCAGCGAAATAGGGCTGTTCGGTACACTACTGCGGCTGATGAAACGAACGACTGATGTTTGACGGTAGCTGGCTGAAGAGAAAGTAAATTAAATCCTGCTGTCAGATGTATCATTCAGAGCGCCAGGAAGGTGCCGAAGCACCCAGCTGATCGAGAATCGGAGATAAATTAAGACGATCATCACCTTTTGGAAAGGAAGAGGTACTTATCAACTTGGAATATGACGCTCACATGTACACAATTAGTTCAGCCTCATCAAGCCTGCCTTGAGGTGCCAGCATGCCCGGAGTCATAGGTGTCCCATCACTATGCTGAAGTACTTTGGCTCCCAAATCTTGGGGAGAGTAAGGCGCAAGAGGGCCTCGTGTATTGTGCTTCCCTGAACGTCGGAACACTCGAGAAATAAGACCAGCCTATTCTCAGTCTACCCTCGCTGTACTAACGCCCGCCAGTGAAATACAAATAGTGCACAGGATGCATACAAGACACCCATCCAATAATGCGCTTGGTACTTTTCTGCGTCTTCCTCTACTTCGTTGGAGTAATCCAAGCTGCACCCACAACAAACACAACAAATACTACTACTACTACTAGCGAGATTGTTAAAGCGCCATCATTCACGAGCAGAACCCTATGGACCATCATCTCCAGCTCCGTGCTCACTCTTTTTGCATGCATATACAGCACCATCCATCCTAATATTCTGAATCCTAAGGATAGTCCTAATCATATCCTGCGGCGGAGACTTGGATCATGGCACTAATAGCTCCTGAACTTATTGTTACATGGGCTATGCGTCAATGGTTCAGTGCTCGCCTTATTACAAAACATTTAAAGGATTCGGGGTACCCCCACGTTCGTCCTGAGTCCGACTCATCTCCCAGTAAGTCGTGCTTTGGAAACTCTGCATCCCACAACTCACTATACATGTCCTTAGAAAATGATTCTGTTGAAGCACCTGCAACAGGGAATCGCTTCCTTCATCTCCTCACAGTACTTGTCAAAGGTTTATCATCTTTGCTTGTGCTTCTTAGGCGTTGCCCTGGCTCTCTTGCGAGGTCCGTCAAGAAGTTCGTCAAGGCACATTTCTCAGAACAATCTGAAGGTGAGCCGGATTCACGCTCGCCTAAATGTTAACTCATGTGCATCCTTAGATCCCATGTGGACTCAGACACACAGCTTCTTTGTGCTCATGGGTGGTTTCATGCTTTATGTAGATGGGGAACCCTGCCTTGCACTGCAGTGTAGCGATGGTCGCGGTGTTGGGCTCGAAACCACGTATTTTCATACTCACATCAACACCCGAAACATATGTGCACATGTCCGACGCACTTTCGCACATGTCCGAGCCACTCCGTATCAGATCTGGCGCATCGGACCTTCGGACATCGCATCGGCCGATCGCACTTCGCACGCACTTGCCCATCCCGTGTCCTGTCCATCCGAACTAGCCTCACTAGGTGTGTAGTTATTCCCATGCACGTTTTCTGACATTCGTACCGCATTATTACATGTCCACAGCACCTCGTGTCTTATTACTGTTACAACTTGGATGGTATCTGTTGGCGACGCTCAAACAGAGCGTGTGTCGTCAATGGTCGAGGACGTCCTTGGGCTAGCCCAAGGTTAGGGGTCGTACTTGGTGGGTCTTCGGCAAGTACGATTTGACGCCTATGTCCAAATTGGGTAGCTTATGTCATGCGGGTGCGAGACGATAAGCTATATCGGCCTAGGCTTATGACACCCGAAGGTTAATCGTAAGGATCGTCGTTAATTAGAAGGACAGAAGTCCGACTAGTTAACAGGGGCTTTGCTCGTCGACGAAGTCGATGAGTAAAGGTCGAAACTATAGGCTTATCTGCGATGAGCAGATAAGAAGATAGAATATAGACTGCTGGCGAGGCAGAAGGATCACTCTGGTGAGAGTAGGAGGTCAAGAACCAAGTAGATTCAAGTTAGGGAATATGGTACATGGTAGCGAGTTTATATAGAGGACAGGAGACATATTAGTGGGTGATAACTCGTACTACCGGGAGAGGCAATCGGTAAAGGGTATAACTATAACAGGAAGGCACGTTTGGTCGAGGTAGAACGTGCTAGATAAGAAAATGAGTCAGAGATCGAAAATAAGAAGTGAAATGCGCAGGGGCACGATCGTGCAACTGCGGATCTAAGTATAAGTCGCATGTGCGACTGCGCACCGAGTCAGAGATCAAGAAAGGGAACAGGGAAAAGGGGATGCGTCGTGCATTGTGTCATAGGTTACCGTCCAGACGGTAAGGGTAAGGGAGACTGTCCCCTGGATCAGTCAGGTGGTGAAACGGAGCATGGGTATGCTTCGTCAGCGAACGGATCAGGCCAGATGTACTGGCTTTGCTGAAGTGATAGGTAGAGGGCGAAAGGGAATGCGAGGATGACGAGGATGACAAGGGTGAGGTCGGGGTAAGGGTATGACGCGAGGGCTGATACGAGTAGGATTAGGAGAAAAATAGTAGGGGCCCAAGCGTCTAGATGTTCTTGTAACAATTACATAGGACATTGGACCCAAAATATATCACTACTATCTTCGCCTGTAGTATTCCAAATTTCTACATACTTACTTAAATACTCTGTAGTGACCCATAGCAATCATCATCCAGTAGTTAGGAGCCGTTTCCCAACTCTGCGGATCACCCAGAATATTCTCGTAGTTCTTAGTTGCATTGCGAATATACTTCATAGTTACAGTAACTTCTGCTATGATGCACATAATACAGTAACATACACTCATCTCAGATGGGCAGCCAAACATGACAATGTACCAATGGGGACGGGCTATCCCATGTGGGCCCATGCCAATAATTGTACCATGATACATGGGTGGGCCGAGGTCATGTGTGTACCCGAGACAAATGGATGGGCCGGGGGTATATAATACAGACAGTAGTATAGGAATGTACTAGTATACAGGACATTATGGTGAATCCGGTCTTACAATGGAGACGGGTAGGCCGAGGGAATGTATTCTCGAGGGACACGGATGGGCCGAGGGTAAAAAGTATAGACATTGGTATATAGATATACTACTATATGGGACATTATATGTAATGAATACGGTGTGCAGTGGAGACGGGTGGGCCAGAGGAATGCGTGTGCCCACATGACAGGGATGGGCTGAGGCCAGTTACCGGAGAGGAATGGGCCAGGTGCAGAGGAGGAAACAGATGGGCCGGGTATACAGGTTGTCCGGACGGATGTGTGTACCCACCTCATACGGATGGGCCGAGGCCGATTACTGGAGAGGAATGGGTCAGGTGCACCCGAGGGAAACAGATGGGCTGGAGGAATGTGTACCCAGGGTGAATGGGTGGGCCAAGGGCATAAAGTGGTTTGGCCGGACAGATGTGTACCTACCTTACACGGATGGGCCAAGGCTGGTTTCCAGAGAGCAATGGGCCAGATGCATATATGAGGAAACAGATGGGCCAGGTATGTAGGTTGGCCGACTGGATGTGTGTAACCAGGGCAAACAGATGGGCCAGATATATGTATGTACTCGCCTTACACGGATGGGCTGAGGTAATGTGTGTACCCAGGGCAAAGGGGTGGGGCCAGGGTATTGTGTGTACCCATGGCAAAGGGGTGGGCCAGAGTATTGTGTACCAATGGCAAACAGGTGGGCCGAGGGTATAAACTGGGTGGGCTGGGTATACAAATTGGCTGGACAGGAAGTGTACTCGCACATGGATGGGCCATGTATGCAGGTTGGCCAGATGGATGTATGTGACAGGTGCAAACGGGTGGGCCGGGCGGATGTGTGTACCTACCTCTCACACAGATGGGCCGGATAGACAGGTTGGCCAGATGGATTTGTGTACCCAGGTGATATAGTATAGATATTTGTATACAAACGTACAATGTAAAATAGTATCTATGACAAATGCAATGTAGAACGAAACAACTAAGCTGGAAGAAACTTGTAGCACCAGACATCCGGTCAATGTTATCACCCTAGTAGGTACATCACCAGGTGGATCAATCTTGAAGGTTTATTGTCTGGTACATCCAATTTTATCAGGGCCATCTTACAAACCAATTGTCCAGTGCATCTTGAATACATTTACTGGTCGATCAAATACATAGATACAATAGACTAAGAAAAAAATGAATCATGTATACTAGTATTACTTGGGCCCATCCCCAGACGAGTCCTTCGCATGCTTAGCACTCACCGACCTGACCTTGTCGGCGTGATTGAGGCACAAACGAACACTGTGGCAAGGGAGCCGAGACAGACTGACCATCCTCGGGTACATTTGCTGACCTGGTGACCAACATGTGAATGGTGCTAGTGGAAGGCATGGATTCTGTTGGGACCATGTCAGTAAGTACTGGCAGTACCCCAGTAGGGCTGAATGGATGAACCAGGATTCCCTCATGATGGGGACCAGATTGATTGTGGAGGTAGAGCCAGATGTGGGTGCTTGCCCATGCCTTGTCACTGGCGAGCCATCTCCAGTGGGGCAGGCACAAGACGAGAACACATCCAGAGTAAAGACATTGTTGGTAACAGTGTGACCTAATGCACTGATAGAACCGAACTCGGGGAATATGGGGGTACCGGGGACGATGATGTGTGGCGGATTGAATGCGGGTGGAGTGATGACTAATGATGCAGCGGCCCTTTGGTTGTTCCTCAAGTACCTTGCAATTCCGCCCACCTGAGCAGTCAACTGATCTACCAGTCCCTTCTGGAGGCCAAATTGTTCTGTATAGTTGGCAGTGCAGCTCATCGATGCGACTGGACAGATCATTGTGAATGGTATCATCACGTGTGCGTAGCTCCTCCATATCAAGCTGAATTTGGGCCAGCATAGCCTCAATCTGCACATTGCTGAGAGGATGGGGAGACTGATGAGACGAAATGGGCATGGATGTAGTAACAGGGAGAGGGGGGCCTTTGAGTGCGAGCCGGATAAATAGGAGAGTACCGGACCTCATCCGGTGTCTCGTCAAATGGTGCGGGAGGCAGGATACTATTGTCCATGGGTTTGATCCAATGGTCCTTGGGAAAATCGTCAGTGGATGCCACTGGGGCAGCACTTGGCACTGTAGGAGCACCATTGACCATCTCGACATCAGCATCCAGTTCCTCCAGGATAGGACTAGGCTGCCGAGTATCTATAGCAAAGAGTTGTACTTAGTGGAGATGAGATGAGATATATAAGACTTGCCCTTGCATCACCCAGACTGCTTGGCCTGCTTTGCCATTCTGGTGGCCCTGGAGCAAGTGGTGATGGGTGCGACTGGTGGTATGGGCCCAGTGATTGCAGGCACATCCAGTCACATTGGCCGGTCGCATTTCATCCTCCACTTGTTGCAATGGGTACAAGTATGGGCAACCTCGCACCTTTTTGTGAGCCAGGTCTCACATTCAACCTCCATTTCAGTGCATCTCTTACACGGAAGAAGAGATGAACTGACAGGGTGCTGTTAAGGATGAGTATGAGCTGACCGGATAGTAATGACCGGTTGTCTCACCAGCTGTGGATGCTTCCCCCTCTTCCTCTTCTCTGTTCCTAGATGCCTTATATCTGACATCGACTATTATTTAATATTACATTAGTATCACTTACCAGCATTGCAATGAAATAAACATACTGGTTCCTTGACTTTGACCCGGTCAACATGTGGCTGCAACCGGATCAGGCATGCACCAATAGGTAGAAGAAATACATACCTTTCGTTTGTCGCCAATTAACTCTATGTCTTCTTCCGGTTTGTCTTCTGCAGGGTCACCACCCTTGTTTCTGGCATTCAAAGGTTGCATCGGTTGAGTGCAGATGTCAACAACCAGTATTTTCTGAGAAAACTGTGAATGTGTTCTGATAATAAACAAATGAACATACCTTTTTGAGCACATTTTGTCTCGGTTTTGGTGGCTGCATATTTTCGTTAGGCTAGTACAATATGCGAAAAGAAGAGACTTGCCTCGACTTCCAGATCATGACTGGCATCTTTCATTGTCATTTCCTGGGTCTCATCATCTGATAATGGTGCCCTTGCTCTTGCCTTTCCTTTGCCCTTTCCCTTTACCCCATGTCCTTTTCCCATGCGAACTCCATTGCTGTCAGTATCGGTGTTGCTCAAGATTCGCTTGGACTTGGCTATCTTCCTTGCCCTCTTGACCGGACGTGGGGGGCTGACACTAAATTGGTGTTTGTGATGTTTTGATGGGCTGGGCATTGCACCACCAGGGATCTTGAGGATGATACTGGGACCCGGCAAAGTGGCGATTGGAGGTGCTGAGGTTTGTGCCAGTGCCGGAGCAGAGGATGAGCCTGCAGGCTCAGGCTCAGAGGATTGACCTGCTGGTTGAGGCGCAGAGGATGGACCTGCTGGTTGAGGCACAGAGGATGGACCTGCCAGTTGAGGCGCTGTCACGAGTACCTTTAACAAACCATTATTCTTTCCTGAATCTTCCTAAGCATCAATACACAGTGCCTAAGTCAAACCCTAACCCTACTCTGAAAGCGTCTACCATTCCCGAAATACCCTTAGCGCCCACGACACGTGTCTTCAATGTGACTGATGAAGAAGACAAGTTCTTTGATTGTGAATAGATTAGATTAGATACAATAAGATAAGATATGGTCATGTGATACTTCTTTAATATTCTACAATGTTCTATGGTATGATTCCCTTTTCTATTTTATGATTGGTTAGTAGTTGTAACTCAGTTTCAATCTCTGTTTCAATAGTTGTATATAGGTAGCATGTCTTGGTCGATAGTTCCTTAGTTCAAACCTCTTGTATCTACACTGTAGCAATCCAAGACGTACTTGCTCCTCTCTTTCTTGTTGTGATAACCTTAGTCAAGTCCTAGTCTCTGCCCAAGCATTAATTCGTTATTTGGGTTGTGACAGGCGCAGAAGATGGACCTGCCGGTTCTGGCAGCAGATGATAGACCTGCCAGTTCAAGTGCAGAGGATGAGCCAGCAGGAATGGTGGCAGTGGACGATGGACCGAGTGCCTTTGAATACAAGAGATGACTCTGGCAAATGTCCTCGTTGTTCCCAACATGACTCCAATCCGGTACCTGCGCCAGTTGTGCAGTGCCCCTTTGAGCGCGATGGATTTCAGCTGCCATTGACAGCAGGTGAAGGGGGATGTAGGTGGCCACTGTGAGGTGAGAGCGGACTGCATTGTTCTACAACCCAATCAATATTACAATATATAACAGAATATGAAACATACCAATTGAAAAGCAATGGTCCGGCTCAATCTCATTTTATCTTCCTCTGACTGTGACCAGAGGACCTCTTCAACCAACTCATTCAACCTGTCAAGAAGATCAATGAGTGCCTGGTTTGCTGTGGCAGCAGCAGCAGAAGTATTGGTGTTATAAGACATGGTTTCAATGAGACAATAAGGGCAGCTGGTTGGCTAGGACAAGAGAACCTGGTGGGAATGATGAATGTTGGAAAATTTACTACTACCGGATCTCCGGGCCATCTCGGAGATTGCCGGATACATGGTCAATGCACCAGTTCGGTATGCCGAATTAATTTCATTGTTGTGTGAAAACATGCCGTACTTTATCATTATGAAATTCTCAAGTATCCAGTCACAGGTTTTGGAAGCACAGATGCAAGCTGGAAAAAGGTATCATCTCCCAGAGATGAGATTGCATAAATTCCAATCAGGCCACAAGAAGATATCATCCATAGAGCTGACTCTAGATAACTTGCAATTATCTCATGAGGCCGAAGGTACACAACCGTCCATTTTCAGAACCTGGAAGGCACTAAACATTCATTGGTAGTGTTTGACATTTTGGAGCAGCAAGGTGAGCAGCAGATCTACAGCAACCCTTGGATGAATTGCACCAGCATGGGGGAATGTGAGTGTTGTCTTGTGCTGCTACAAAAGACTGATAATTAAGATTTTCTCCAGACTCAGATGTCTTGTCAGCTCACGACTGGTGGAAGGATGGTAGACAATTGAAGCAGATGGAACATGTCCGGTCAGGAGACATCTGGTTTGCCCACATCCCAGGTCAACCGGAGATAGAACTATTGGATATGGGATTCCTCCCTCGACACAATGTTGACCAGCCATCGACTCCTCCATCCATATCAGTGTTGGACATGGGATTTCCACCAGGCAGCGAGTTAGATACCCACCAGGCACCTGACATCATCAACAACCCTCTGGACATGGGCTTTTGCAGCATTCCGGCTCATGATTATCCAGCTCATGATGTTCTGGCTCGTGATGGTCCAGCTCATGATGGTCCGGTTCAGTCATGTAGGTCTCATCATTGTGTTGTGTTACACTGTTCAATGCAACTTTAGTAGACATGCAAGTGGAACAGATTCCTTTGAACATGGGCTTTCACACAGATCTGGCATCCTGTCACTCATGTATGTGTCATTCATTAATTTTGTTCCATCCTCATGTCGATCCAGTGGACATCCAACCAGATGATCTCCCTTTGGATATGGGTTTTGACACACTCCAACCGGACAATCGCCTTTTGCATACAGATTTCAATGCACTCCAACCGGACGAGCACCCTTTGGATATGGGATTTTGTACACTCCATCCGGTACACCCGGATCACTCAAGTAAGTCTTCTCATTGTTGTGCCTTACCTTGTTGATTGTGAATCCAGTGGATATTCAACTTTCTCGCAAACCTCTGGACATGGGCTTTGGGACAGCTCCAGCATCCATTCAGGAAGACAGGCCATTGGACATCATAATCGCCACTCCAGATCCAGATCCAGTACATGGTCTTCCGGATCCGTCATGTACGTCTCCCATACTATGAAACATCAGTGTTATTTATTGGTATTTAGTTGCAGTTGGTGAACCGGCACCCATTGGATTTGTGATTCAGCACGCTGTAGGTGATTTGCACTTGGTGATCCACTGGTTGGATATGGAAATTGCCCACAGTACAATGTCACCGGAAGAAGCATCTGTGAGCCAGGAAGTTCTTCAGTCTGCCAATGAGTTATTACTGGCATTTCAACTCATATCAATATATAGACTGTCAACATGATGTATATATATACATTTGATACTCTCTAGCCTTGTATAGTACATTCTATGGATTCAGATGATCACTGCCTTTGCATGTAGTTCACTTTATAAGACACCTTTGTGGTTCTCGCTGATCTCTTTGGCTCCATGTTATCAATTTGAGCTTTGGTTGTCTTCCTTGTTTTACAAGTAGCTTGCATCGTCGAAGGTGCCATGGATTTTGGTGTAGGTTCCTTTCCATGCATCTTCCTCACCGGGACAGCATCTTCCTGCTCTGAATCGGATTGGACAGCTCGATTTCGCCTTCCAATTGATTTGGACTTTGAAGGAAGTAATTGGACTTCTTCATCACCTACATTTCTCTCATGACTTGACTGGTGTTCCATCCTTCCGGTTGTCTTCCTAGTCGGCTTGCTGGTTGGTTTTTCAACTGGAACACTGGTCTTTGCTGTCGTCAGACCAGATCTCATACCATATCCAGCACCTTCATCACTATCCTCCCCCTCATTATTCGACTCCTGCTCTACCTGTCTGGTCGGCTTTCGTGACTCTGGCTCCATCCTTCTGGTTGGTGTTTTAACCGGAACCTTGGTCTTTGCAGTTGCCAGACCAGATTTCATGCCATCGCCAGCACCTTCGTCACTATCCTCCCCCTCACTACTCGACTCCTGCTCCACCCATTTGGTCAGCTTTTGTGACTTGGGCTCCATCCTTCCTGGTTGGCATTTTAACTGGTGCCTTGGTCTTTGCAGTTGCTAGACCGGACCTCATGCCATCGCCAGCACCTTCATCACTATCCTCCCCCTCACTACTGGAGTCTTGTTCCACCTGTCCGGAGGTCCTCTTCACTGGTTCTCTCATCTCCTTGTTGTGGTTTTGCCAGCCTTTGAATTCAAATGTTGATGGAACCTCGTCCTTTTGTCCCTGATGCCAGAGCTCTAACAGCTTATCAGCTTCATGCAACTGAAGCTTTGACGGGTCCTTGATCTTCACACCAGCAGGTAAAAACTTGGACTTGATAAAATCATCCTGAGCCTCCTGTCACTGCGGACCAAGGAATGGAAGCCTTTGGCTTCTGACTGCAAAACCCTGCAAGATATATAGTTGCGTGATTGAATCTTCAAATATTTAGTTGATGAAACATACTGTAGTGTCTTGTGAGGAATGTGCGGATGAGAGACTTTTTTGTCTCTAGGCTGAGGTCCTCGATATCCGGTATGACCGGAAGCCCACAGGTGTCCACCTCCAAAGCAAACTCCTTCTTTTTTCTCCTTTGCTTTCCGCTGTTCTTTCCCCCCCAATCCTCATTGTCATCCTCATCATTCTGATCAACTGCTGGTATCACAACTTGGTGTAAGTACTTGACCGGATGAATTGACATTGCACATAAAAGAAGCTCACCGATGTTACAAGAACATCTAGACGCTTGGGCCCCTACCATTTTTCTCCTAATCCTCCTCGTATCAGCCCTCACATCATACCCTTACCCCAACCTTACCCTTGTTATCCTTCTCATCCCCGCATTCCCTTTCGCTCTCTACTTGTCGCTCCAGCAGAGCCAGTACATCTGGCCGGACCCTTTCGCTGACGAAGCATACCCATGCTCTGTTCCACCACCTGACTGATCCTGTGGACAGTCCCTTTGCCCTTACCGTCTGGACGGTAACCTATGATCTGATGCACAACGCATCCCCTTTTCCCTTTCTTAATCTCTGACTCAGTGCGCAGTTGCACATATGACTTATACTTAGATCCGCAGCTGCACGATCGTGCCCCTGCGCGTTTCACTTCTTATTTCGATCTTTGACTCACTTTCTTATCTAGCACGTTCTACCTCGACCGAACGTGCCTTCCTGTTATGGTTATACCCTTTACCGATTGCCTCTCCCTGGTAGTACGAGTTATCACCCACTAATACGTCCCCTGTCCTCTATATAAACTCGCTACCATGTACTATATTCCCTAACTTGAATCTACTTGGTTCTTGACCTCCTACTCTCACCAGAGTGATCCTTTCTGCCTCGCCAGCAGTCTATATTCTATCTTCTTATCTGCCCTTCGCGGATAAGCCTATAGTCTCGACCTTTACTCATCGACTTCGTCGATGAGCAAAGCCCCTGTTAACTAGTCGGACTTCTGTCCTTCTAATTAACGACGATCTTATGATTAACCTTCGGGTGTCGTAAGCCTAGGCCGATATAGCTTATCGTCTCGCACCCGCTTGACATAAGCTACCCGATTTGGACATAGGTGTCAAATCTTACTTGCCGAAGCCTTGCCAAGTAAGACCCCTAACCTTGGGCTAGCCCAAGGACGTCCTCGACCGTTGACGACACACGCTCTGTTTGAGCGTCGCCAACAGATACCATCCAAGTCGTAACAACTGAACTCTTCTCCAACATAGGCATTCCACTCTGATAACATGGGCTTCCAGTCCTTTGTATTGGTAAAACTATTACCTTCCAACTGTTCATTGAAGTCCATTCTGATAACCTGATCAGCCCTTTACCAGTTGGGAGCATGAGAATGCAACTCACCCATTGATCCTCACTTCCCCTTCCTCTGTTTTCCATGCTGACAATATGAATATCCTCATACCAGCCTGCCTCCATAACTGAGTTGCAAGATCTTTCATCATACCCGGAGCTTTCTTCTGAGCAAACTCAGCCTGGACATCCATAGGAGGAGCCTTGCTAGACCACTCTATTGCAGTCTTCTTCGCTTCCTCCAGCTGCTCTTCAGATAAACCTCCCATAATTGTGTTGACCGCTCCCTGGTAGTTTTTAATCATTTCCTTTCCTCCTGGCCTTCCTCCAGTCTTTTCAATTATCTCCTTCTTGTACTGGTGTTCTATCACCAACCAGGCAGTCCATTTCTTACTGAACTTACACTCTTTTTTGAGAGTCTTTTCAGCTCTCTGATTATACAACCAGTCCCAGTACATCTTCATACATCATGAGGATGTATACAATTAGAGAATCAGTTGCTCACATATTTCCTTTTCTTCAACAGCCGGGAATCCATCTTAGGGGCTTGCATCTTAGGTCTCTCTTATGACTGCATGCAGAATCACTTGTCTATTCTTGCCAGTGGCCTCCTTCCATTCTTCTATGTGGGATTGTAACACCAGCAGCTCTTCCTTCATCAATTTCTGCTTGGTCTTTTGGGGACTGTGTGCTGATAAGTTGGATCAGGCCATTGCAAAGCAGTTGAGGTATTGGTAGAAGAAAGGATACAGTATAAGATTACATAGCCGATCACACATGTACTCAACATTAGACTGAACAAGAGATTGTTCGCCAGCATGTCACCCTCAGGCTCAATATGTCCTGTGTTTCTGTATTGTAGAACTTAGAATTGTAAAACATGTGAACTTAGACCAAGTTCATCATATAGCACCTGGGTCCCATACAGTAATACTCTTAAATATGGCATATAGGGAGACACATTGATACCGGAGGAAATCTACTCAAATTTGGGATGATGGCAGGATTACCATGTGTTTGGTTAACCGACTCAGATATGACACAACTTATGGCAATTGCAGACCTTAATATATTCTAAATGGACATAATATTCCGAGATCTTCGGTGACATTATTGTCCTTTATACTAATATGGCTCGAGAACAGTGATCTAGTTGGATGATCAAATCAGTCCCTTTCTCATCACCCGAGGTACCTCAATGACTAACAGGAACGGAAAATGTTGTGCTGGTCCAGCAATTCAAATCGCTCAGAGACCGGAGTTGAAGGAGAACGAAGGCAGAACATGAAGTCATATGCCTACAGGTCATCATACTTAACCATACTGCCCGGCCCAACAATCCTAAGTGGTGATATCAATCATGGCAAAGACTAGTAAACAACAGGGAATCACATACACTCCTCCAATGAAGAAACAATTGCCTCAGCTATATAAACTCAAGGAAAAAACTACAGCCAGAGGATCGAGGTCATCTTGGGTGAAAGATTCATGGTCTCCAAAAATGAAGTCGGTGACATCATCACCAACAAAATCTCCCTCAAAGCAAACAGTCGGGTTCTCTCAGATGCTTCACAAGGGTAAGGACTTTGACTTTGACCAAGGTGACATCCCTCAGTTTAAATTACCAAAATCTCTGGCAAGCAGCAGTCATTCTGATTTCTGCAGTCTGCATCTGACTGGATAATGCAGGGGCAGAATGAATATCTTCGGCAATGGAAGCACAAGTTCAAGGACTACATTAATTTACTAATGGTCAGAGAAGCCCCTCCCCCGGACCAGCTTTGTTCAGTCTGCAAGAAGGATGGGGTTTATAAATGCCATGGCTGTTTTAATGAGCCCCTGTTTTGCACAGACTGCTGCAGAACCCAGCATCAAAGACATCCATTCCATTGCATCAGTCAATGGACTGGATCATTTTTTCAAGAAACATCACTCATTAAAGTTGGCCTGCACATTCACCTCGCTCACGATGGCACTCCATGCCCCAGCAGCACTGAATACACATCAGACCTGTTTGAATGGTCAGATACCGATGAAAATATACACTATGATGATTATCCGGAGGGAGCTTCCATTCCACTTGTCACCGACTCAGATCATCCGGCTATCACCATAGTAGACAAATCCGGTGTTCACTCTCTATCCATCTCATATTGCCAGTGCCCCGGTGCTCTCTCCCGGGATATGCAGCTCTTTCAAGCAGGCTTGTTTCCGGCATCATTCACCAGACCAAAAACTGCATTCACATTCTCTGTCTTGGACGACTTTCTGCTAGACAACCTCGAATGTGGTACATCAGCCATGAATTACTACAGTAAGATCTGGAGGCTGACCTCGAGCATATTTCCATTGATGGTTCTAGTCAGTTTTCATTCTCTGTACTCAGCAATCTGGTGATTAAACAGCAGGATCTGTAGGATTGCTACAGAGAACTTATGAGAACTGCCAGGAAGTGGCGCCAATGCAAGCTTTACAAGTGGCATGGGTTTGCTCACAAAGATGGTGAGCCAAAGGCCGGTGATCTTGCCCTATTTTGCCCTGCATGTCCACAACCGGGGATAAACTTGGACCTGTCGACCGGTACATCCACCCAGCCAGACAACACACCTTCATGGCTCTTCACCAGGACTTCAGTCATGGATGGTAATTTCAAAGCCAAGCACCTCCATCCAGTGAATCCATCTAATGAAGTATCATTGATGGATGGTCTTGCATTCATGGTTGGAGATGAAAGATACAAGAGTCATTTATGTATTGCCTAAGACCATGTCCAAAGGTCAGATTGCAACAATCACCATGCAGTCAATCAAGCAAACACCTCCCGGCAAAAGCTGGAGGCCACTGGTATAGGAGGATGTGCATGTGCACAGCACAGATGTTTTGTCCCACATTCCATGGTGAATTTTCAGAAGGGTGAAAGGTGAATGACCATCACATCTGGTTACAAGCATTTCTGGTCTTACTGAGCATCCCAAATAATTAGGCAGATGAACATGGACTATGCCTTGAGTCAAGCACTCAACTACAATACAGATGGAATCTCCCACGCCATAACCTTCTACGACATAAATTGTCAGTATCATATGTTTTTGAAGGACCAGGTCGCATCCAGCATGTACCTTTCCATCCCCATTGGCATGGACATCATTCCTAGAATTGGTTTGTGGCATGTACACAGGTCATCAGGACAGCTGTTATGTCCAGTATACATCAAATTTTATCCGTGGAACCAGCAGGATTGATGGAGAGATCATGGAAACACTCTGGGCATCTTTGAACATAATCTCTCCATCGGCTAGGGCCATGGGGACTCCACATCGCAAAGAGGTATTGGATTATCAAATGAATGATTGTAACTTCATTAAAATGATACGCATGAGTGAGTTGCCAACCTCCGGCCGGATGTACAAAAATCTTCCGGTCTCATATTATTCCTTCCCAGCTAACTTGCCCTGCAGCCAAATTTCTCTGCAGAAAGTTTAAAGAGGCTGCCAGGGGTGCTGAAGAGAGCAAAAAGTCATTTCAAAATCTTAATGAGACAGCTCATTCTGATGGTCATTCTTTGGGAAGCAGAAGAGGCACTTGCTTACAAGAACAGAATGGAGGATCCAACAGCCATGGACATTTATGAGGTCCGGTTGGAAAAGGGTAAGTGTCGAATTTTACCACTACTCATCCAGGCCTGATGGCATTCTCATTATGATTTGAATACCATGATGTACAGCTCCAACCAGAAAGCAACAGGAGTTGCATCTGCTACAGGCTCAAAATTGTCCGGATTATTTGGTCACCAATTCTATTAGTTGACGAGGAGCTGCCACTTGGCTCGCAACTGGTCTCACCATAGAAGAATTTTAAATCTCTCTCTCTAGAGATGTGAAAAGGCTTGGGAGACATCCTACAGACATTCAATTACTGAGAGTGGCCCGACTTAGGGATAAGCTGCAAACTCAGATAACAAGTTTTCTTAAGATGGCATCTACATATCTTGGATGCAAAGTCGATGCAAACGAACCGGATTCTCTGGTAAACAGGGATCATGATTCACCGGATGAAGAAGATTATTCTGATCTCAAGGATCATGATCAACATCCGGATCTGGAAACACATGCCTCGATATTTCAACCAGAGCTTACTATCGTACCTTTGCCTTCTAACCTTGGTGAAGCCAGATGCAAGGCATTGGGTCTAACCGATCTCATGAAAGAAGAAACCATCCTCCGTGAAGGCCAAGCCAATGATGCACTACATGCAATTAGAGTTCATTTGGTAGATAAGGCTGTGATATTCTGGGACTCTGTCCGGTCAGCTAAGTCACAAGCCACCTCAACCCAGGCATGGACTCGAGTTCGTACGGTGGAAGCAGCAGTCAAACTTAATGCCAGGATATACTCAAAATGCCGGTTGCAGCTAGATCGACTCCCCAATCACAACCTCTTGAAGAAATATCTTCCGTTGAAGAAAGAACACCTGAAGGCAAGCACTGCAGTGGCTGATCCAAATGCACATGGTCAGAGGAACGCTACCCTTGCATGGTTCTGGTCGCTTGATGTTCAGGGTGATACAGCCGGAAATGACTGAATGACAGAATGTGAGTGTCCATTGCATCCGGTGATATGATGTTATCCGGTCTCACCCACTGAATAGTTTATCAGGTGAACTGGCTCCGGACCAAGGCACTTTGTGATTGTTGGAATGAAGAGGTCATTCTTGTCAAACATGAAATGCAGTGGACCATCAATTTTTTCAAGCATAAGGCCAAGCAATGGCTTGCTCACATGGACAATGCTGCTTCCAATGAGATGACTGGACATGCATGTTACTGCTGCCCTACAATCTCAAATATACCTACGACCTGGCTGTACATTGGGCAGATTCTTTTTGCAAACTCAGTCCTGGATATTCAGGGTGATATACAGGTTGTCAGATGATTCATGGTACCAGGTTGTATACTTCCTAGAATGGTCGATATGTAATTTGATAGGACATGTACATAATCATACTTTGTCTGTTTCACCACCACTACTACTACTACAACAAACAACAATCACCACTACAATTGCTACATCATCCTTCTTTCGCACTCTATGAACCACACTGGAGATCTGGTTGGCTCTGAGCAAGTCATCATGGCCTATTCAGATGGTCAGGTCACTGCTGGAGATATTTCTCATGCCCTATTCTATGCCAATTCGCATTTGTTGGCCATGCGCCTGTATGTGTACAAGAGCTTTTCCACTTCCCTTCCTGGATATGCAGAAGCTTTCCACAAACTCATGAAATGGGAAATGGAGGTATGTGTCCAGTCATCTGGCCATCTGGTCGTCCGGTCATCCTGATATTGTATTGATCTCAAAGTTGTCATTTGTCATATAGACCTTTGTCACGCCTTTCATCAATATATCCTTCCTCAGCAGGTGCTCCGCTGTCATTCCAACACCCCTTCATCATGTGATTGCAATCATGATTGCACATACATTGGTGGACCGGCAGCCGGATGTCACTGAGTTTTTGACGGATATCAAAGCATTGAACCTCTCTGTGCACTGCAAGGAGTCAGATGAATATGACATTGCTTGTATGCCCGACTACTTTAATGCATGGTGGAAGGACAATCTTACCTCTTGCAAGGTGTCAGACATGTTGCCAAAGTCATCTGTCCAAGATGTGATGGAGTTGGTTGAGGGCCATTTTGTAGAACTTGTGAGTCCTTGAAACATTGACAGCCCGCACAGGATCCTCACCAAATCCAACATTCAATATTATAATAGCCGGATCATGTGGAAACCGGCCTTCTTCCATATATGCTCAAGCTTGGTCCGGTTCATACACCGGAGACAATCGGATCAGTATCACTTGCAGAGTGCCGTCAGATGGCAATTGGTAAAGATCTCATGGAAATATTGCAAGGGAGAATGATGAAACTTACACATTCAAGTGATAGGTTGGCATGCTTAGCTGGGCCAGTTGAGGAGATCATGAGGGCTGTGGTTTCCTCACAGATGCTCATGGACCGGTTGAATGCAGATGACAGTGCATCCAAAGGACAGTCGAGCATAATGTGATATCTAAAAGCATTCATTTTGTATATTTTATACTGCTTATTGTATTCAATCGCAATAGACATGGGTGGTGATTTCTAGCTTACATCTGGTCATGTGAATGACGCTGATACCTGCTCATCCTGGTCATGGATCGATCCGACCGGTCTTCTTTTTCTTTCTTCATCACTCATTTTGTTCCTCGACACATGGTGAGTATCCCACAAGACTGGGCATTATACCAGACCGACCTTGCCAGTGAATTGGTGTATGACACCTTTATGTCCAAAATTCATGGATGGCCGGCAAAGCAAATGAGCATTGGACTGTTGGATATCAACACCTGTATTGCTTTGCAGCAACTTGCCAATGTCCTGGCCATCACTTACTCTAATCCTGGTATTCATTTTTGTATATATCATCCTTTCCGGTCAACTAACTTGCCAATAGTTCATCTCAACATTGACATGGTTAGATATAACAAATCCCTTGACAAATATGAATCCAGTCAAAACGAGAAACAAGAGCAAAGTCTTTTGGACAGATTCCCTCCTGAAGAACATCGGATCTTGGCAAAACCAAGTGTCATCATTGATTCCAGGGGCAGAATTATTGTCTGGTATTTGCCTGGAGCCATGACCAGCATGATAATGGTCTGTCATCTATTGGCATTCATTTTGTATTTCATCTCATCTGGGTGTATCCAGACAGATATGCATTGTGCTACAAACTCCATGGGCAATTTGCTGAACAATAGCATCACGACCAGCAAGCCTACTGAATGGCGGACTCACAAGTCCAATTTCTATCCGAGTTTGGATGAGAAGATCACCCCCAGTTGCATCAATATATCTCTGGCTTGGTTTCAGCAAGGAAGAGAGGTACATCCTGTTCATATGAATTCAGGTTACCCATCTGAAGTGTCATAGAAATACGGTTTCCAAAATCTTGATCCAGAAGATGGTTTCTCACCTGATGTATCAGCCACATTAAAGGGAGTTGATGGTCACAATATCACGACCTCCCTCCAAAGGTCCATGTATCCTTGTCTCTGCTGCACTTAGTGTCATGCATCCGGATCTCTATCTTGCCGGAATTCAAACCCAAGTCAGACTGGGTGAATGGGCGAGCCGGTATGAGTTGCATGATATGTGCTATCATTTACAATGTTGGACATCTGTTTTCAATGTGGTGTCAGTCATTTGCAATTGTCAGTCACCACCTCATAGAGATCCAAAATGTCGACCGGAGGCATTTGATATCATGACCACCGCAGGTATTTACCATCTGGTCATCACTGGATTTCATTAATCTTGGGATAAAATTCTTATATAACTCCAGGTCAATGTTGGCCTCATCGTGTCAGCTTGTGAGACATCATATGCATGTGGAGGAGGGCAACCGGATTGTCACTGCATGGTACATGTGAGATAGTATCCATAACTTTGTTGGAACTCCAAGAACAGAGTACGCAAAATATGGCTAATGTGAAATATGGTGACCCGGTCGAGCAGAGTGCCTCTGTGTAGAGACGTTATTGTACACATTGTATACAAATTTAGTCAGATGGCCCCTTGAGTACCTACCTGATCTATACTACATACTCTCATAGAGACTGGATGATAACTTTGACTGGATGTCCTGGTGTCACATACTCCGGACCCACCTGTTTGCCTTAGGTACACACATACTAAGGCCCACCTGTTTGCCTCGAGTACACATCCCCTGGCCCACCATTTGCTTGGGTACACACATACTCTGGCCCACCTGTTTGCCTCGAGTACACACATACTCTGGCCCACCTGTTTGCCTTAAGTACACATCCCCCAGCCCACCCATTTGCCTTGGGTACACACATAACCCAGCCCACCTGTTCGCCCTGGGTACACACATTCACCCAGCCCACACATTCATCCAGCCCATCCGTGTGTAAGTTGGGTACACACATCTGCCCTGTCCACCTGTTTGACCCATTACACACATCCGTCTGGTCAACATGCATACCCAGCCCATCCCTGTGCGAGTCCATATCTGTCCGGCCAACCTGCATACCCGGCCCATCTGTTTCCTTGTATGCATTTGGCCCATTCCTCTCCGGGAATCAGCCTCGGCCCATCCATGTGAGGTGGGTACACATCCGTCTGGCCCACTCACTTTATACCCTTGGCCCACCTGTTTGCCCTGGGTACACACATTCCTCTGGCCCACCTGTTTGCCTTGGGTATACACATTACCTCAGCCCACCTGTTTGCCCTGGGTACACACATTACTCTGGCCCACCTGTCTCCACTGCACACTGTATTCATTACATATAATGTCCTATATAGTAGTATATCTATATACCAATGTCTATACTTTTTACCCTTGGCCTACCCGTCTCCATTGTAAGACCGGATTCACCATAATGTCCTGTATACTAGTACATTCCTATACTACTGTCTGTATTATATACCCCTGGCCCATCCATTTGTCTCGGGTACACACATGACCTCGGCCCACCCATGTATCATGGTACAATTATTGGCATGGGCCCACATGGGATAGCCCGTCCCCATTGGTACATTGTCACGTTTGGCTGCCCATCTGAGACGGGTGAATTCACTGAAGGGGCTCTATGATGAACCGCGACACGATCACATGACCCGCACGTAACGGTATGACATGGACGCGAACGAAACAAACTTTGATTCTTGAGGTCTTGCTCATCATCATGAATGACAGCAAAATAGGACTGCTTGGACGCTGCAGCAGATGAAGTGGAAGGCTAATGAGCAATTAGCAGCATTCCCAATCGATGAAGAGACGGTTACCTTTGGACACGACCCGACATGCAGTGTGCGCCACTATGCCATTACCCAGAGATCAGCGCTCTGCATGCATAAATTGTATTTCAGGAAAGAAAGGTGCGTGAGTTGTTCATCTGAACTTACCAAGCCGCTGTAACTCGCAAGTAGGCGTTCCTTGTTGTTCTTGGCGACGCAGGCCTCACCATCGATGGCTGCCCCGTGATCCCATCTATTAACGCCTCACTTCCCACAACGAATCCCGTCTCTAATAGCTGCGAAATTGAAATACACAAGAAACATTTCATATCCTCCTACCTGCCCAAGCCGTTACGTTCTCCACTATACAACATCGATTCACCAGTAAAGCCTGAAAATAGCAGTGGCGGACGGAGGAAATTACGAACGAGCATGATCTACGGCGCTCAAGTATTACCCCTCGTGGAAAGCCCTCTTTAGATCCACTCGCAAACCTCTGCATTCTCCAGAGTCCACTCAAGCAGCCCATGCCTTCCCCACATAAACCCTCTGCCCTAAAGAACTCCCATGTCTCAGAACCAGAGTCACACTCCACGTGTTTTACAGGAGAATAAGGACCTTGTCATCCTCGAAAGTGTCGATGTCCAAGCCCTCTTCTACTCACCCCGCCTGTGCAACGACTGGGATCGGTTCTGAAAAGTCTGGAGGACATGGGATTGGACTTTCATGTTGTGTTAGAATTCTGGGATCAATGTTGTTGTACTGTCAACTGGTGATATGCAGACAAGGGCATCAGCTGGCGCTAAAGAACGAAGGTACGAATCTCTTTGCGCCCATGATGGAATGCATGACAAAATAATTTTATCGCCGCCCATTCAGGTGACACTCTTGGATTGTATTTAACGTAGTGAAATGGCCATGACATGCACGAAGTGCGCGCAAGACTAGCGCGCATGACCGCTAAGAAAGAAGAGTCATTCAGCTGAAGATTCTCCGCACCGAACCGTACGACCCGGTACTTTTGACAGTCGTTGGCCGAAGAGAAGGTACTAGATTAAATCCTGCCGTTGGACATGCGTTGGGCCCGGCTATCAACTGCAGTCAGACAGCGAGGGTTGCTTATCGTGGAACAGACGTACATTCCATGTACACGTTTAGTTGAGACAGAGCGTCAGGTGCTGAAGGGCCCGGCCGATCATGAATTAAACTCAGTACTCGAATTGTGATCTCCATCTGCTCGCCACTGTGAGTTCGGTAATGCCCTTATTCCGCTGCTGCATCAACGTTTTGCTACAAAATGTTGTTCCTTTTGTAAACGACGCTTAACCTAAACGCGCGTGCTTCTACTAGTCTAACTATAAGCATCGTAAAACCGCCATTTTCGCCGTCCAAACGACTCTGATGGGCTGGCTGTTTATGTGCATGTGACCACCCCAGATCTAGTTGATCGATCGATCGGATCATTACTTTGCTGTAAGCTGACGCTCGCCGTAACATATAAACTGTGAACAGGATTCAGATGGCTCTTCGGTATACTCTAACACAATGCGCCTGCTACCTTTCTGCTTCCTCCTTTACCTCTTTGGAGTTATCCAAGCTGTACCTACTACAAACACAACTAGTAGCAACGTTTCTGAAGCTGAAGTCCCATTATTCACAAATACTAGAACCATGTGGAACATCGTGTCCAGCTCACTTCTCACTATGTTTGCGTGTGTATATAGCGCCATTCACCCCAATATCCCGAGTCCTAAGGACAGCCTCGTTGTTATTCTGTGGCGACGACTTGGCATCATGATGATGGCACTAATTGCTCCTGAACTGATCGTCATATGGGCTGTGCGCCAGTGGATTAGCGCTCGCCATGTTACCAGACAGTTCAAGGAATCTGGACTTTCGGTGTTCCTCAGCCACAAGAGCAGCCTGGAGGTGGGCCGTGCCATTCGAAACTGTATACGTTTCTTGAGCAACTTACTATGCACGTCATTAGACTCGGATCATGGTTCCATTGACTTGGAAGCAACTGTAGAGCAATATAACGTCGAAGGTGAGCTCGACATTCTATTTTGCCGCACCCGGAGAATGACTCACCTGGTTCTCAAGACCCTGAAGGTGGCCCTACTGTTCCTTCGGAAATTCATATACTTCAGCGCCCACTCCAGGATGTGGGGTACATATGCTCAGGCTCTTGCGAAGCCATTCAAAAAGATGTTCAAAGCCTATGTATCGGAACAATCTGAAGGCAAGTCCAATTCCGAGTACTCACCTAAATATTGACTCATCTACATTCGTAGATACATGGACTCATACACACAGTTTCTTTATGTTGATGGGTGGTTTCATGCTTTATGTGGACGGGAAACCCTACCTCACACTACGGCCTGATCGCATGCTCGAACTGATACATGACAAGTCTATCGACATCCCTACCCTAACAGTGAACCGGATTCATGACAAGAGCAAAGGAAATGCGATATCGAAAGGATTGATCATCCTTCAAGTGACTTGGTTTGTCATTCAGCTCATTACGCGTGCTATCTATCACCTCGAAACCACCCAGCTCGAAGTGGGGACACTGGCTTTTGCGGTTCTCAATTTTTAAGTTATGTTGCGTGGTGGAACAAGCCTCTCAACGTGCAATGTCCATATCCAGTGTACTTGAAATCAACCGAGTCAAGGCCAGAGCATCACATTAAGTATGTATGCGCCTCAACAATTATACTGCTGTTGATTATGTCTGCCTTAGTGTTAATGAAGCAGAAGACCATAATTGGATTCTCACGATCTGGGATTCATACTTCGAAATACTAGGCGCGTCCGACTTCCAAAAGCTCCGAGTTCCAACATTTGATGGCAGTATCGCACTCGAACTTTTGGACCAGCTAGTTCTTGCGCTTGCTGGATTGCTTATGGCAACCATATTTGGCGGTGTCCATTGTATGGCTTGGTTTTTTGCCTTCCCCACATATCAGGAACAGGTCCTCTGGCGCATGAGCGCCATTGCTATATCTTGCACACCCAGCTGCGTTTTTGCATGTTTTCCAGTAATACTCTGCACACTAGTATTCCTGCCGTATGCAACCATGATTTCATGGTTATTTATGTTCATAGTGTGTCCCATCCTGTACATCATAGGACGTGCCATCCTCTTGGTGCTCATGTTCACCACTTTACGCGATCTTCCTCCTGACGCATACAAGGCGGTGTCGTGGACCGCCTTGATGCCTCACTTGTAGTTCTTGGCTATAATACCTGTGGGCGCAATGCATTTAGCTTGCTCAATATCAATGCTCGTGCACATGAACGAACCCGACATGAACGGCAGCGGAATTGTGCGGTTTTGGACACCGCGGCTGATGAACGAAGAGGTGGCAGGATTCCCAGTCGATGAGAAGGCAGCACGTTGACTTTGAACGCGACCTCATGTTGTAGTTTTCGCCATTATAGTTATTTCCCAGAGATCAGCGCTCTGAACGCAGAAATTGAGTATCTGGAAATATAGGTGCGTGAAGTAACTACCAAATGAACTTCACTGATGTGGTTGCTGAAAATTACTCCCGCCGAGTTCTATACAAGGCTAAGTCTGCTAGGATGGCTATTCTGTTTGTTCTACTTACCTGAGACTACCGGGATGAGCCCCGAGGAGATCCGCCTTTTGGGATGGGTTTGGAGGACAGTGTCAGGAATCAATAGCGAAAAATGATGAGATAGCGGGTCGATGAGTGCGCAGAAATACCTATCTCCGAGCATATTGAGAACTGCAATATGATTGCTGATACCAGGGATGAACAGTCGACGGATACACGCACGTATTTTGCACAACCCGACATTCACCGAAGTTGCTACCATTTTACACGCCGCTCATAAGGCTGCACGATAGCAATGTGTGTCATTCAATAAACGAGAGAAGCTCATGGTGCATCTATCATTAAGCTTTCGTCGCCGTCCAGAAAGCAGTTTTATAAACATATCCCAGCATAGACCGGGAATTACTCGTGTAAGTCGTGTCTATCGTTCGCTCATCCTGATAGCAGATCGCTCTCGTCAGATTTACACAGCGGAATGCGATATAAAGACTTACAGAGATCACAAAACCGATTTTTCGAGCCAGCATTTTGACTTCTTCGAGATCAAGTTCAATGGATGGATCATTGGTTGCATTATTTTCGAAGTGCCAGAGCAGCGGGCCTGATATGTGGTCAGCAGGAAAGCTGGGACAAAGCTACCGCTCTGACCCATGTTAATCCATACTCCACCAGGTGCCAATATCCTGTGAATTATACGAAGGTAGTTGACGATATTCTTTGCCTGAATTAGCTTCATTAGCATAAAATACACCTGAACGGAAACAAATCCCTACAGTATCAATAAAGAAACATGTCAGAACAGCGTCCCATTGCCCCGCCTGTGGTTCGAAATTGCCTTCTTCGTATTCTGTTCCATAAATCTCCTCGAAGTCGCCTGAAACGTTGAGAAGCCAAGATACTCAAAGGACCTGTCAATAATCATACCCGCAACCAAGGAAAAATTCGAGCCAGCTGGTAGGGCCGAGGGAAGGACATCGGGTATTTTCACTGGGCGTAACATTGCTTCACGGTCAGGAAGGTTGGAGAAGAATGGACATAAGGGTATATGGTGTATTGTCCAATCGCGTCAGTCCTGCGACCAGAATCAAATGTTTAGTCGCACACTCAGATCCCTGCTTTTCTTACCTATTTAAAATAAGATAAGAAGCAAGAAGCATGTAGTGAGAGAATTCATTTCCCTGACAGGCGAACCCTAGCGGACTGACTAAGTCCAAATCGGAAGAGAGATACACAAGCTCCGCAAACCTAAATTCGCAACATCATAAGCCAACCGGCCAAGGCCTGCACCAGGAACGAGCACCCGGATATTTTGTCTGGTAGAGTAATACGTTTATGTTGTCAAGAGGAAAGTTTAGAGCCTGAACTAACCTTAACTCCGGAGATGGTTTGTCCGAGAAATGCGCGACCAGCGCGTCTTTGATTGGCGTATAACACGTGTCCCGTTCTTCTTTTCCCTGGGATGCAAGCCCAAGTTACATAATTTGAAAAGGGGTAGAATTATAAGTTTACCTCTTGACTCCAGTCCCGTACGAATTGCTTCAGAGTGCTTCGCAACTTGTCCATGTCGAAGTCCGTAGGTTTGTACTTTCGCTGATACTGGCTGACAGCTCTGCGATCTGGGGTGACATTCTCATGGTCATGCGAGTGACTGTGGTGATGCGGGTGACCATGAGAATGTGAATGCGCGTCACCTGCACAACATTGGCATTGGTAAGCACAAATCGGATTCTGTCTCGCACAAGTACAAACCATGCGAAAGGTCATGAAAAGTCCGAAGGTCAGCATTATCATCACCTGCATCTTTTGGAAAGTCGAGATCATGGCCAAAGATCTCGGGGTTTGCAACAATCAGCTTCAAGAATTCTGCATTGTCCAGAATGGCTCTATCCACTTCTTGAAGTTTTTGTCGGTACCCAAGAACGTCGAGAAGTTCTTTGTCACCCTGAGAAGTGTGTAGATGTCTTTTCGTCGCCTGTTATTGGCTGCTAGCTGAATGTGTCGGACAAGCAAGTTATTCATAAGGTGACAGTGTGGTGCATGATGATAAGAATACCTACCGAATATTGGGCGTATTGCTGGAATGTTGCGATGACATTAGAAAAATGTTTTTGCTCCTCTTCGATGTCAGCGTCCGAGAATGTTTGGGACATTGTTCGAGAGACAAGTGTAAGTTC